GGGTGGGAAGGGGAAGAACGGGGGGATGCGAGGGACCGAGCCAGGAAAAAAAATCTTGATAGCCTCCTTCCTCGAAATGCCATTAGGCGTGTACACAAAGATCGGTCAGTGTTGTTTGTTCCCGATTTTTACGGCGCCAGTAGAGCCTGTAAATACTATTAACTATCTAAGCCCATTGCAGCGCGAGCCGTCTCGAGCAGTTGAAAAAAGGCATTTACGCACATGAGGGGGATAGGGTTAACTCTTAAACGACCGGAAGACCAGTGGGCTTCCGTTTTCTGAGGCATATAATTATAATATCTATTCTCATCTCCCACCCTACGCCCCTTGACTTCCTCCCATCCCTCCCCTTTGGATATCAAAGCAGACAAACATGCGGCTGAAAGGCGATGTTAGGACCTGAGTAGCTGGAATCGAAGATAGTCTGAACAGGCGGTTGCTCTTCATAAGCAAGCAGCAAACAAGGTCGGTAGACGTTTCATCTCACTTCACAAGAGATAGCCGCGGATAGCAACGCCACTGTAGCTGCTGCAGTAGCAGCCTTCACTGTCTTGCATGCGGGTAAATTGCCAAGCTCTAATTTTCTACCGATAACACGCCGTCGGAGAGAAATCTTAAGCGCCATCAAAGTGGTGAGAACGGTTTTCTACACTACCCTCAGCCCCTCCCTCTTGGAGATGTAATCTCGTGCGTCCCTTCCCTGGCTGCCTCCCTCTTTCTCGGGAGTACAGGCGGGCAAGCAAGCAAGCAGGCAGGCAGGCAGGCAGGTAAGCAAGCGACCAAGCAACCCTTAAAGCGTGATCAGTTAATTAAATTTGATTTGTCAGGCTGGGTGGGATGAGGAGGAGCTGAGGGAGGAGGAGGAGGAGGAGGAGGTGTAATGTAAGTGATCAAAGTCACCGCAAGATGCGCTTCTGCACACATCCCCTCCACACTGCCTCTAACTCCTGCGATAATCTTTTCATCTGACTCAGTGCAGTCTTGGCAACTTCATGTCCTGCCCCACGAGAAGAGCCTTGCATTCACATAATATGCTTTACATCAAATTAATAATGTCAAAATCCATCAACCACATCTTCATACGCGACTCATTCCTCCTCCACCAACATGGGAGGAGAAGTTTCTAAGCAATCAAATTTTATGGAGTTTTGATCTACGCTGAGGCGCTGGTAAAGGCCCAAATCCTAGCAACATATGCTATTTGTCATGACAAGAAAAAGCATTACTCTAAGTTATAGCAGGCAAATTTACATAGCTTTCACCTCCCCAAGGGAAGAGTGTGACCGTAAGAAAGAGCAGTACATGCTGCTTAGCTCAGACTTAATGCCTTCCCGGTGAATAGTGCATTGCTATTGGCAATGAAGTTCCCGGATAGCAGTGGTGGCTTAATTGATGACGTCTAGCCTTGACGACTTCTTCCCTCTTTTGGTCTGCTGGAAAGTCGTTCCACGATTGAAGCGGCACCGACCATCAACCACCTATAAAAGTTCGCTACGTCGCTGTCTACAATACACGACGAAGGGCATTAATAAAAGCGGGCATTTAAAACTGCCAGTTCCTTGCGAAGAGGATGAAACTTAGAAAATATTTAGGCGAAGAAAGTGAAGCCTAATTCCCATGAAACCATTCTGAGCATCGTCTCTCATATTGGCTAGTGTTTCTACTACTTGTAGTAAAATAAGCATGACAGCCAGGCTATGTTTGCTTTCCTATCAATGTTAACAAAAAGGGTTGACCTCACGATTCAGTGGAACCGAGTTATGACCTTCAGACGCTGCCAAAACCCTTCCCTGTGTCCACATGCTCATTTTAACCCTGCAGTGACTGGTAGACAAGTTGTTTAAAAGGCTGCGGTAATTTTGGTTTAATCAGTAAGTAGTGCATTTTATCGCTGCAGCATTCTTTAGCCTCGACAAAGTGATAAACACCGCCTTCCACCATATGAATGAAATTACTTAAGACGATAAATTGCGTTTCCGCTAGCGCTCTTTTCACCGACCAATGCTTTACCTCTGCCTGCCTCCTCTGTATTCTGAGGAAGGGAGAGGAGAATGAAAAAGAGGATGCCGCCCTAAAATACCCATTTCTAATTAACATCTAGGTGACAAAGGCGAAGCGCAGCAATGATAACGCGAACACCAGCGAGATAGCACAGATGGGAGCGCGTGCAAAGAATTTCAACTCGATGCCCTTATAACCAGTCTGAGAATTCGAGTTAAGCCCAGGGCTATCTAGGCATGCATTTCACTTCATTCAACGATGTTACAAGTGATTCACCTGATAAATTGGGCATCAGAGTTAAGTAAACAACTCTGTGCTCTCAGGAACCATGGCCGAAAAATATTCGGACCCTTTCATTAACCTTTAGCTAATAACATCGTACCATTTTTGCGCAAAAAATAAAATATTTTACAATGAAGCTGTCGTTTGCCACAGTTAATTTGGAAGTCATCTACTCGCAGAGGCATTCAAGAGCATTTACAACAGAAATGTGCAAGTTTTAACGAAACCTTGACTTGCAAATGACTGGTATTTATTGGAATTTAACTGCAATCAAAGTGAAGATTAAATAATTTCAAATCTTCGTTTAAGGGTATGCCCTTTAAAAGAATTGCTATTACACAAGCAAAAGCAATGATATGTATTAGAAAAGTCGTTATTACCTTTAGAAGCAAGTATCTGCAAGGCGCAAGAACTATCGAGTGCATACGCTGGAATGAGGTCATCTGTTTACTGTGGACGGAGATCTGTTGAAACCAGAAGCAAAACATGGAGCCAAATCTAACCAGTTGGACGATCTGCTCATTTTAATCTGTGATGGTTATAAAGCCGCGTAATCATTTTCAAGTGAATAGAAGTAAATTATGAGCACGGATCATCGCTAAACTTTTGCTCAAACAACGTCTGCAAATCATTCATTCTGCTAACTTCCAGCAAATAATTGGTGTTACTTAATTTATTTAAGTACAGCAATAATAAAAGTATTTGCCCATGGTTTTCTTGCAGATTAGAAAATTAGGCAAGAAATATAATGACTTAATTCTGCAATTACTCTTTTGAAAAACGAATGCTATGCTTAACAGTGACAATCTGATCCTAATGGCTCTTTTTAATTCGATAGTTCCAAAAAACAGCTGATTGCTGTTACTTTATTATTTTCAGTATAGTTCACAAATGACCATAAAAATACAGAGATCGCCTTGTGGACCGAAGTCGTGTAGAGTAGATGTGCAATGTATGCGCTAAGGAAAATAAAAAGCTATCAGTTCATTATACTATGCTAATTTCCTCAAAGACAGGTCACTCACTTAGAGTGTGGACTCGCTCAATCCGAGAATGATATAGACAACAGGTCAAGTGGCGGCAAAATGTAGCGCTGAAGCCCCTCTTCACCTCGAAAATTTCACAGCCATCTATCAAGCACTTAAGCTAAAGCACTGACGAAGTCATCATGACGATACCTTGCATAAGCCTAAAAAAGGTCCTAAATCTCTTAGCATTGTTATGCCTTCTGGTATTTCTGAAGTAAACCAACCTGACATATGAAGTTTGCACATCATCTTATTTTCGTAGGTAAACCTCACAGAATGATAATCTGCTTTATTCGCTCCTTGCTTATTTTCGGAAACACTATTATACTACTGCACATTATTTGGTGTTGGTCCATAAACCTGCTTTATTATAGTGCACTTCAATTTTTCCAAATAACATCGTACTACTTATATAATTTAAGTAAAAATGCTCTACAGAAAGTGGAAGATACATGCTCCCCTTCTTAAACATGGTTTTCGGAAGCCCAATTGTCTTAAAACTGCTTTGCTTTGGATACGCTTTGCAAACAGCAATAGATTAGGATTCGATAGCACTGATCTGGGTTCGAAACAATGCATGAATTGCCATTTGATTAGCAAAGCTATTTATATTGAGGCGTGTCCTTTTGCGCTAAAAAATGTAAAATGTCGACGAATTACAGCGTACTGTGGCTATCATTGGGGAAGGGAACTATTAATGTGACTTGGACGCAATGTCACTATTGGGGCCTCTATGACCCCAACAAATAAGAGCGAAAGTTTAAGTAAACTGTTAAAGTGTTGCGCTTATGTTTGTCAAGCGAATGGAGTGACGTAATCGGGACGGCAACTTGTGGTAGCAGTTTTATGGGTCTTGAGTATGTCAAGGTGGATGACAAGGTTAGAGTGGTATTAATAACAAGCGAACCCCAATGGCATCAGAATCCTCTATTATTTGGTCCGCCTTTTAAGTAATTTTTTATTAATCAAATAAAGTAATTTTTTGGCGGTGTTTTTAATTATTAGTAATCCACGTGTATGGCGAATGGCTGTGTCTTGAGAGTAGGAGTAGTTTTTTATATGATCGGCATGTTTTGCATTGATTGCTGATGTCTGCAAAAGGGAAACGAGGCATGAATGAAAAAGCAAATCCATTAGACACATTTGTAAGCGTTGCCAGGTGCCCCCAACTTATGTGCATCCGCCATGGTGGTGCAATAATTCACTCACGTTGTCTCTGTCAAAAAAATGCGGTAGCTCAAGGGAGTAAGGAAAGCCTCAGGCACTACAATACGAAAAAAAAGAATTTGTCACAATTTGTGTGAATACGGAGCCAAATTTTTTGCATTTCCATCGACACAGATTCTTTGCACACAAATGTGTGCATACGCACCATACAAACTCACGGCTTGAAGGATTTTGGCGCCTTCATTCTTGACCTCGATTTTGTGCCAGCTCTGGCACGCACCACCTCCTCAAACGTGGAAATAGATCGCACCAAAGTGGACGCAGAGGCCTGTCCTCTATTTGGGGTGTACAATTCTGCATTTTGACTCAGAGAAGTATCGGTTTGCACCAAGCACAAGTCCATTCATTCACTTACTTGCTCACGCACACACACACCCCCACCTACACACTCACATTCACACACACCAAGTGTATAAAGTAGGTGTATAGAATTTGCAGCGATAGAAAAGCACAGGCAGTGCCATGCCCAGACAGTCCTACAACCTACCTCGGTTGACCGCCTTTGCCAACAAAGTGTCAACTATGACTACTGAATTTGAGTGTCTAGCCAACATCGCCTCGCCATCATCAAATGCTAATTCGGGCGGTGGGGATGTGGTCTTTACCGAACTCTCGCCTCCCTCCATCCCCTCGGACAGCACGATTAACGGAGAACGCGACTGGAATGACGGACTGTGGGACTGCTGCCACGATAAATCAAACTGTAAGCTAATTTGGATATTTTTAAAAGAATGTAAAAGGCCATCCCTAGGCGGCCGTTCAGGCAAATTTTGGTTAGTTTATTATTAGTCAAATGAGAGCTTCTTAATCTTAAAGGGATTTGGCTATCTACACATTTTAACTGTCTGCCCCAAAAGACTGGGAAATTAGGGTTGGCCCTGATGCGTGATGGCTTGAAGATGCATCCAGTTGAGGTCAGTGCTGAGGCGTCCAAATTGTCCCTTTGCGAGATTCATCAACACTACCAATCGCCGCAACTAGTCACAGCACAAATTCTTTCCTGTGTGTGTTGAACACTTTATTACTGCATCAGTGGTAGCATTTTTGCCATCCCTGGCTACCTCACCTGAGTGTTGATTCAACTGCGGCTAGGCCCGAGGCGGAGGACCGCACAATTTCGACCGACGTTCACGCATCCATCCACCTTGTGAGACACAAAATTTCCGACTTCATCCTTGTTGAAATTTTTTTTAAAAAAGTAAGCACTTCATTTTCCTTCATTCGAAGTAGTTTCGTTACACACGGTATTTTCATTTGGCGATGATAAGTGACATCTCTTTTGGTTCACTTCCAACAGTGGACAAATTAAGTAGTAGATTACATTAAAGTGTCATTCGCTTTTTTAACATTGATGAAATTTTTCCTATTTTACAAATCAAAACGGATCAGAAACGTGTTGTTTGACAACATTACTTGCCTCGGCTCTCGGTAAAACACTCCTGACACGCCATCACGTCAGTGTCGACTGATTTTCCGCCAATGGCAAAAAGGACTTTGCGACTACGTTGCCAAATGAGGGGTGTCCGACATTCCTTATGTCTTAAAATAACTCTGCAGTCGCTCCCTCGGAGCACTCTCTCTGCCTACCCGATCCCAGGAATGCAGTCCTGAGATGTCTGTTGTCGGTCCTCGAAAAGCCCAAAGTGCCTAGAAAATACGACTTCTTAAAAATCGCCCTCCCAAAAGGAATGTTTTAACGCTCTGCTGCCATGGTGACCTCGGTACAATAGGTCATGTTGATTTGAGAAGGGAAACAATGGAACGAAAGTTGGTATGACAACCCCTTACATAAGTTGCAGACATTTGAATTTCTAAAAAAATAATAATAAAAGTGTGTTGTGCATAAATCCGACGAATGCGTCCCATTCAGACGATCAAAGACAAAACCTTGGAACACGATTACAAGTGAGAATCCATGGAGCCTTAATTCCAGTTTTAGCACTGAAGGCACTTCGATAACGGTGAACAATTCCAACAAGCCCACGAAATCACGAGAGCGCCCCGGTGATTAGAGGAAGTCTGGAAATCGGCTGTTCTTTTTGCCCAAGTCATGTTTAGCGCTCGTTGCACAAATAGTCTCCACACCTGACTAAATCTCAACACGCATTCCTGAGGAAATAAAATGTGTGCTGTAAAGGTGACCTCAAATGAGGAGGGCTGCACAACCTCATGGATGTTTATTGAAGACTTCTGGTGAAAAAAGAACTCTCACGCATAGCTGTAAACTGAAAAGTATGACGAGATGATTTTTCCTTTCTTGCGTGCAGGTGCTTTGACCGCCTTCTTTCCGTGTTGTATGACTTGCGAAGAGTACAAAATCCACGGCGAGGGCTGCGTCACTCCACTCTGCCTCTGCATGAGTCTGCTTCCACTCACTACCAAGTACCGCACAAAGCATCACATTCAGGTGGGCGATTTCAATCAAATCAACCAAAATTCTCTGCAAAATGGTTAAAAAGTTCTTTTATTGCAATTGCACTAATCACTCCATCATTTTTCACCCGAAGTCCACTTCGATAGTTCCTTCAGCTCGAGGTCACTAATCACGAGGCGCAGTCGTTGGAGGGGCTCCGCGTAAAACCAGACGATGGGCTTCGCCCTCACTCACAACAGAATATTCACAGCTGTCTACAGTCTTGACTTTAAAACAAACTGGTTTTAAACCCGCCCGCCAAATGTGCAATTTGCCCTTCTTCAGTTGATTGGCGATGATGATGATATTGCAGGAACCTATTCGCCTAGGAGGCACCTAAGACGTGGCCACCTCAAGCAGTGAATTTCTGTTGTGTGTGATCACATGAGATCTCCGGCGTTTGCACAAAGTCAGCGCTTATTCGCAGACTTTAGATTTCGAGTTCAGCACTCACAGGCGGCCTTTTTTGGCTTTTACGCACGCCGTTTGTCTGCCTTTCCAGCGTTAAAACGGCGCTTGTGCTCCACCGAGGTGAGGTCGGAGGCCAAAGCGGTGGCGGCGTAATGAGGCTGAGCAACGGATGCATCGCAATTCTTCTTTTCGCCGGTCCCCACAAGTGCTTAATTTGCATTCCCAGTCTCAAAAAAAGCCTAGCTCAACCATTCTTTTGCATGGAATATTCATTTTCAGCAACAATTCTAAAAATCTCCCTTTTTATTCAATTTGTACTTTAACTTGGTTCGACAACAAGAAAAGTATTTAATGAAACCACCAACCCCATCTGTGCAAAACCTAAGCGTGATCCTTCTTAACCTATGATTTTACAGTTGCAATTGCTCAGAGAGCGCTGCAAACTGCCAACTAACTCGTCATTTTGCAGGGTTCCATATGGAAAGACTGTCTGCTTTCCACTTTCTGTTGGCAATGCCAACTTTGTCGCCTTCATCGCGATTTTATGGCTAGCAAAGGAGACGTCGACGGCGGTCCCGGAGAGGAGGCCTCAAAAGTGACCAACAAAGGACACCACCCCACGACTGTTGCTAAGGTCGCCACAATTGTAGACTCGAGCAATGCGGACTAACTTGGTGACGTCGGAGGAATCAACTCATGCACTCACTCGCCCACGTTTGCATGCAATGGACTCTAATCTGCTTGCTTCGACCTGCATTATTCGTCATTCCTAAATACTTTGTAACCTTTCCTATTTGCTTTGCTTTAAAGACAGCTGTAATGCGGTTAAAATTGCAAGGCGTGACGAAGGAGGCGGAAAGGGTCTACCCCCTTTAAACTGTAGTCCTGGCGAAAGCAAGTTTGCGTGTGTGTGTGTGTGTGTGTGTATGTAAATTTGCCCAGCTCTCACGACTAAAAATTGTACTACTGCAGTGAATCCGTCTGTGGAAAGCTCCCAAGGCTCGTAGTTTATCTGAGCCACTCCTTCCTCCGCCGGTAGTACCTTTTGACATCAATTTCATAGATGGCATCATTTGTAGGCATGTATGGAACGCAGGAGTGAGGGATGAAGGCGTTGGCTTAAATGGATTGTTTCTCTGTCAGTTAATGTCAGTTTAAATTAAGCGAAATTGTCGTCAGGGCGATATTGTTCCGGTCTTGGGTTAATCAGATGCGTGCTTGAAGTCGCGGTGGAGACGACATAGCACACAGAATCCACAGAAATAGGTGGCCAGACAATCTGTGCACAGACTCCCCTGAAAGAATTTAAATTTGCTCTTTTGTTTATCCACTTTTTTGAAGGCTGTATTTTGGGAGAGCTAACTTCAATTAAATTAAGGGATTTTAAATGTCCTCAAATCTTCGAATAAACGTTAAGGGAACTGAGTTGAATAAGCGTTAATGCCGAAGACCTACCAAAATGCCTTTCTTAATGCGGTATTGAGACACCAGAGCCATAAATGGACCAGGAAAGCAGAAACCCAGGATGGGATTCTCATTATGTTTATGGAACTCGTAGGCCGCCGCGCAGAGGGGGCAGAAGGCGACGAGAAAACCTGAGTTGCAGGTCATCAACTTTGAATTAGATATTAGCAATGAATGTCAGACGATATTAAAACCACTTCCCACTTTAACTGCATGACTTTGTGGGAATTTGATCCAAAAACTTGATCCTCTGAGCCACTAGTTTAAGGAACCTCTCAAAATTTATTCATTTATCACCTTTCTGATTGTGAAGACTATCACTAAATCCCTTTGCCGCTTATAATTAAGCCATCACAAACTCACAGTTCCCGACGTCCTTGTGGCAGGAGCAGAGGCCATCGTGCCAGTCTCTGAGTTGACTGCTGCAGGGTTGAGTTGTGACAACGTCACCATTAGCCTTGGCTTCCTGCTTCCCCTCCTCTCTTGCTCCTTCCATCTCCTCTGCATGGTCCACACGGGACTCCCCGTGGCTATCTTCGCTGTCACTTGAAGATGATGGCATGACCTTCCTACTTCGTCTTCTAGCAACTCTAGGATGAGGTCACGACTCCCCACTGATGCTTTAAATACCCTCCATCAGATTTTTGATTGGTGAAGAGTTAATTGGACAAAATGCAATAGCAGTAACCATGGCTGCACTTTGTCACAAAGTCTGCTTTCACTATCTGCTCCTGTAGCTATTGTTTGCAAACACGGAAGCGAGTGACCAGGTGAAAGGAGAATCAGCAGTTCATGCAAATATGCGCAGGTAAAGTACTTTAATCACAGTGGCGGGTAAGGAGGGCTGTTTTGCAGAAACAAAGAGTCTTAACCCTGTATGGGAACATGATTAACAATAAAGTTGTGATACGTTGGATATTTTAATTACTACCTGATTCAGTGAAAATGTCACGTAATTGCTTCACCGCTACATCTTCACCTCAAGCAGCTTTTGGCCTTGCCAATTTTTACAAAGTATACCTTCTACGGGAGCATATTATCTTCCTTCGTGCTCATGGAAGTCTCAAACTCTACCATAGTGGCAGCCAAAAGTTACCCTTTTCCAAAGGCTCTAAACTTTAAGTTGGCAACACCAAACTAAAGGGCTAGAAATGACGTCTACCCTCAGCATCAATTTCACCATGTGATCTGCAGGACTTAAGTCACCAATCAAAGGTGAATTTGAACTCCCCCCGCTACGTATATGAATATGTAGTATGATTAGACACTCCTCTGCGAGTGGAATGGAACGCAGAGAGATATAGTAGGGTGACTAGTGTAAGCTCTTCCTCTGATAAAAACGGCTCTGTATTTGGGAGGCTGTTCTCAGCAATATTGATGGATATGGAGCGCTTTAATCGGGTTTTTCCCCAATCGGCATAAAATTTCAATGACTACACTGACTACATTGTGATGTTCCATGCAGAAGGCCAACTAAGGGAACCACCGAAGACGACGATCCCTAGAGGAGAAAGGATACGTAGTACGCTGACTGTCTGTTTACCTCTTGTTTAGATTTGCTGCTTAACGATCATAACTTAACCAGTTTGGCTAGGCTTCTGACCGTGGTTGCAGTCTCAAATCTTATTATGCACTGAAACGGCACATTAGTCTCGAGAAGTACCCCTTCTTAGTACTTCAAGGAAATATGAAAAGTGCAGGTGGTGACAACCAAAAAATCAAACTTACAAACCTAGGTCTACTCATGTAAATCTCAGGGCAAATAAAAAATGCCATTTATGCGTATAACCAAACATCCAAGCAACTTGACTGGGTAGGGAATGTGGGTAATTGATAAGTGTGTAATACCTGATGTCTGACGGTTACTGTGGCATTCGTTTTACCCATGTAAGCTAACCTTTGGGCCATGGTAAGATCCTATCCTTTTACTTCTTCTCCTCCTAGAATGCATGTATTCTGCTCAATGTGATGTCTTCTTCCACCAGGTGGGAAGTCTTCGGAGGCTGCAGAGTGCTTCGATATTATAGTTCAAAGCGCAGAACAGCAAACTTTATTCTAAAACATCTACTCAACAAAAAATCACAATTAAAGTAATAAAGCAAAACCCGTTTTTCAGTAACGAAATTCTTTTATTATGATTTTAATCCCATTGCTTGTAACTGTACTATGGGCAATGATATTAACAGGTCCGCACTCCCCACATTCCCCCTTATCACGCCTAGTGTAAGAAACTTGTTTGTTCTGGAGCATCTTTCCCACAGGCGAGACTTTCAAATGATATCTCGTCAAGAGCGCTATGGCCTACAATTCTTACCGACGGCGAAAAATTTAATATTAAAATTAGATGTGTACACGCATCTCCCTCCACGCAACACCCTGGATTTCCGAGTGACTAAATTGAATCAAAACGAACCCATTGTTACAGCTTGCACAAATAAAACAATTTAGTAAACGTTACCCACTGTTTTTATTAGGCAGGAGTACAGCAGTTTTTCAATCTAAGCCACCTCAAATCACAGTGGCAAACAAATAACAAAAATGTGCTTATGGATGCCCCTATCGTTTGCATAAAGTCATCATGCTAAATTTTAATTGCTCCAAATAAAAATTATTCCTAAGTGATTTTGATTATGATTTGCAAATTTGTTTTGTGCTGTCGAGTGGTATGCCTAACCTTGAGGTCTACAGCAGGTCAATCCTTTGAATCATTCTCTGCGGGGTGATGTTCCTATCGTTATCGCACGCGCGTTTTCGCAAATAAATTATAGGCTTGATCTAATTAATCATGGAAACTGTTAGTCTTCAGAATTCTCGGAACTTGGATAGCTTGTATTTAACCCTGTTGGCAGACGTTAAGGTAATTTTGAATTGCCTGTTCATATTTCCCTTAGAGTGGTGGTCCGATATGGGAAGATATCGTTGGAAAAGGTGGAAAGTTGTTTACAGCGTTAAGGTTTGTGCCCAGTACCTGATATTTTTCAGAGCGACTGTTCATGCGACCAATGCTTTCCTAGACGCCATTCAGAGGCTCGCTGATTTAGCCTCGAAAACCTCTGGCGGCAGTAAGGAAATTGGCGCACATTTTACGCGTTTGTGTATGCGTCAAAAACGCCTTGGAACAAAGGTCAAAACTATGGGCAAGTGAGTTATTGACTAAAACAATGCATCAATTCCTTTTCTCGCTCACACATAAACTCGTTTTACAAATTAAAATTTAGTCAGTTGATCACGTGTATGGTCAATCCAATGTCCAGTCACATGGAGGAGTGGAAGAAGACACTTGCTCAGATCGAGAAGGAGCACAATCGTGAGGCTAAGCGCGCTCGGGGGGAGTTGAAGCGAGCTCTGTCGGAAGCGAATCGCTTGAAACGCAAGCTGGCCAAACAAGGGAATGGGAGCACATTGCACAGTCGCCAAAGCAGTGGAGGCAGTACTATCGGTCAGGGTGTAGGTCTGGGGGAGCCTCCCACATCCGGTCGGGTTCTCTCCCCCACAGTTACTATTGGGATCGGTACTAGTTCCCTCGCCGTTCGTACTGAATCTGCCACAAAGGTTTTAGAAGAGAAGATTCGTCAAATGGAAGACCTAGAAAGAGCTACCATCAAACGGCTCATGCTTGAGGAACGTGGACGTTATTGTTTCTTCTTCAATTGCCTCCGACCAGTACTAGTAAGTGTTCTTAAGAAAAATAAATACTTCCGTTAAAGAGCTTTTTCACCTAATGACATGGTTGATATATGATTTAATACATGCCAAAATAGTACTCAAGGATAAATTTAATACCATATAACAATAGTCCTCTGCATTCACTTGACACCTAAAAGTCTCGATCTTTGGCATTTAGGGACTTACATTAAATCTTTGAAAAGCCTTCAAGTTTTGAGATGTACTACAAGAAGACGTCTCCAGCTACTTAAAAGCTAAAATAATGCGCTCTACTGCTACAGTAAATACTGTGCTGGTTTCGACGAAAATAAATAGAACCGCATGACGAGCGTCAGCATATTTATCCGTTTAGGTTGGTTGGTCACCGATTTGCTGCTCATTAAAATGAGAAGGCGCCTTTTGGTATCTGCTGCTGCAGGTCACGTTTTTTTGCGTAAACTGTGAGTTTGAAGTATGCGCCAGCACTTATTTTAGTCCTAAAATTTCTCAAGAATGCGAGCAAGCATGCGTTCATTTAATCATCGTCCGTATAATAACGCGACCCAGAAGGTCAACCACTGGTGACGTATAACTGCATTACCTGCAAAAGCTCCCTCTTGCAAAGCTTTCAATTCCTCCCATCATTAGAAGGTCTATCCTTCGCACGTTGTTTGACTTTTACCTGTCAGCCGTTCACTTAAACTGCCGCTGTTACACTGCACTCCGCTGAGGCGGCCATCAAAATTTCTGGGACTTTCCGACTTAAATTGGCCTCTGCATGACACCAACTAGATCGTTAGTATCCAAGCGTCAAATCCGCTAGCGTTAATCTTTATCGTTTTTTGGCATCGCTTAACTTCACAACTGTATGCGTGTCTTGACTGCGGAGTTCTGCCGTGTTATTTTCAATAACATTGGATCTGTATGGGCTTCAATATGGGTTTTGCAGCCCTTCGGCCTTGTCAGTTGTAGGAAAATTCATATGCAAATGCCTGCCTTTTATTGCAAGGGTATCCGGTCCAGAATTTAAACCCTGATTGGCAGCAGAATTTTGTGTGTCGTCTGAGTCTATTTCGATCAAAATTTTGCAACATCACCTCCTGCTTTATAGGATAAAAATTGTCATATCCTATCCTCGGTGCTGCTTAAAGATGACTGGAATCAAAGGTACAGGCACAACATTCGATGCTGCTAAAGCACAGAGGTGGTGAAACAGGATTTTGTCGACCAATTTTTTCACTTCCTGAAGCCCTAGTTAAATGGTGGGGAGACAGTTCAGCAGACTGTACTTGAATTGGATAGAGGGTGGGTGGCAATGCCACCTAGAATGCGTAGCTGCTTTCCTTCTAGTTGACTTCACTACCCTAATATTTTGGTCCATCTCCGGCTGGTGCAGGCATTACCCTTCTAAAGTCTTGTTTATGTCAATCAAAGTGTCTCATGTTTTTAAGATTCGTCTTGCTTGAAGTTCCATACTTTGTGGTTGCCTCCTTCCTGAGGTGTGGCTATTAGTTAATTAAGATTTCCGTAACCTTTCACACAGGAGTTAACTTTAATAGTGGTGCCTGCAGTGTCTGCATTGCCTTTTATACAATCTGGTCCTTTGTTAATTTTGGCGTCCGCAATTACTCTTGCCATGCAAGTCGTGCTCTTACTTCCATCAGTAGCAACTTCACAGTGGTCGGTGGGTGGAATCTTCTTTTCACTTCCAAGTTTCTTTCCTACGATCTGGACCTGGTGTTCTGCGGTTTGCATCGCTCCTCCCTGATGATGGGGTATACGCGTCTGCAAATTGGCCAATGGGGGCAGACAATGTCTCCAGGCGTCCTTGGAAGAGGGAACCAATCGCTAGTAAAGTTTGATAATATTTTTCCTCTACCCCCTCCTCTCCATTCTCCTCCTTCTTTATCACCGCCTCTCCACATTTTTTTTGCTTACGTACTAGAATGGTTTCATTCTGAGCCGTCATATTTTTTGTCAACTTTGTGATGCCTTTAGCTACCTCCCATTTCCATGGCGCCTGCCTAACATAGTTTCCACTCTGTAAGGAAAGATGAGCTTTTCTACATGCTTGAAGATTTCCCAGGGCTGGCGTTGACAATTTTGGATGGTTGTTGTGAATCCCTCCTCATTACTTTGTTATTAAAGTAGATTGCGCCGTTGTATTTTGAACTCTGACCTCTAGCTTTGCAAAACTCATTGTAAACGGTGTTCACTTTTAACCTGAAACTGTCTTAGTTTTTACCTGATTCAAAAGATGACCTCAAGCATGACTTCATTACCTACGGGGACAAACTTGAAGCTTCTATGATTGCTTAGTGTGATTTTAAATGTACTGGACGCATTGGGAGTAAGTGATACATGCAGTCAAGCAATGATTGTATCTCGAATCTACAAATGTGAGACTTTTCGCTTTAGACGTCCGTTCCGAAGTACGTCTACCTTGTCAGCATCCAGATCTTGCAAACGATGATCCATTCAACATGGCACGACCATCAAGAGGCATCCTTGTTGTTGTAATGTTTTTAGGAAACGGAAACCAGCCTCCTTGGTGAAATTTCTACACTTCACGAACTCTTCACCGCCCTATCCACTGCAACGGAGGACCCAAGCTGCTTACTAGAGGAGGCGGAGACTGTTTTAGCTCATGCCGGAGCAGGAGGTGAGGCAGGAATTCCGGTGTCACCTACTCGACCGCTCTGCTCTCCAGGCACCAACGAAGTTGAGGCTTTTGCCTCTGCCGTTGATGCAATCATGTCCAATCGACAACGCCAGCAGCATCAAGCTCACATTGGAGACGAGGCCACTCCAAGTCTTGCCTCTGAGAGCCTCGACTCCACCTCCTCCGGATGGAGTAGCAGTGGTGGTGGAGGAGTTGACACAAAGGCAATCGGATTGAGCGCCAGTCCCAACTCCAGTCAAGTCTCTGTCCATAGCACCGGCAGCAGTGTGTTTGCTCCACAAAACCAAATCAACGCTATTCTCAGGCAGTCCCGTGGTCAGGTTGGTTTTTTGTCGTTTGATGAATAGGTTAATGCTAAGCCCTTCATAGACGTAAGTGCAATTTACCCTTCATCAATGCATTGTCCGTTGCGAAAGTATTATAGTAAATTCTCTACTTCTTCATGTCTTTAAATTAAGCATTTGGTTTTCTGGTTTTTGAGACGAGCAAATGAACCGATCGCTAATCTGCTGTAGTGCCTTGAAGTGCGCATTAAAGTTATGCGATCCCATCGACAAAGGGTGTCAATGACCCTCACTGTTCCAGTTGGAAAGATCTGTCTGCAGTTAAGCCTATTTTGACGTTGCAATAAATCTCAAATTCCCATAGCCTGCGCTTCCCATAGGTCATTCGGACACTGGTGGAAGTTCACTAATGTTAGTGGACTACATGGTCCCTTCTCCCATCCATTTTGAATCTTGCTATGTGAATGCCTCTTTCAGAACAACCAAATTATTTATGGGCACAGCGGTCCACCTTGCTATCTCCATTGGGGATTTAATTTGTTTTTTAAGCCTCGCCTAATGATGACGGCAGCAGGAGGTTGAATCTAGTCTCTTCCGGGCAGAAAAAGTCGTTTTGTTAACCATGTGGACTCGACTGGCCTCTACCTTTTCTACTTGGCCACATCTGTATCCGCTCCAACTTAGATTTTTAATGTACTTAAGGAATGTTCATGTAGGTAGTGAATTGGATACTTCCATTCCTATATTTGCCAATGAGTTGTTGATCTCCCTCAAGTGGAGTGCCAAAACTGTCTTTCCACCCGGTGGTACATTCTTCGATGCCTAACATTTGGCATCTGTTTAATTCTCTCGTATTTATTTTCCTTTTATTGCATCGCATCTCATCGTAAACACTTAACTGAGCAAAGCCTTCCGATTGCGGACTGGGGCTTAAGACCTCGTAACTGCGTCTTTCGGGTTGTTGCTATGATTTGTCGAATTTGCACATTTAGGCTTATTAGTTAGTCATACATCCTTTTTTTTAAAAAAATCCTTTAAAAGCATTTTCCACAAGATGTGTATTGAAAGTCCTTCATCAAGGCTACTGTTCTTGCGCCTACTTCCCACTGAATCCGACCCTAAATTTCAACTTGTGAGAATGGCAAAATGTCCCTTAAAAATGATCAAAGGTGGTGACAGCACTTCTCTGTTGGTCATCTTGAATACCTCCTTCCTAAACACCTCATGGATGAGCTTGCTTGGAGATGATTTGGTATCGGACTTCCCTATTCTCTGACAGCACGGCTGACCGATAAAATTGCTAGTGGATTAGTAGGAACAACCTCCCTCTTATCCCTCTTCAAGTGGACGGGCTCCTTTGATAGAAGCAAACTCGTCATTTACAAATGCTGTGCTCGTGAATGAGGTCATTTGGCAGTACAAGTCAATCTTGAGGTCATGTTTCAGCCTTCAAAGTGGTTGTTTGGCCATTAGGTCAACTGTTTGGACTGTTCTTCAACCCGTGGGGCATTACTTAGTTGCTCATCACTACTGGCTTTGGACACATGTCGGTGCCTTGTCTTGGCACGAATACTGAAGTTTACAGTGTTCTTTCGGATTACCACCTCTACTTGGAATAAGCCTCCCACTTTTTTTTATAGCAGTCATTATTCATTATTCTTAGAGAAAGAACTGATGAGGAGGCGGTAGATTAGCTTGACATTTATATTAATTGCACCTCAATTTAGGTTTGAACTTCTTCCTCTGGAAGTAGGCACCAGATGATCTTGGAAGGCTGCTAGCGCATTCTTCGAGGTGGTTGTGACTTCACTGAGACCTTTCCTCTTGATGTCTTTGACCTTAATTCGAGCTGGGGATGGGATTTTTACAACGCCCCTCTTGGCAACAGCCTAGCGATTTCCTGTTGATTGGTCCTGTTTGCTTCTTTCACTTTTAAAGTGAGGACGTAAAAGTACTCTGTCTATGCCTTTCTGTATGGCATTTGGTAGGGGAAGAAATCCGGCCTTCCTTTTGTATTTTTTGCGTTTCCTGCCTACCCGCATGGGGACCTAATTTGTCCCTTAAATGACCTTCTTGTTTGCCATTATTTGATGGTTTCCTCTTCTCAAATTCAAATTTATTGGTGTTTAAATCGCAGTGAATTTTAATGCAACAGTGGGAGTTGACGAAGCACCCGTTTTGGAATGCCATTTCACATCCGGGATATCTTTTTATTCGAGCTACACCTCTCCCTCCTCCTCCTCCTCCACCAAATTTTCGCATAAACACAAACGCTGGATTTGTTTGTCGACTATGACCTTTTATTTGCACAATTTTTAGACCAAATCTCTTTCTGCTGCAGTCTTCGTTTCTCATGCTATCTGGTCGTTCAAGCTTCTCTTTTTGGTGGGTTACGGGCTTAACTCCTATCTTCCACTCGGAGTCTCGAAAATATTTGTAGTGTTGTCGCCAAGGTGTTTTGACGATCCACTGGAAAGGGCTTCGTCACGTCTGTTAGGTGTTCCTGCCTAAAATGGTCGCTTCTGTTGTGGCAGATGTTGGTAATTTGACCTGACGTAACTTGTGGTGCAGTGACAATTTCGCCTGGAGGAGAAGTAAAAGTGCTTTGTCTCGACCCATTGTTCGCGCAGTCTCGATGACTAACAATGGCGTTAGTTGGTGTCCGGGCCTTCTCTACCTTCCTACTTGAGGCGCCATTTGCAATTCACAAAGTTGCATCAATGTGCATAGCTCTTGACTGAAAATGTTTCAGATTTCTACACGTTAACTCCGTAGCAAGTTGATGTCCCTGGTAAAACAGGTGTGCCGCCGGCGTTAATGCACTATAACAAGTTTTCCAGTATTTTCCAAAGCGAGTGGTACTTGCAGACGAATAGGAGGTACATAATGAAAATAGATGGCATTTGAAATGAATCTTTGGTGGTATGTTCTGCCATTTCTGCAATCCTTCTTGCCAACCTAATTGCATGACTTGTGTTGCCAGTCGGCCTCGATAGTTGCTGAGCTTTGAAGTTCGTTGGCGCAGTAGCAGGTGGAAGAGAGGCGTGTATCAAGTTTTAATTACAGAGCACAGTTTGTGATACTTAATTCCTTATAAATGAGCTCCAGCTTTGCCTACTCTGGTCACCAACGCGAATGCCGGCTGGGTCGCGTGTCCAAATGGCCAGTTGAAAGTGGCGACGGCGACTGGCTTAACAAGTTGACCGCTGCTCAATCGTCCTGCCCCTTGTGTTAAGTATAACAATTTTTTGACGATTCTTGCCTACCATATAGCAACTCAATAGAGTGTTTGTTAAATAAGGTTTAGTGAATGCCATTTTATGTTGCCGATGAGGAGACGATTTTATGGTCGCCACACCATCTGTTGGTTTTCATTGTGATCCAGCGGAAGCGTTTGGACCAACAATTTCTCCTTTATTGGGATTGGAGGGATTTTGTTTCATGGAGAGGCACTAAATACGAACCAATTATTAGCAGAACTAACTCTCGAGTATGCATCTCTTTAAACTCCTCAAAATGGCACGATTAGTTCGGTTGGCAGCCATAAAGACGGGTAGTTTCCTACCAAAAGTGAATGCTAATCCAATTTAAGCCTCTGAGTTGCCACTTCGTTAGACACCTTCTAATCCGCCTACCTCAAGACGGTAGAGGTGTTAACAGGTTGTATCATTGCCTCTTTCTTTTACCACTCACAGAATGCCTGAGTGAATTTTCACAACTCACTCGTTGGTCCACATTAGATAAGTGGTGGAGTGTGCTATTACCAAGCGCACCGACGCCTTAGAGACAGTGATAGGCGGTGCATGGCATTCCGTAGTTGTGCGGTTGTCATGCCGCTATGCGTAATCCGTATGTCTGTGAAAATACAACTTTGTGCGTGTCTTGCTAACCCTTCCACACCAAGTGGTCTCTTTCTTTTTTTATCATTGTCAAGCTGTGGCATGCGAGATGCAATAACAAATTGCGCCTCCGTTTTAACAGTGAATGAGAAGTTAACGAAACATTGCCGTCCCAATGACAATGCGCACATGGCACCGCATATCTGTAAAAGTGGGTTTGTTTTTTTCTAAAGCAAAATGAGAATGAGAATTTCGCCCTGGAGTTGCATGTTTTGGAATGTGTCTTCTGCCATTTTCACTTAGTTTGGCAATTGTTTGGTGGAGAAATCAAATTGAACGAGTCTGATAGTTGAAAAGGGGCAGGCATGGAAGTCGTACCTGGAGATGAGTGATTTTGTAAGTTGCTTCTCGGTTGGCCTGATGACTGTGGATAAGGCTTTTATTCTCCATCCTTTGTCAATGTAAACAAGCTTCCCATTTATGGCTTGTGCTTCTCTTTCACTCTGACCTCACCTCTCATTCGTCAATTGCATTCATTTCCTTAATTTAATCACGACTGGCGCTCCGAGGCCTTTTAAATGGGCACTTATGTCTGTCTCCACAAGGCTTGTTTCAAGTCCTTTCCTTTGAGTGCATTCCGATGTGAAGGTGGAGATCTGCTCCAAGTGATTGCATCAGAAAATAAGAAATTGCATTCCTTTCTAGTTTCGAGTTTATCACTCCTTACTTGGAGGTGGATTGGCAAAACAAAGACGAGTGCGAAGCATCTCATCCGCAAAGTGTGTTGCAATATAGCAGTGTCATCGCAGTTTATGTAGGAAATTCGTTTAAAAAAATATCGAGTTGCATCCACCTTCCGATCCCCATACCTATCGTCTTTTTCAATGTTTCAGTTATAAATAGGGAATTTCGAGCATGGTTTTACCAAATCTGGAATGTTTTAAGGCATGGAGATGGTGCGTTGAGCGGTTTGCAAGCAGTCGTTCAAAGTCGCCTTCAGCAATCCTTTCAAGTCCCGATATTGCTCATACAAACTGGTTTCCCTTTTGTCATGTTTGGTTCGCTTGCGGTTTTTTGATGCGTCTAAGCCATCCCCCTTGGAGGATTGCACAGGTGGGTGGTCGTTCCACACCTTCACGACTTGCAGATGGGGCATTCACCACTCAGTCATCTCAGGTTGACTTGTTTTGCAAACAAAAAAGTTTTTCATCGTAACTGTCATTGAGGCCTGTCAATACAACTGTTGTGAATCCGCTAAAACGGAGCAAATGCTCTAACGCCTCAAAACATTTGGTGTGTCCTATCGGCTTGACTTTTGGAGGAATACAAGTCTCCTTGAGAAGAGTTGGAAAGGGCCCTACTTCTACCAAAATTTAGCATGTTTTGATTTGCTGTATCAGTGGTAAACATAGTATTTATGCCAACTAATGCCTCACAGGAGGTCCCTTTGGGAAGGCACTGCCAAGTTGAGGAAAAGGCAGAATTGCCAATTTCTGTACTTGCTGCAAGAATTTGGCTTGGTTTCGCCAAATTTTGACCAAAGATATTCTCTTCAGTTAAGGCATCAACATCGATTTCAACTTCGATTCCATGACTTCTCTTAATCATCTCCTTCAAAGTGCGGGATGCGTAATGTGCTGCCTGCTCAGGCAGGAGACGATTCTGCCTTTGCTGCAATACGCACGCCTAATGCTGTTACATCCTCTACTGCTAGGGCAGACCCACCGTGATGCTCCCTTCGCCCGTCTGTCTTGTCATGTGTTCCATTGTGACAATCAAAACCCTTGGGAGTTCGAAGATGGCGCACCTCAGTCCCCAAGGCCAGTGGTGAACCTGTTTTCATCCCCTTGCTATTCCAGGGGGCCAAAGTTGCTTCGATTTTAACGCATTGTTAAATGCAGTTTGGTGAGAACAAACAACTGTTCCCTCAATTCCAACCGCGAGCAATAAATCGTACTAAAGTGCGTTAAAAGCGGTTGTATGGAATTCTGACACGATTTTCCGACGACGGATAGCATTTAGGCGGCGAAAGATGCGTGGCATTTGGTGAATCAATTTACATGGCTTTTAACATAAAGTAACGTTCAAAAAACCCATTCCTCCCTCAAACCTTCCATCGGAGCCATTGGGTTTGCTTTTTTTATCTTCCCGTGTGCCTTCGAGAGGAATGGAGGCAGGTGATTTTGCAGGTGGGCCACTCTTAAGCCATATTCTCTGTGCACGAGCCCTTCGTTCATTTGCAAATTCTAGCTAATTCCCTTTGCTATTGCGAACGCCCATCCGTTTTAAAATAAGCCTGTCGCCGAAGACCTGACTGCTTTGAATGAAGCAACGGTTTGATGCATGGCTATCTACGGCGGTAGGAAGGCGGTCCCAAAGGATGACGTATTGGTTCTTTAACTTGGTGAAGGGAATTGTGTCTTCGATTAACTGCTCTTAGTATGGAGGAGCGACATCAGTACCAATCAGGAGGACAATGAATGTGAGATATTTCAAAATCAAATTCTCTGCTTTGGACGTAGTTGAGTCAAATCGAGAGCCTTACACTTGCCCTACAGGGTTTCACTTTCCACGCCCCAGCATTGTTTGGGCTTGATGAATTCAATCAACAAGGAATAATTATGGGGTGGAAAGGATATTACCAGTAGCTCCTCCTTTTATCAACTTATCTTTAAACTACATTTTCTGAGTGTACTCCTTCAAACTGCAATTATTAAGTGAATTTCATAAAGTTTAAATAGTCAACGAAGGCTTTTGTCTTATGGTGCCATGTGCAGCCAATCTGCTAACTTCAGGAAGCTACTCCTTACTTCAGCCACATGCGAGGAGGCCATTTCCGTAGGTCCCACTTTGGAAGCGTTTGCTTTTAACTGACTGTTCAAAGCCATGCAGCACCGTACCCCAGGTGCTCCTTTAATTACCTCTCTTACCGTAACTAATTATAGAGATAGCAAGTGAGTCACCAACTAGATGTTGGAGACGAAGATTGCGTTTCCCATTCAAGCCTTGTGGTGATCCCACTTCCACCCTCCATTGATTACACTGTTTCGAAGGTGTTTTATGTCACCCTATTCAAAGGTCAAAGGGATGACTGTTTCGTGTTGTTTTATTAGGTACGAAAGGTTCTTTTGTCCCCCAATGTGCACACCTCACATCGCCGTCATTGTTGTGCCTATGAGAAAGTGAAGATGATTGGCGTGAGAAAATCTACTGAACAATCGTGTTGTAGACTTGTCTGCTCATAAAAGCCACGTGCAGAGATTTATGCCAATTCTAATTGGTCTGATTGCGGGCGCATAGAGCCTGGTCTCACGACAGCAGGAACTCAAGTCGTACTGTATGGAGGGGCGTAGGCAAAAATGTTTTTTTTCTTAACTCAATGCCCTTCACTTTTAGCAGTAACTTCTCTTCACTGATTGCATGGATAAGCACAACATTTGTTACCGCTACAGCAAATGAGACGCTCTTAAGAAGATTCATTTTCTCGTACAGCCTTGCCCCCAATAACCATTTCATTGGCGAAGGCTTCGGATAAAAAAACCTGACATTTTTGTATGTGGTAATGGTGGAGCGTTTTGCTTTTTTTTATTACCTACGCATACATGAAATCGGTATGGCTTTTTGTGGGAAGTTGCCCCTACCTGTACCTTCATTTACCGAGGAATAACACTTCGTTGGCTTTTTTTCGAACCATCATCATACTACCAGAGTTTTGTTTTTCCGAATCAGCAAATTCTTAGCATTGTTTGTTAAACGCTAAATGAAGAATAAAACAGCCTTCGTTTTCCTATGGGTAACCGAAACAGAACGACAACGGACCTCGCTCGGCCTCCGTGGGCCGACCAACGATTAACGGGTTGTCTCAACGCATCGTCACCTCCTGTGGCGGTGAGGAGGTGATTCTTCGCCGCCCAACCACCAATGGAGCCTGCATGGCGTCAATATCTGCCCGTCAGCGCCCTCAAACTGCAACTTCAAGTGCAAAGGAAGCTTCCAGTTTCTACACCTCCTCCATTGCCACATCAGCCGACCCAAGTCCGAACCATCGACACTCCACGTGTACATTGCAACAGCTTAACGACACACTTCTGTCATCGGGGGAGGCGACAAGCAATGCGAAAGCCAGCAACAGTACTAGACTGACGGAGAACGAGGAGGCGGAGGAGGAGGAAGAAACCGCATCGGGGACGCTGGATGATGAGACTTCGGATGATGGCGTTCTCTCTGATGAACGCAGACTCTCAAGCGGTGGTTGCAGAAACACTCTCACTGGCAGTGACGAATTGGCTGCACCAACTCTCTCCAACGTTCTCACTCGCGAGCATCGATGTGAGTCTGCGATGTGCATTCTAGTGGAGGCTGAGATTGGTATTGCCGTTTGTAACTGTCGTCGGTTTGTCACTTTTATCTTAAAGTGTTTCACCTCAGTAAAAGTAAAGGCATCCTCTTTTAAAGCAGTTTGATTTGTGAACAGGCGACGTGACAAAAACGGTTGTTTGATTCATCTATGAACCACTGCTGGTTTCAATGGACCTTTAAAAAACTTTCTTGTATTCTGGTAATTTGGAATGTCTGGAGCGTGATCCGCTTGGCATCTCTTTTTTATAATAATTTTGTGTGCCGCAAAATCTTCCTTGTCGGTCCACCCGACGATAATGTTGCTTTCACTTTACAACTTTGCTGCGAAAAGTTAGTTCTCATGGAAAACCGACTTCTGACTTCTTAGTTGGTCTTTATTCATGTGATGATTTCGAACCGATCAATTTCTTCACCACTCATTCCAAAATGTGACTTCTCGGGGTTTATACTGTTGGCTTTTTATTTTTCGTGATGTATTCAGCATGGTCGTGCAGTCGTTGAGTGTCAGCACTGAAACAGCCGTGTATGATGATGTTCCAAGAAAGTTGAACCGAGTTAGCGACGCCTTTCTTGCACTTCGTTGCATCAGCTGGATTCCGAAGTTGACCGATTCTCCGGGTTTGAGAAGGAATGCTTAGTTGCATCAGGAGCGAATCCAGTGCGGGGTAGAAGAGACTGTGAACGTTTCTCAGAAAGTGACTGTTTTGTGGAGCGTCTTCCAACCCAAATCGCCTCCTTTTTTTCCGCTTTTATGTCTATGGTGGTGCTCTGCACTCAACCATCCGAGTAGTCCTTCTTGCATCATGTGACTACGCCAAATGATTGTTTATGGTTGATGTAACTGGCACGCTCAACTTTCAAGTCCCTTAAGCACGCGCTTTCACGATAGAAGTGTTTTCTGTGCCCTCTTTAGGTCCTCCCACTGTTTTGTTCACGTTGTTGTTTTTCACCTAAAGACTCATATTGAACTCAATCTCATCCTCCGCGCTGGGTCAGTTAGCTCTCTGCTTGAATATGGAAAATCTTACCCCATGGGATCACAGAAGTCCAGCATACCAGTGACAAGTGTCAGTTTCACTTTGTAACTGGCCAAAGACACACTTTTGCAGGTGTGTTGATCCGTTCTGATGCTATTCAAGCCTACAATAACAATGGAAAAGGGAAACGCTCTTTGCTACTGACAGCAAATAAAATAGCATTTACGAAGTACTTGGAGAGGCTTTGAAAGAATTAAAAGGTTGACTTGAGGATTGCTTCCGTTGTGAGTCACTGTGTGTTTCAAGGGTGCGAAGAGAATGGCATAAATTTGGGTCGTTACTTCCTCCAAATGACGTGTAAGTTACCTTAAACTCCACCCATTTGGTTTTTCCTCCTCTACCACACCCTTCATAAAGCAGGACTTGGAAATTTTGAATCATTGCTTTTTGTCCTCCCCACCTGCAGACCCAGATCTCGTGTTCACTATGGCAGGATGGAACGTCGTGCTTCGGTTCTTAACGTCATTCTATCCCCAATGTCTATTTCTGTCGCTGTTATTGTCGTCGCCGTTAACTCATGTTCACCTTCCTCTTTCCTACATCGATTCAATCTTATCTCGATCTAAGTTCTATTTACATTAACCCATGTCTAGACACAGTTATGCTCTTTCGATTAACATTGGAGCAGACGTTAGATAAAAAAGCATACCTCGAGTCACACCCTCTGAAGCCATTTGAGGCGATATTTCGGGGAATGTGGTTGACTACGGATCTCAAAGAGCGATTCTATTCTACATTTGCGGATACTTGACCCTCGTGTGTTGCCCTGGTTTCCGTTGCTATCATCTCTGGCTTTGGTATGCTTTTTAGCGATACCAGTGGCCTATAGTGTGTCTATTACGTAGGTGGGAATCCCCTTTTACATGTCGCCCTGGCCTTTGTCCATTCGTTCCCTCTTGAAATCCAAGAAGAGACGAAAATTATATCAAAGTGTCCTCTGGGGTTACATCCTGCTGTGACTATTACGCGGTTTCGCCACTGGTTCCGAGAAGACTTGCCTAATAGCAGTCATTTGTTGAAGACGGTGTTTAAAAATGACGTCGCGGCGACAACATTTACCATTCAATCCTCCTTTTCACTTTATTCTTACTTCAGCGTTGTCCGACCGTATCTGTCAAACAGCGATGCAACTGAAAGAAGTGAAGCAGAAGTCGTAGTTTCTCTTCATTTGACACCCTCAACATGAGTCACTGACAGCTCCGTGGAGAAGTGTTCTAGACTATTCACAACTAGCCTTGTTCCAGCATGGGACAGACCTCCTCTGCAACACAGAACGTAGTATCTTGACGAAGATTGGTGCCATTTTTAACTCTTTGGTTTGGGAATCGCAAGCGCTTTTCTCCATCTGTGGCACATACTTGCCTTTTGTCACACCGAGGTTCATTAATCTGGGTGGAAAACGACCGTTGGTATCCTCTTAAATTGAGTGTCAAGTGAGTCGACTTTTCCCTAACATTGACAGGAGATATAAGGTCTGTGCAAAGTGTACATTGTCGAGACGGAGAAGACGTAGGAGGCTGCTGGCATGGTTCAAAGACCATTCTACCTAGGGGAAATGCAAAGGCGGAGCATCAAAAGCCTTCGAAACCATAGTACTGTTGTCAATGGCATCACTGGGAGGTGTGCGTGTGAGAAATTCTACTCAATGCTTTCTACAAGAATACTATGGCCAAAAAGCCACATTTTTTTGTTTCCTTGTAATCATCTCGTGATGGATTCTTGAGGTTCTTGCACACAGATTTAATGGTGTTGGAGTTTCGGTAACTTTTTTCGTGCCTTTCAATTTGTTAGGAGTTGTGTGATTCTAAAGTTACGCATAATCGGTGACTCTCTTGCGTAGTGATTCACTGTATCGTTTACTGACACCTCGACTGTGTGTAGGCGCAGGATTGATGAAGTGCTCAACCTCCTTCTGAAAATCACCACTCACCACCAGCAGCTCCTTTCATTCCACAGCGCTGGAGGAATCCAGAATTCCCCTTCCTGATATTAAATTGAATTGGATCGATGCTGCTTGCATTATTTCTGTCTGTCGTTTTACGCATCCACCATCTGTCATCAAGGCTGCATAGTTCGCCTGCTTGGAAAATTTGCATCTAGACCAGTGAAGTTAACTTTTGAAATGTAAATTAGACAGCTTTTTGTCTCATAGACGTCGCACCTTGAGCCACCTGAGCAATCGCATACTCAAACATGAAACATTCATCACGTTTATGCTTCAATTTCAATTGCTAATTGCGAAAGTAGACTTATTGCAGACTCATGATTTTTTTGAGTGGCGCAATTCCATTCTCATTAAAGTTATTAAATCATTCAGCCCTATCACGTGGAGGTGACCCACAGGCGATGCTCTACCCGGACCAGTCACTCCCTCCGCCTGTATACACTAACTTGAATAAGCTGACGCATGCTGCCCATCGCAAGTTCTCCATGTCTACGACTGTGGCGTCGAACGCACCCGGCATTGATGCAGACGTGGGCGCATGGCAACCCATAGACGAGGGCGACAACCTCTCCATCGCCTCTGCACCGCACGTTCAGCCCGAGCAGAAGACAACGAACGGAGGCGTCTACTCGGTACCCGGTTCGCCTCACCGACCCTCCTACTCTACCTCTTCTTCCAACTCTCGACCTCGTGGTGGTTCCACAGGTGTGGAGGACCCCTTCTCCATCGAGATGGATGAACTTGATCGAATGGTCACTGGTGGGTACTCTGCTATGTGTTGGACTAGTGACATGCAAATCATAAGTTTATTATAAACCTTTTGAACTGGTTTACTAAGATTGACCACGTTGCCTCAGAAAAAAGTTGCATTGGGCAGCGGTTAAAGTGGTTAGAGTTGGAAGCTGTTGCAGCCCGAAGTTGAACATTCGACTTACGATTTTTATTTCCCTTCCCTTTAAAAAGGTCAAAGGGATTTAGGGTAACTAGTGCTTCCTTAAAGATGTGTTGTGTTTCTAGTTATGGCATTACCTGTCCCCTCAAAGTGACTAAACTTCTTAAAGAGCACAAGACGAGATACATTTGTACCTTTGGCTGACTTGTCTTTGCATGATGTTACTGCCACTCAAAGTATTTATTTTGTAAACGTGGTTCTGTGTTTGTATGAAGAGGTACAATCCATTCCACTTCATTCATGCGTGTCTTCATCCTCTTAAAGTGGCATTTCATTGATGGCTGCATCTGTCAAACCTGTCGGTCGAAATTCTAACAAGTTCCCTCCCCTTATTAGCCGTCGATATGACGGGATCGTCGTGTAGTGCCCACTTCTTTTCTGTTAATCATCAATGGTGGAGGTCAACACGAAATGACCCATAAATTTTGCCAAGGCCAACATCGCAGGCACCCAACTGCCATTACATCCACTCGAAGCTGTCTCAGCATGTGTGTGATGGGGCAGTCCCATCGCTGTCAGCAGGTACAAAAATGGAAAAAAGGTCCCGTAAAGCGTTTGCATTGCCTATGCATCATTCAAAGCCAATTTCTCGGCTAGTCACTTGTATTGCCTTTCATTTCTTGGACTTGGCTCAGTTTGTAGTCAGTAGTACTTGCCTAAAGTGTTTTCTCTCTCTCTCTCTCTCAATGGTCCTTTTTACATCCCATCCCATCCTCATCGATGCAGTGACTCACCTCGTGATGGTTGAGCATTAACTTGCCCAAGGCAGAGGACGGTTCGACCACCATACTTCGTACTATTTATTTTGGCATTCTGAATGGTCGCAAACTTTTCTTCTGTAGTCCAATGCCACCTCCGAAGTTACGGTTTTACCTATCTATTTTTGACTCAGGAGAAGGAGGATCTTGGAATCTTGATATTCATGTGATGCTCATTACTCCATAGTTGAATGGTCATGAACGCCAGACTCTCTCTTCGTCCGAGTGGTTGAATACAAGATCGGTGTTTGCTACTGCCAATGCCATTCGAAGGGGTCCCAATGTTCAGTGGCTCCTTTGCGATAGATGGAGCCCTTGGATGACCTTTAGGCGGTTGGCTGCCCTTGGGCTACCTAATGCGGAGGAGATTGAGAGTTCTTGACTGATAGTATTTTGAAACGGGTCATCATCAAATTATCTGAGCTCCACGAACAACTTCGGTTCTCAGAGTCTCTCTTCCCTTCGAAATGCCTCAGTAGTTCTTTTTGTCGGTTGCTCCTTCTTTGTCCCAAGATTGTCATTCTTTGGGATTTTACCTGTATGAAGAGTGCTGGATGCTCTTGGTGATCACGATTTTCATTCGGTTTTTTAAAAAGCTAATAAGCACAACTATTTTTCATACCGCGGTTTTTAAGAACGAAGTATCCACCAAAACAAGATAACAAATCATTGTGATAGCAGTGGATCGAGGTCTAGCATTACTTCGCAGTTTTAGCGTCCAGCTTCAGACTGAGCGTTATCAGTAGACGGCCATCTACGCCACCACAACTGTTTTTTCGTCCAGCGTCGGGGCCGAGTGGGTTGTTCAGTCTCTCTTCGGCCTAATTGCGATAGCAAACCAGACAAATTACCAATAAAAATTTAATACACTAATAAAATTTTGGATCTTACGGTCCACTTTTGGTTTACAAGTAGCCTGTCTGGTATTGCAAACTAAGGCGACCACTTATTTTTTTTGAGTTGTGGGAGGATTGCAGGGAATGTTGTTGTCGTCAATGCAGTTACGGGTGAGATGTGCCTCTCTCCTTAGAGAGGAAAGGGGGGGGGGGAAATTCTGCAATAACTTTCTTCTGGCATACCTTTCCCTCACGTCATGCCCTGGGATAATTAGCCTTCTCCTTGTCATTTCGCTGGCAAAAGGTGCTGCGTTAGCCGGTTTTTAAGACCCATTAATTGGATGGCTCCTATTGGTTGGCCTTGGCCTGTCACAAAAATATCGGTCAGTCTCTCACTTAGACTTAGAGGAACGTAGACTCGGTAATTTAAATCAAATCATCTACGTATTTGCCATAGGACATTTTAACTGCATAAAAATTGAGGGTCATTGATGTGCCTCTCATTTGAATGCTTATTACAGTAAGCATTCAAGCGGAACCACTTCAGTACATTCTTCGTCAGATTTCCGAGCAGGCGGCACTTTGGCAATTGAATGAACAGACTTGCGATCGCATGTTCGCGTTTGTTCGTAATGTTCCGAAATGTCTGTAAAAAGCACCGGTACTCCAGAGCTTCCGCTTATTCTAGAATGCAATGGTTTGGGCTTAGCTTTTTGAGTCAAGGAGAATATTTTTTTAGGCCTTGCAACTTACAGCTATTTCGCCTAATCACAGGTACAGATGGCGCATTGACTTGGGCGGATAAAATTCCATTTCGCCCCCTTGCCAGCGTAAACTGACACAGGACTTGGCTCACGTATGCCAAGTTAGGGAGGAACTGTGTTTGGAGTTGAAGTCTACAATGAAAAGGCGTCTGGGTGTACAAGTGCGTGGTCTCGGTCACATCACCTCCAGACGCGTTTGCGCACAATGTTGCTCCACTGGTGTGGACATTACCTGTCCCACGGATGCGTCACTTCCTCTGGCGGTAGACGCCCCTCTGGCGTGGTAGACCCACCTTCGTCCTGAGATGTTTATGAATTGTTTATGGGGTTGTAGTGTTCAAAACGATTTGCTATTCTGCAAAAGGCGTCTATCCGTGATGGAGCATCAAAGAACCTGCCGCTAGGACGTGTTGGATTTTATGGGCCAATGGGGTCATCCACATATCCTTTCCAACATGTCGGTTAGAATTTGCAAAGAGCAGTTTCATTTGATCGATAGCAATGGTTGTCATTAGCTGAAAGCTCTGCTATTGCTTCCATCAACTGGGCGTTCATATGCTACTTTTGGATTTGATCTGGTGTGGGGTTTGTTTTGTTAGGCGCGGGGAAAGGAAAGGCGCAGCGTGGACTTTTTGCTCTTCTACGCATCACTAATTGCATTACCAATTTCACGAATTCCGAGAGTCTGCAAATTTTACCCTCTTGTGCTTATTAAGTTGTGTTATTTTGTTTTTCTGCACAGCCATTGTAGACGGGAAACACTAAGAAGGCAAATGGGTGCTTCAGAATGTAGACAATCCAAATCGTAATTCTGAAACGCATGAGCTAGCAAAGTGTTCTCGCATTTCCTTAAAGCGTCATTGTTTGTGCAAATTGTTGGCGTTGGGATGGTAGTTGAATTGAAGTGAAGGCGACAACTTGAACAGTTTGATTTGTCATTTCCGTTGTTCAGTTGCTAAGATTGCGAATTTTGTCGCCAAACTTGTATGACGCGCTCGTTCCGCCAGTTTAGGCCGAATAAGATGTTATCTCTCAAGAGAATTTATAGCATCGTGATTGATAAAAGCTCTTCATAGTCCTTCGAGTTCATTTTTCTGCAAATAATTTAGTCCTCACGAATGATTGGAGTTTGAAGAGCTGATTTAATCTTTCTGCCTGGCATTGGTGCACATTTCTCGCACCGACGCGAACATTCGAAGTGCGGAAGTGTCCCTTTTCTGCACCATCGATGGTTTCAACGCCCATTTCCATTTGCTCCAGTTCTGAAGCAAAATTGGAATGATTCACCCAACGGCTGAATCAGCTTGTTCATTTGTAGTTTGAGGCGGTGAACAGCTAGACTCTTCTTCATGTGGGATCGAAATCAGGCTGCTCAAAGCCATGCCATCATAGACTTGAAATTTGTGGCCGCTGAAAATCAGAGGAGTGTCTGACCCTTGGCTGGTAATTGCCACCTCCTCGACCAGTAAGTTATTTCCTTATCCTGTTATTCATTTGCGACGAAAGACAAATTGAACTGCTGTTTGGTATGCAGTTGCATTTCTTTGGAGGCAATTTGTACATCTCAAATGGCGATGGATGGACTTTTTACCAGGACGTCTCCTTTTGACATTTTTCTTGGGCCATCTATGCACACTGCTCCCCTCATGGCGACCACCAGTTCCGGCTTTTCCATTGCATCTGCACATGGAAATCCTGTTGACAATTTCACTCTGAACTCGATTTGTGAGGGCTGGTCTACAAGAGCATTATTTATTTTTTTATTCTAACTAATCTGTGACTCTGGTTAACTCACAGAAACATTTCTTTACGTGCACGCACCAGCTCTAAAATCGGATGAGTTTTTGTCCGAATAGAGCTTGGTAGATGGAGAGAGGGAGGTCAGATAGTTTATGCAAATTTATGCAAGTTAATTATGGATGTGTTCTTTTTACCCCCATCATCCATCTCTCCGTCCTTCAACCCACCTCCCCATCCACTCCATTTTTGCACATTGGCACTCTAATGCCTCCTGGAATTAATTTGCTTCCACATTGCTTGGCCTCGGACTGATAGAACTGCATTGCCTAAACAAATATCCAACCCCACGCTTGAGCTCAACTAAATATACCGACTCAACTAGCGACTTCTGCACCCTGACCTCGCGTTCAATGACCCACGCCGAGGACTCGATGCTCTCTCAGCCCTTCTCTTATCACAACCAATCCTTTACAGACTTTGTGGAGGCGGAGAGGGTGGAGAGGGATCTTAGTTTTCCCCTTCCACGTGCCCCACCCAAACCGAGACTCTGTGCGGGCTCAGAGGCACCCATCAGAAACCTCATCAAAAATGCCCGCTCTGCCTCCTCCCTTGCAGGGAGGTCCGCTCTCCCCCCTCCTGTGCCATTCCGATCTTCCTCCCTTCGACGAATTTCGAAAACCAAGGGGTCCTAGCTCTGTCCGGATTGTCTGTGATGCATTTGTGTGTCCACATGAATCCATTCTCACTCCTCTTCTTTCGTAATGTTTGTCACAGCTTCTCTTGCTGCAAACTACGCCTGCGCCTTCAGCTTACTGTTGGACGGTTCTTACTCACCTACTTGTATGTCTGTGCTTTCAAATTTAATAGCGTTTGCTAGGTTTCGATGTATCAAAATGCAATTTGTTTATTTTTGCACGCTTGTTCCCTTTCACTTCACAGATGCAATTAATCACAATCGTCTCTGGCAACAACGCTTCAAGCACCGTCCTTTTTTGATATTCTTCTTAAACGGCTATCTATTGCAATTGTTACTGCCGTTTTGTGATTGCTCAAGGAGAAATCTCCGTGTACTTCGTTGCTTACTGTTTGCTTTGCACTAAAACTGGAAGTGAGGTGAGGTGCGCTAGGACAAATTGAAGTCAGAAATTCTCTATTATCCACCACTCTTGTAGTATGTGGTTTCTTATGGCTTTCGTAGACTTTTTACCACCACAAATTACCCATTTAGTTTTATTCATCCCGAAGAAGGTCTTTCAGAGGATCGACTCTGCCTTCCATCAATGTTGCCCAGTTTGAAGTGGTGGCATTTCTTTTGTAACAGTTCCATGTTAATTTCACTTTTAAGTCCAAGATTCATTGCCCCAAAAGTGAATGAGGTGACGTATTGTCGCGGAGCGATAGCGGCTCACTTAAGGCGGACGATGGTTACGCGCAAGGGACATTGGTTTGAATTTCCCATCTCGACCTGAGGATAATAAGCCTTGACGGCTGGTATTTGGCCTCAGACAGATTCTTCTCCTTTATGTCATCTATTTGACCCCGGTTTTCTACATTCTTACCCACTTAACATGCTCCCTGTTGTTCCGGCCTGATGGTGGGTTTTGGCAGGTTAGGCACAAGTTGTCAAGTTGTTTAGTACGTTAAAGATTGTTGGATGTAGTCTTTGCGCACCATTTTCACGTTTGAGCAAACCAGTCTAGAATGTGGTCCTCAATGCTGGACGTGGACAGCATTGTCGGCGTGAATGTATCCAGCAGCATGGCCGGAGCTTGCGTCCGTGTGTGAGTCAAAGGCTGCTTAAAGCCATCTAGATTCCTAGCACTGATAAGTGTCCTGTTTTGCTTACCAGCTTTTATCATTAGCAGAAATAGAAAGAGGCTTCATAATAAACATCATATACTATGCATGACTTTGTTCAGTATCTAAAACATGTTTGGAATGGGAAGATTATTTTGGAGCCGTGTTGTCCGCCCGCCGCTGTTGCCTGATCCACAAGTCCCCTACTTTCTGGTGACTCAGTAACTTGTAAGTTTACACCCATCCTCCCCGTATTCCGGATCCACACCACGAATACACTTCACCTATTTTTGCTAATTTGCCTTATCCCGCCCCTCCTCAACACTGTGGGTAAGTTCAACACTTGACTCCACCCGCTTTGCTGCATTGAGCAGGCGGATCGAAAATAATGTCAACGGAAACTGAGATCGGACTTCATTCGTTACGCACGAAAGAGTACTGCATCACTGCTTGACAAGATTGGCATCCAGCAGACTCACCGTCTTCGAATTAACCTTCACTTGACTTTGTCCGCCTCAATCTAAGCATATTCTAGACACGTCCAGGAGCGTCTTCAAGGTCTGTGCTTTTTGCTGAAACTAGAGGCCATTGTTGACGCCATTTCTAACGCAAACACTACAATTTGGCAACTTCTGGTTTGATTCTCTAGTACAGTGAAGGTAAAAAGCGGCACGAGGTGTCCCTCTCAACTCTAGCAGCATCTCTTTACAGGTCGTTTCATCTGTTTTGTGCCAATAGGCCGCCATGGATACGGTAATGTGAATAACAAAGAAGTTGTGTTTCGTCCTAGTATTGTGCGATCGGGTGCCGATGACGCAAGACTTTGGTCTACAAATTGTTTCATAAATCACGAACACGTTCCTGTTCTCCAGCCCCTTTTTTGTGATAAAAAGATAACGATATACAATGCAGAAGGTTTAATTACCGATTGACTCCCTGGTGACGTCACTTTTGTGAACGAGGCATTGTGATTTTACAGATTTAATTTAGTGAGATAAATGTAGCTTGTTGAGAATTCTCCAAAGAGGGAAAAATGGCGAAATATGGATCGCCGCCCTATGCTGGAACTTGAAACTATTGTTGGAGGTCCGCAGCAAGTCGTTAACAAAACCGTAAGTTCGATCGTTTGAGCTTTGCACAGGCGCCACCGCTTGTTGATATTTTCCCATTAGAAATGTGGCTTTGCACATTCTACTTACACCACGCACTTTCACCATCCTTCACATTACTGTTTGAGACACCGATCATTCCTGCTGCGGATAAAAACTTGCGGTCCTCCCTTACCATGCCCATCATAACCTCTAATTTTAACGCTTTACTAATGGACTTTTTTAGAGGCATTTGTTCGCCTAGATTGCCGGAAGTTGGACGGTGAGAAGTTAAAGAAATACTTTCACGAACCAAAACTGATTGTTGTAGGTTCTAGTGCAACGAGTTCAGTAACCTCGCGCTCCGGTAGAAGCGGCACTGAGCCTCCTCCTCCTCATCCCCATCCGCACCCTCAGGCGCTCCTGAACCACTCCACAGGCATCCCGGTAGGTTTGCTGAGGATCTCCACATCTCCTGACGGGAGCCATAGCATTGCCTCGGGTCGCAGTCGCTCTCGCAGCTCCAGTTTTTGTGCTTCTCTTGCGCGTACTGGAGGATTTGGTGAACTTGAAGTTAGCGGGTTGCCTTTTGCCTTGCACTCTTGAGGCGTGTCGTCCTTTAATGAATGTATCTGCTTAAGGTATAGCTTGTTCCAAATTAAAAGTTAAGCGAATTATGCGCAATTGTGTTGTTCTAGAAGTACTCCGGTGCTACTGTCGTATCTCCTCCATTAGAAGGATGCTCTCCTAAAATTTAGAATGAATGAATGAATGAATGAATGGATTGGATGCCTTTCCTGGGGCCCTTTATAGGGTTGTCTAACCTTTTAAACTTCACATCATTCCAACTAGAACACACTTTTGAGTTCGTTATAGTTGTAATTAGAAATTTTAAGGTATGTGACAGCAGTGAGCAATTGACAGCGGACCGTCATCTCCTTCCAAATGCATCCTCTTGACCCCCATTCCTGGCGCTTAATGCACTTATTAACTAGATGAGATTGACAGAAAATAGAGTCAGTTTTCATGCCGTAGGACATTAAAGTTAGATTCACCGAAACCGTCTGGAGGTCTGCTTGGGCTTCTTGCCCTTTCTGATTTTCCTCTTGAATGTCGTCTTGTGCCCAGAGCCAATTCGTGGTGTATTACTTTGATACGACTAGATAAAATTGATTTGTTATTTTTTTGTTCCATCACCAGACTAGTGGAACACCAGTGGATCCCATTGTCGTCCAGTACCTTCCAAACCTTGAGCACTCCACTAATTGGGAACTTCAGTCTGGATCTGCGCGCCATAACACCAGTAAGTGGAGGTTGTCATTGTTCACAAATACGCCTTCTTTTGGAGACAAGCTACTCGGCTTAATTTACACAGAAGAATAATAGGCAACGATCGGTGAAAGTGGAAGTTCTAGTTGAATGCGTTTTTTGGGTACTTCATTCCCTCTCAATCAACTCTATCTTTCGTGGGTAAACGTTGAGAAGTTCAGCCCACATTCTAAGAATTAGTTGGGTGAAAAGGAAATAAAAGACGCTGTCTGAAACGGTGGTTGGGTATCATTTTGGCTGGCTATGCAACTTTATTACCACATAAACAAGTGGTTTTATCCCATATTTAACGTATTTTTGGTCTCTTTGATTAACGCAATTTTGTTACTTTAGGAGAAATGTTAAAGGACCCATTGCTCTCTAATTAACTTCCCTATCTTCTGAGCATTTACCAAATCAGCTTTGCAAATAACTGGGAGATAGTAGTTTGTCTTGCCTTTCTTTGTTGAGCACCAGAAAGATCTACAGTCCGAGCGGAAAAAATAAATGTTGTCTGCATACAAAAGCTTTAAAAGTCCTCCACTGGAAGCATTAGATAACCACGCATGTTCCTATAGGTATGTCATCGACCTATCATTGCCATCCATTCCTTTCTTCCAAAGCTCATTACGCAATTACGGCAGTTACTCTTAACGGATCCGGTTCGAATGTCGCACAGATAATGCATCCATGCCTTTCCCCTATTTATCTTTCACAGACTTGACGTTTATGCGGCTTCGCTCTGCCCTTTGTTACTGCGAGTCTGAGTCCTCCTCCATTGGAGAATTGCACAAAGAATAAATTGTATTTTCACCGAATAAGTCGCTTATTTACCTGGCTAATAGTTGGAAGTGAAGTACTTGCAAATGCAGAATAATTTTTCATCTGCAAGGGTGACTAATTTCTCCATCACTGTTCACGTTTTAAATCATTCTCTTTTTTAATATGCACCCTTTGAACCATGAAACCTTTTTGTCTACTACTTTAGCATTCACTTTCCGAAACTCTGGTTCAATTGCTTGTACCAATTCTGAAAAGTATTATCGGAAATGTTTTTTTTTTGGCTGATTTTTAATTGTATCGAACTTCTGCTCTGTTTGAAATTGGGCTGTGGTATGAGCTGTGGCTTTCACCATTGAGTCCAACTTATTGTTGACATGATACTGACTGCGAAATAATATTGAGTCCCGTGGGCGGCTTTATCACTTTTAACTATACGTTTCCTTAAATGCAATTATCCATAACAAGTCCCAAGCGGCCAACGAACAAAAGCTAATACCTAGCTTTTCAAAAATATAACACACTTTGCTACTTACATTTATGAGTAGCAATATTAATTTTAGATTCGCAAGCGAGTGCCGGCAACCAAACTGCACAAATTTCCTCTACTGCGGCCTCTTTGCTTACTCAGCTGTCAGGACAGCTACAGCAACTGAGTTCTTCCAATGCAACAGCGCCGTTGAAGCGTCCACCAAGTACTGACAGTCACACACAGAAGGAGTTAGGAGAATTTAACCTACCTGCCCCCCCTTCCCCTGATATGCTAGATGTTCGCTAGGACCTTATTTACTCCTTGTTCTGTCGCTTTCCTCCTCCCGATTCACAAACATCTAGCACTTATCGTTAAGTACTCGTCGTTATTAGATTGTGGGCTTGTGTTCGTTTCAAAAGACTATGATATTCTCCTCCTACTTGGTTCATCTATACTGCTACATCATCATATACCTAACTTAAGCATTTGCAAACGTGACCCTTAATCGTGATCCTGGTGTTGAATATTAATAAATCTGTGGCAATTTTTAGTTTCGGTGTTATTCATTCGACGCATATGCGATCGAGAGAGCAAGTGGCTAAGGAAGCATTTATGGCGTTTTGATAGCTAGTACAGCTTCGTTTGCAACAGTAGTGATAATGCTTTGGATGTCTTGATAAACTCCTAAACTGGTAGAAGAATCGCATCTCTATCGACTCTAGTACAGGTCCCAATAATAATCGTGTTCCTTTACAGGAGGTAAAGCATTGCGCTGCGACCTTTGCGGGCAGTGTGTTGACATCTTCAAATCCGAACGCCAAACGATTGTTTAAGGCAGATTATAGCACCTTCTCTGCAGCATTACCAGTCTATCTACGGAATATTTAAGAGGGTGTCGAATGCTAGGTGCAATCCATTAAAACAGTACTTTTAAAGACCAAGGGAAGCATTTAATCCAATTGGGGAACTTTTTAGTTTAAGGTTTGGCGCTGGAACTTGAAATGAAAAGATGCTTTGTTTATCCACATTTCAGCTTTGTGGAGCGTAACACAATTCCACATCACCACAATGGATTACTATAACAATTGCGAAGCCTCCAGACGCTGTGCGGAGCACCACATTTCCAAGCGGCCGAAATTCTGCGTTAGGCATCATATTGTTAGATATCATAGTTACGTACAAAGAAACTGTCTGATACTCCCATGAAGTTGAATAGGTCACCGAAGTCAAATACATGATAAAATAGTTCAACTTGTAGTCAAGGGCACCAAAAAAGCGTTGGTAATAACGATAAGTCAGGGTGCAGTCTATCACCAGAGATAGCAGTGTTTCCACCACACAAACTATAATGCGTTTGTGCTTAGCGTACACCACATATGATAACAAAGGAACTGATAGCACTACTTAACGTAATTCTAAGGCATATGGAAAGCGGACAGCACGTTTAATTTGTTTCATTGTATACAATAAAACAATAAAGGACACCTGTTTGTTAGCGACGCAGCGTCTCAAGGCTTCCCATTTGGTATTGGAAGGTATGAAGCTTAGCCAAATAATTGCATTCAGACAAAAAATGGTGGATTTGGCCTTTAGCGTAGCTTGGTGAGAAGGAAGGTAACTGACAAAGAGTGTCAGTAAGGTTGGCAGGACATTGCTGGTAAGCAAAACTTGATGTGCAAGAAGGGTTCGCAGTGCAAAGAAGAAACGAGGGTTTATGGACAGCCTTGACTCCAAGTTGTAGGACATTAGTAAAAATTTTTGCGACCAAAAAGCCTGAGTAGTTGAATAATACAGCGAAATGACGTGTTGGCACTGCTGACGTACATTGATTGCTGTTAATGTAATAGCCACTATGTGCTTGGATTGCCATTGCAGGTAGAGGAGGAGGATTGGATTCAAGTGCAGTGCTTGAGGAGCGTGTGGTCCACTTGTTATAATTGCAATAACAGCCCGTAATACCATGTTTATGTGACCACCTGGTGCCTGGTGGTCATTCTGCTATTTCTCTTGGCCTTGTACTCGTAAATTTGTCTTTCGGTCCCACCAAAGCCCAATCCCTTCCCACCCTCCTAGAATATATGTATTCAGCTCAACTTAATAACTCCTTCTACGTAATGAGAACTATCGGGGCGCTACACAGCCTATGGAGGATTTTTCTGCTAGGACTTGAAGGTTCTCTGAGAACTCCTCATCAACTTCGCTTGATTTGTAAGAACAATGGGGAAAAAAACCGCCGAGAACTGCTATTTTGGAGTGACAGCCAGCTTTGGTAGCTCTTCGCAACATTGACTATTAATGCCTCGCCGGGAAAGTTATGGGAGAGTACCAGGAAGAGAATAAAATCATCTGTGTTGCATCATAGAGGCCAGGATTGTACCTTATTATGAGAAGCAGCCATCGTGGAAAGTTCACATCCCATACCTATGAGGGCGATGCATATCCAAAATGTTCATTACGACAAACATCACTGATTTTTCTAAGCACCCCATGACTTCTCACCGGGTAGAAGAAGCAGTAAGTGGAGCCGAATACATGTATTCCAACGAGAACAAAGTAAGTAGGCCTGAGTGGGGCCCAAAGGCCAGTTCAATCTCAAGGTGACCGCCAAACGTTAAGTGGTCACGTAAACAAAGTACTACACTACCCCCTCTTCTTATGAGCGACGCCCTCGACGCCCCAATGGTACGCCAGTCAGCAGTTACTAAACGACTGAGGAACGGCACTTGGTATCTTCATCGCCTTCGTCTGGACCTGGATTTACGCTCGGTCTGACAGCTGGATCCGGAGCCGCATACATCTACTGGCCATTAATTGCTTCCAGGTCTAGACGGTGGAACTCTCGTGAAGTCCGTGGTTCAAGGACATGAGGGCAGGCATCATCTTTGTTTAGGTCTTTGCATGCATGTTTGCCTTCGTTGTGCTAAGTGGATGCACTCTAAAATAGTACGATTCGGAATATCAAAAGTATAAGCCATTGTCGGCATCGTGCTTGAATAAATACTGCAATGGTGAGTGGTAAAGATGCTTCAAGATCTATGATATTTTAATTAATAACGCCATTTTTAAATACTTGTTACTTATATTTTTCCTTCGAAATGCCGATTAGAAGCAATTAAATATTAACATTTTGGTTTCCTTTAAAATTACTGGTCCTTCAGCGATGACACTTGTCTTTATTTCAGCCAATTGTAAGTCGGTCTAGAAAATCAATGATCTTCTCATTCGAAAGCTAGCATTTCTGAAGGATGACTGCCGATGCTGTTGACATCGGATCGGTTGTGGGTGAAACCGAAGATGATCTAGCCCAAAAACTAGAGGAGCTAAATAGGTGCGGTCCCAATAATCCTTACCTGTTCAGGTGTTTGAGTGCGGATTCAAAGGCTGTTACCTCTTGTTCCTCAACGAGTAAACTCGATCGCAACCCTTCGAAAACTAGTTTGATTTCCTCACTCTCTGAGACAAGTTGTCGTACGTTCAACTCTCCATAAGGAATAATTTGGAGGCTCTTTTGAGAAATTTCACTTATGTTGTATGATATTTCTTTGTTGAATGTTTCTGGTGTTTACCTTCCAGCTGATGGCAACGAAGGGAGTGTCAGTAATCTCTCCATCTGTTCTGAGAAGTATAATCCGTGGCCGTCGTTCTCCGAAGCCTTTCCCAGTTTTATAAACACAGCCTCGAACGCACCACCTCCTTCAACAATTTCACTTTGCCAACAATGGAACAACGTTATAAACAACTGGGAGCAATATTCCAAGAAGAAAGCATTCACTGCTGTATGTTCTTTTGCGCACAACCGTCTAAATTTGTTACAAGCTCGTCTGTTCTTTTCTGAGTTCACTTCGACTATCTTTTCCGTCTGAATAGTTTGTATTATTCACAACTTATCAGTTTCCTGTTGAAGTGTGCTAAATGTGGTGTTTTTAAGGTGGTGTTAGGACTGGGAACTCTTATTTAATAATTACTCTACCTAGTTGTTAGTTGCTTAGCGAATTTGCTGTGGTAAGATTTTATTGTAACTTCAATAATTTCGCCTGATCTCTTTAACTGCTCCAGAGTTTGCTTTTTAGGATTTGATTTGTATGGGGATTCCTAACCACCTTCGGTCACTGATATGGCAACTCTATACTGGAGCGTGCTATTCCCCTCTGAAACAAGCATACTACAAATACCTTCGTGATGTCTCGCCGTTTGAGCGAGCAATCGCTCGGGATGTTTCGCGGACATATCCGAAACATGACTTCTTCAAAGACAAAGTATTTGCATATTTTGAGCTTGAATTTTACTCTGGATAGTTTTATTTTATAGAAATTTCTTAAAGTCTGTCATACGTAATAATTTTATTTTAAGACCACTCAAAGCCTATAAAATTGGCTCGGTTTTTCGTTTTATGGGTGGATGACGTGAGTTAGAGAAGTCTAGCTCTTCTGTGCACATTTCCATATGGCAAATGAGATATAGTATTGTTGTTTACCTTGAAGGGTACAAAACTGGCATATAATTAAGAGCTAAATCATGTTTGCGTTGTTGGTTAAGAATTATTATAAGCACTATTGTTATTTTTTGAAGAATTGTAGGCACATATGCAGACTCCTATGTGCAAATATTGGTTCCTTTTACGTCAATCAACTTCTTTTAGCTTTGGATTCACTTATCGCTTCTTACGCCCACAATTCGGCAGCTGTCAGTGTTGTCGTCATTAACCTCAGGTTTTGAAGCTCTCTTCCACTCACTCAGCTGACTTGTCATGCGAGCATGTATTTGCTCTATTTGCTTACCAATTATTCGAACACATGAACCTAGTTTCAGCTACTTGTTGCAGGATTATCTTTGTTACAAAAAGGGCTCTGATCCTCTTGAGTACATCTGCTCCCATCATTGTACGGTTTTGCCCTCATCAATTCCTTATACTTTTTTCATTTGCTCATCTCACCCAATTTTCTCCCAAGTTGTTGAACTAATATGGCGATACTCTTGAGCACCAACTATCAAGTCGCACCTTGCAGTCAATTTTTAGCAAACTCCAGGATTAATTTAGGACAGCTGTCTCATTGGCGTGGAAGGATTGCACAAGCAGCTCCTTTTTTACCTTACTCAAAATGGTTTGTTAGTGCCTTGCTTTGGTTTCATTTTCATTTGTGTGTTCCTATTGTTTCACATTCATCAATACAATGCACAAACCGCCTGGCTTCTTTTAGGGGAGTGTTGGCCAACAAAGCCTCTTCAATGTGATGAAGGCCTACTCCCTGTACGACCGCGAAGTCGGATACTGCCAGGGCTCTGGATTCATTGCTGGTCTCCTTCTACTGCAGGTGTGCCTTTTGTCCTGGCATTTTGTTCCATGCATCACGGAAATCCGAGTTGTAGGAGTTTGTGACAGTTTTAAACTTCTAGCCATTGGCTCACACAGTAACTGAGCTTTCAATACTATATACCAGGGGTCATGCATTCACGCTCTTTTTCTTGAACTCACTATCGATGGTGAAGGTTGCTTGAGTTTAAAGGCGTTTCACGCTCCAGTCAGGGATGCCAAGATGTAGCTTTCATGTTAAATCGTGCATGAAAGAAAGAAGTTACGCCTTCACGGCCTTCACAGGAAAATTTTGCAGCCATTGCGGGACTTTTTAACTTCCACTATTTAGCTAAAGGAAGCTATTTCCGCTACTCTTATCTCACTGCTAGTGGCATTTAAGAGCCCCGGACATAGGTTAAATTACATTTAGATCTGTCTGAAATAACTTGTGGTTACGAAATTTCGACATGTTCACTCGAACATTTGTTAGGTGAAAGAACTGTGTTGATCAACAATTTTTTGCTATTTCTTAGACCAAGAAAATATTTTAAACTGTTACAAACAGATAGTTTTAGTTGAGGTTTCTAATTTTCATTTTCTTTAAAGTTGCTTAGTATTAACTTGTGATTGAGTAGAGGTATCTAGATTTTTCGTCACATTTATTTGCTTTTAGTTTGAGTTGTTTGCTTTGTTCACCCTACTCTGCGCAAGTAAAAATGTAGCAAATGAAAGCATATTTTGCACTGATACATTCAATGTGTTCTTGAAGTCCCTCGCACAAGACTCTTTTGATGTCTCAGCGAATTTCATTGCAGAATGCTGGGACCTACGTAGAATCAGCAATTGCGTATACCTCCCGTACTCTTATCATTTGTAGTGAATGAGACATATTCTGTTGTTTGTGTGGTATACATGATTGGTATGCCTCGATACTGGGTCCCTGTGCTCCAGCAGCCTGTGATGCTAAAGCGAACGGCATTCATCTGAAAGGAGTAGGATCTTGGCAAGTGTCTCAGTTCACGATCTAAAGAGCTTCTCCTCCGCGGTTGGTGGGGACGCGATCGGGTTGTTCGCTCGCGAGCATATAAAAGGCGGACCATTGATCAAGGGCGTAATGCCATCCGCCGGTGTGAACTGAAATTCAGGCTGCGCGTGATTGTTGCCTCCGGTCCCGGAAGTCTGATTCGCGCGTGTACGGGTGTATGTGTGTGTTTGCATGACCAGCTGCTAAACCTCTCTTCTTCATGTGTTTGCGAATACCGATCACGCGCGTGTGTGTTTGCGTGTGTGGGCGTAGTTACGGTTGTTTCTTCTCCGTCGCAATAATGATTACTCATTAGGTCCTGTCAGTTTGAGCTGCTGGAGTAGAATTGGCATTGTGCGAGAGGGAGAGCCCGATGGTTGCCCTACATCCTTCGTAGAGCAAAACACACCATTCACTGCTGAAAACAGCCTTATATACACTAGTGCGGACTGTTGCCTTTAACAGATACAAAAGGAATATGTCATAGATGTTTTTGCTCATCCAGGTTCTGCAGTACTAATTGATTTGATGACCTGGCAAACGGTACCATTTAAAGATTTTGGAGTATGGTGGACGTGTTTGTGTTGCAGATGAGAGAGGAGGAGGCGTTTGCCGTACTAGTGCAATTGATGAACGAGTATCGGCTGCGTGAGCTTTACAAGCCTTGTATGACCGAGCTGGGCGTATGCATGCATCAATTGGATGGACTGATCGCAGAGTTCCTTCCCAAACTGCATGCGCACTTTGTCACTCAGGCTTTCGCTCCTAGCCACTACGCCTCTGCTTGGTTCCTCACTCTCTTTGCCACAGCCTTCCCGATCCCTATGACCACCCGAGTGATGGATCTCTTCATCGTCGAGGTAGGTCATTCCTCCTACTTAGATTTACTTTCTTGGCTTTAAACTTCTCATTTGACTTATAGTGCAATGAGAACCAACGCTGTCAAAAATTCCTGCCCAAGTTATGCCATTTACATGCAAGAACACCTGGCTCATTGATCTGGTTGCTCAACAATGTGGTTTTTCTTACGCGTTTTTCTCTCATTCAAAGTTTTTAAAATCCAAAACTATTCTGCCTTCTTGAAAATAAGACATAAGTGTGATTGTTCACTCACTACTTTCACAGGACTACCCTCTTTCCTTTTTAATTTAACGAACATACCTCAAAGGGAAACCTGCTTGTTGTAATGTTCCGAAACTCTGCTTTTGGTCCCAAGCATGGGAGTATATTTTGTGAGGTTACAATTGCTTTTGAGGTTGCGACATCAACTGATAACGTGAAATTGATGCGATCATCCTATCTTCATCCGGTTTTGCCATTCCAAGTCGGTGACATCAAATGCATAAATAATTCATCGGCCAATTCCAACTCCTTTCAAGTCTTTTTCGTCGTTTGCTGTTTGTAGCCATTGTCGCGACTTATGATCACTGACCCACTGGAGCCAGCTTTTAGTGGGCTGATTTTCCCGTTTGGACTGAAATCAAGGCTATAGTAGCTCACTTTTATGAAACAATTAACATTGATACTCGGGTCACCGCGTCATCTAAGCGTCGCACCTACTTCCCTTCTATCTGCCATATTTCTCACTGCTTAAGCCACTAGGAATGGCTGGTTTATGGTTTATTCGAACTCCCTAAGCTCCACCAATGCGATGCACCGTTCTCTCAATGTGCAGTCAGGTGCTGATTCATGGCACTCTTTCAAATGCAGTATCCATTAGGACTACCTCTTATTCGCTACTCTGGTAACCATGGCCACCGTGGCGTTTCAGAAACCAGATGCTTCCCCGCTGTCGTATTCGTGTTTTGTTCATGTCTAAATGTAAAAGTGTACAATATGTTTTATGTGCTGTTTATACTTCTCATTGCAGCTAACTGCATTGCAGGCAGAAAGTAAATTGCTTGAATAACTCTGCCCTGCCTAAGTTGAAAAAGAAGCTTTGAATGAGCGCTTTCCTTGATACAATTGAGGCATGACTGTTTTCCAGTTTATTAACTCTTCTATGTCCTTTTCACCCCACAATTTTCCACCGAAAGTGTTTTCCTTGATAAAAACAAACAAACAAGGCCAAAGTTCAGTCATTATCTTAAAAAGACAACCTTTTTTAACTTATAATCGGAATACCATGCTGTTTTTTTTGGCTACAACGGTGTGTAGTTGGGCGCTCCGAGACTCATGAAGACGAAAGATGGCAATATCTGAGCGTAATATGCACTACCAACGTGCATAATGGCTGAGCGGTTGTCGCTATGGTTCAGAAGCCATAGTGCTGGGGCGTTGGGTAAGTAAAGTACAATCCGTTTTTGAAACTCGAATCCAGGCTGTCAGTAGATCAACTAGCTATTGGTGCCCTCAACTCCCTTTCGCACCTAGCTTAAGGGCATGAATAATTGACATTAAAACTGACTCATCAATTGCTGGCCTAGGCGTTACCTCAACTGCCACTTTGGGGCACTTTCATGACCTTCCATAAGCACAAACATTTGATGATGGATCAAAAAATGATGGTGCAAGAGCCCACATCACCTATTTGTGCGCTCTCATCCAGATTGCAAGCACAGAGACGTGTTGGTGTGTAACCTTTGCTGACTCCAACGGCCCTAGGTGAAGTGATCGATCAAGCATTTGTGTATTCTCGCTTCCTGGCAAACTATAAGCCGATTGTCTATCCATCATGTACCTGTAATGAGCAGTTTCTTTAAGGCTTCGTTATAGTTCGTCTGTACGCGTGCTGCGTAGTTCGTGGTTTTGACCCCTCTTATGTATGTCTGTTTCGGAATGAAATAGCACTCTAGCACTGGATCGTTGGCAGATCACAGTATTTCAATCTCGTCGGCTATTTCTAGCTTATTCATCGAGCATGGATACACTGCTATCTGAGGAATGAACATGCACCTCTGGGATCTCGATATGCTTCATTTACCACAATTCAGTGGTTACCAACGCCAGCAGTTTCTCTGCAATGCTCAGCAAGTTCACTGCACACAAGCCACCGAATGTGTTAAATAAATCGCAGGTCCAGTTGGACGAGCCAAACCATTTCCTTTGCTGCCTTTAATTGAAGATAGCGGGTATGAGATCATCGTTAATTTATTGTCTGAGAACACCATTTCTTCGTCATGGTCCGGAACTTTTTGATAATAACATTAATAAGTTTGTCCTTGAAAATCATAATAGGTTCATTCAAAACTTTATATTATTCCAGTTGGATAGTACTTCTACGTGTTTCACTGCTTGAAGATACATATTTGTGAGGAGTTCTACAGACTTGAACTATGGCAACATTTTGACCTACCTTCCTTCTTCATGTCTACGCTGTTATTATTGTTCTTTGTGACACTAATTGTGGTGGTATTCACTTGGCTTCATTAATCGTCATTTTTCTAGTGGTTTAATTTGTGTTTCCTCTACGTTTACTTGGAAAAGTTTTGTGTGCATTTGTGCTTTGGAATTTGATCATAGCCATTAGCTGAACTGAACAGTCATTCACTCCTCTATTTGGGTGGCGGGCATTGGGAAGTCATTATTATCCTCAAATGGTACAATGTACTATTTCTTTTCCAGATTTTTGTCTGGATGTCAGAAAACTGGAACAGCTGTTAAGTTGCGCCCTCACTTTTGCGTGTCGAAACTAAGGAAAGCGCCGTTCTGCATGTCACTCGTGAAAGCTAGTACTTAAAACAGATGCTCCAAGTAGTCGATTCCTCTAGGACTTCGACAGTTGCTATTTAATTAAAATGGGTAGCTACCAGCCCCTGCGGAAACACGTTATGCATTCCGTAGACAGTAAGGAGCAACTCGAAATGGATTGCGTTTTCCGATCTGGATGTGGATCTCTGACATGCTAAAATTCCCACCTAGGTCTTTCTAATTAATCCTTTATACTGTGAGTGAACATTTGGTAAATATTGATGGGGAAATGTATCCTTATTACGACCCTGCTATTGCCTACCTAGTGGAGTCAAGGTTCTATGACACCAATTATTAACGCCAGCAGACCTAACTTTAATGGTTAAACGACGAAATTGCACATCTAACCCTATGCCACTGCTTTATTTCAGGGCATGGATTTCATACTTCGTCTTTCGCTAGCCATTCTCAAGCATTTTGCTCCGCGCCTCCTCACTATGGATATGGAGACAATGATTTTTGTAAGCCACCTTCTCACAATCATGCTGGTTGATGCCACCTTTATTTATAGACAGCGAAAAATGACAGAATTCCATGCTCATTACCGTGGCCGCTCTTTGAATATTTCGATTTCCTAGGCTTTCAACGCTTTCTTTTCCTTTCGAATGTACTCCTATTCTACCAATAATTGAAGTGGAAGTGGAATTAGAAATGCTCTTGGAAGTGCCTTTCTCCTTGTTTCAAGCAAATAGGCTTGACATGCGTTTTGTTGTCTCTTTCCTTTAGTCTCTTCAACAAATCAAGTCGACGGAATGGGAAGATTATGGCCGGACACTGTTTGAGACTGCGCTGACTCTAAAATTGAATCCACGACGTTTGAAAAAGTTCGAATTTTGCCTTTTATTTACTTATGCCTGAGTTTTTTGGTACTCTTGAGGGTTTTTTGGACTTGCAGAAGCCTCTTAATATGCCTGCACATAAGTTCAGTAGGCTTTGTGCATCGTTTCCGCGGATCAGTCGGTCTTTCCTTTACCGTATTTGGCAGCGTTAAGCACAAGACCAACTTTTTTATACCTCTCTCAGGTGTCAAAAATATCCTTCTTCTTGCCAAAATGTATTTTAAATTACTTGTGGAGAAAGAGTCAATTCTGGTGAAGTCCTGTACATTTACTTCATTGTGTCAGCTTCAGTCAACTCACCCTCGCATAACATTTGCCTTCTTGTGGTGCCAAAGTGGATGATTGACTTTTAATGCCTTGTGGTCAGAAATTGTAAATCATGGATGCTTTAACTATTCGATTAGACATATAGCATAACTTTACTTTCACATCCGAAACAAAATGCCAAATTTTGCTTGGTCTAGGCTGTTTAGAATTTAGTTTAATCATGCCTCCCTCCGAAGGTTTTAGCAACGCTTCGTCTTTGTTGTTAATTCAATTTGCCTTTAACAAAAAAAACTGGATTCTTCTCACTTCGCCACACCGGCTGGAATTGGGTCGTTTTTGTGTTTTTTAATGCCACTTCACTTTCACTTAGCTTACCTGCCAAGCGTTCTTGAGGTGATTATTTTGTCTTCAACCCTTATGACTGGAATGAATGACACAAATGGTTTGCTTCAAAGTAAAAGCGCTCTCTTTTTAGGTTGAGTTGCAGCTTACTGACGAGTGTACTTCTATCTGCACTGTTTTATCCACACATTTGTGACGTGCCTACACATAAAATAGAGCTAAATAATTAAAAGGCATTTATTGGAGGCACATTTATTCCAACGAAAAATGCAGTTGCAGTCGATTTATCGCAATGTAGCAACAATTAATCTTTTCTTGCAATTGTCTCCTCTACAATGCAGATGTAATAGGATTTCACACAGTGAGTTGCATAGTTGGTGTCTTTATTTATCTGAGAAGAGTTGCTCTCTGACTGCCTATTGAACCCGCTGCCGATGTACTTGGGTTTCCATTGACTCTGCTACCATTGTGATAGGCCTAGCACCTGGACGAAGGCTTGATTGTCTTGCTGGCACATTTTACTGCTGCCGTTTGGAGGGATTTCAGCCGCCCTAATTTCCTTTGTCCCCGCTTTACAACTCGCCAAAACTGTACCAAGGCGTTTTCCAGCCAGGTTATGCTAGTGCAGGAAATACTTGTAATTTTGTGCGTTTCTTTGCCTATGTAACCAGTGAAAAGCATTTGATAAGTTGGTGAGTCTGCACAGCATCCTCACTCACTTGCTGTTCGTACACGTTTCACATTTTAATGTGAGTAGGGAGAAATGTTTGAACCATGTCAGATTTGGTTATTTCCTCCTCCTCCTGGAGTTAATATGCCTGCCTTTGAATAATGGCACTTTTAAGTACGAATTATTTGGTGGATTCAGACCTGCTCTAAATGCATTTCAGTGTCTCTGGCTGCTTAGTTCGTTTTCCCCGCCACCATTCTAACTGACTTTTTTGTGAGAGGCGAATAGTTTCTATTTTTGATGCCGAGTATTCTCTGCTCAGTTTCATCATTTCTGCGTTCGTTAGTCTCGATGCTAAAATGCTTAAGTTTGTAGGATGATGTGCTTTGCGTAGCCATCGTAATGATGTAAATAGGCGCATTCAAGTACTCACTAGCATTAGTTGGAAGTTGTTGAAGTTATGCGGGAGTTGTAAGTTATTTTAAACCTATTAAATGCCTTCAAATGGTGGCTTATTGAAAATGAGCCGGTTTTTTTTCACATATTTTTAGACTTCGAAGTGAATACCTTTTGGAAAGAAGTTTGGAGCAGGCAGAGCAAATAGAAGTCCGAGTATGTTGGTGCTCCTTCACCCTACATTTCTCTCAGCATAACCCTTTCCTTTTATCTGCTCGTTTATGCCGTTACTACCTAAATGACACTCCTGTCTCTCATATACTCTACTGAGACGTAACCGACAGTTTTAAGCATTGCCGATAAAAAGGGTTACAACGGTTTTGCCTGGCCAAAACGAACCAGTGTTTTTTTTTAAGGATCGTCCTTAGGTCATTGTCTACCTTAGTTTTGTGTGAACTTCCTTCCCTTTAGTCTGCTTGAGTTGCTCCACCTTTTAGCGTCTTCGAACGGAGAATGGACTCCTTTTACAGCGACTGGCGCATCTAGAGGAGGTGAGTGCAGACTGGAATTGTCAACAACAAAAACGACTTTATCTATTCATCATAGTATTGCCAAAACTGCTTCTGGAGTTCTGCGTTTAAACTGCTATTGGAAGTTGGGAGTTGATTTGGCGGAATGCACCTACAACCGAAGTCAATAAGGTGAAAAGCACTGAACCAGCACAAAGCAAAGCTCTGTGTGCATTCTTAAGCATGTGAATTTACATTTTTTGTTACTAAGACATGGTTAGAACTGGAAAGATGGCTTGAAAAGTACTTTTCGCGAATCAGTGGTGCATGTTGATGCCTTGATGAAGGAGCATATGCATTGGTAACAAGTTAGCCTTTCAAGTAATAGATTTGAATTAATTTGCAGGCGATGGTCAGCTTAACAAATACTTCTGGTTAGTTTCAAGATCAAATTTCTTGATCTCGATACCTTGCGTTATGGCTTCACTTGTTACTAAGTTGAATTTTGGCATTGCCAAATCTTTGAGCACTGAAGAGCAGTCACTGGGATTGGTTTTTTTCTCCCCCTCTTATTCAAGGACAATGCCTATCTGTCAAAGCAATTAGTGAATTGCAATGTGGAACGCGCCGAGTTGTCGGAGGAAGTGTCGCGATTGCGTGGTTGCATTGCGCGGTGGCAGACGACGCAGGAAGAGGCGTCACTTCGCACTCCTACAGCCTCTTCCCCACCTCAGGCAACGACCACGGTGATTCCAGTGGAAAATGGCGGTACCAAAGTCTCTGATTCCTCGTCTTCCGCCTCCTTCTCCTCCACCTTTTCTCCTGGTTACGAGTTAGAGCCACAGCAGACTGCGTCGCTTCCAGCACTACTACCGCCGCTGCCACAGCATCGTTCGCTGCAGGGAATGAAGATGCCAACGATTAGCAATATTGATCAGGTTGTCAATGTTTGAGTTCGTCGTTTGCTTCTGCTTCTCTTCCTCCTCCTTCCTGGCCTTCATCTCTCATTTCATCCCCCCTTGTGATTGTGACGGTTGGATGGTGCTCATGCATGTCTTTCAACAGTTACAACCCGTATGAGTTGCGGGTCATTATTTGTTGGTTCCCGCTTTCTTCCCTCCCTTTTTTGCCCCTAATTTTCCCCAAGCATCTATTTTTGCATGCGAATAAAGGTCTCTTTCCTTCTCTGCATGGTCTGTTCTTGTCTATTTGTGCTTCTGTCAATCTTTCAGGTGTGTACGCATTCCCACAATGTGAAAGCAAAGTTAGGACGCTGGGTAGTCTTTAAAACCCTGACTTTGTAAAACATAACGGAGGAAATTATCATTCATAGGCCTCATTTGGTTCCGCATAGAATTTTTCCGGGAGCAGAAGTATTGGATTTGGAATAGCTTGGTGAATCCCAATTTACTATAGTTATCTGTGGTAAAATATTTTGGGATTTTGTGAAAGCTGTTGCCACACATTCTGCATGCAACCCCCATCAAGCTTTTGTTGGCAGCCGCGATTCCTATTTGCGTAGTTGTGTGACATTTTCAACCCAAACGCATTCCATTCCAATCACATCAATTAGTTATTTGGGAATAGTCGAAGTTCTATTGCTAGTATGCCACAGTGCAGAGTAGTAAAAATGCTTTTAAACTTCTTCCACCAAGAGGGATGTTGAAGTTTTGCCTTAAACACTGTAGCAGGATGGTGAAAATATGCATAAACCTGTCCCCTCTCTGAAATGATGAGTGCAAACTTACCGTTGCTGTCTGACTTATGGCGGGCTACTTCTAAAGAAACCTGAAAACAATATTCTTCCAAAGCAGACATCAGTGTTACACAGCGGACAGTCGATTGTGCACGAAATGTCAATTTCGACTATCTTTATGTTGTGATTTCCATTACAAATAGTATGAGAACATGTTTTGTGGCATTTATCCAGTGGTGGTGTATTCCTTACATTTTGTAGTCAACCACCGTCAACAATTTGGTGGCGGCAAGTTTTTGAGATCTACTGACTAGCAAACCTGTTGATAGCAGCAAAGGTCTCCTTCGGATCAGGCAACTGTTTACTAGCACAGCAAAAATAGGAACGACGATTATGTCTAAATTCGCAACTCAATAAAGTGGAAATTTCCTCTTCAACATCAATTCGGATCCAGTGATCCTGAAGTTTGAAGGAGAGGAGAGTACAAGTTGTCAGAATGCTGTGAAGTAAAAGTGATCGACAATCGACAAATCTTTCTTCCCTACAAAGCCATGGATGTCTTTGGGCTCATCGAGCATTCATTGGCCAACTGGAGAGGGATCAGTTGCATGCAAGTTGAGAAAGTTTAAATAAAATGAAAATAATAGTATCAAGATGAACTCACGGCTTAGAAGCACTAAAAGCATGAAATTCAATAGTAAACTAGTGTTTATGGGAACAATGAAGGTGTGCGTGCAGAAACAATAATGGTACCATTTTATTATGGCGCCTATATTTTGGCGAAAATCTACCTTTAGTAGGTGATTAATTGCATGCACTGTACCATTGAGTGGTTAACAACCGCCTCATTAAGATCAGTTACAAATCTGGAAAAGGAAGAACTCTGTAAGAGGTTGCAAGCTTTGTCTTTCCATTTCACCCCTTTGCGCGGTGGTTTTTTACCGACATCACCTCTCTGATTGGAATCCATTTGTGGCAACATTCATGGTTAGCCTCAGACTCCGTGCATAAAAGGAAATTCTGGTATGATTCGTTGAGAATGACGTGGACGCTTCGAATGCTTGGGGTCACACCAAAACTTACATTTCATATGCCAACATCAGTCTCTCACACCGTTAATGGTTGAAGCTGAATAAGGTTTCTAGGACGGCTTGATTCGGTTTAAGTAGTTTTCAATGCCAAATCACATGTCACAGTTTGATCCTCCTTGAGTTCGTTGTCGTGGCAATAGTGCTATTATCCCCATTACACACCTCGAATGGGCAAAGCAAAGGCCATTGTGAATATCAAATCACAAACTGACTGAGTAAAATCAGGTTTTTTTTGTTCCTGAGGTTGTGTACCAGAATTTGCCGCTTAAGCTTAAGTAAAGACAAACACAGTCCAATGCATCGACCTTTAGAGATAACACTGACAATGAAGGCACCACTGGGGGTTGTAAACTAACACGCCCTTTTGCTGTCGTCTTGGATAGATGGCAACCGCTTCACCGCGCTGTTCAGACCGAAGTGGAGGCACGGGCACCTCTGACACACCAACGCCAACAACCTCGGGGGCAGAGTCGTGGGCCTCCGCTTCCTTCTCACCCACCTCGGTGAGTCGGAGTATGGACGATCGTCTCCTTGTGGAGACCATTCACCAACTTGAGACCGACCTTGTTCACCTTCGCGTCCGTGAGTCTGAGTGTCATTCAGCTCTACGAGATGCTAAAGAGCGAATTCGCCTTCTGGAAGAGGTACCGTTGCTGCAGAATTTCGTAACTCTCTGATCTTGAGGTTTCTATCTTCATGCCTCTTCAAAACACGGCTACTATTTATTTTGCCTGCGGGCAAAGTTGTAAAGTACTCTCAAGGACTAATAAGTGGTTTACGCAATCCTTTTTGAAATGACAGAAACTTGAGTCAGCAAAAAGGGAATCAGAGGAGCAGATCGAATTATTGCATAGCGAGTTAATGAAGGTGAAGTTGCGTGAAGCAGAGGGTCTTCTGAAACTGAAAGAGCTACGAGACCGTGCAGAGGAAATTCAGACTCTTTGGGACAACCACTTGGCTCTCACTGGAGGCGGGAACAACGGTGGGAACAAAGTGGACTGTGGCACTAACGGTGTCACGCAATCAAGTGGGTTCCTGCGGGTCAGTGCAGGTCTAATTCAGTCAAAACTCCGAGGCAAATCAGCCACTACTTCAGCAGCAGAAAATGCACAACACCTGTCCGATCGTTTGCTGGAAACGAAGCTCTGTTCCCAGATCGCTGAGCTACAACAAAAGGTTGGTATGCTTCTTACTCTACCCCTTAGATGCTAATTTTGAAATAAAACTTCGCTGTAAAAACTAGGAAACGAACTGAAAGTTGGTATAATATCAACTTAATTAGAAGAGTTTCAAAAGCCTAGATAAGTGGGTAGTAGTTAGTGCTGTTAGATCGTATCAGAGGCCTGCGTTACCTAACTACCTCCAAAGGCTGTTACATCAGTTTACATCGGATTGCACACGCCAAATCTAACCCTATTTTTAAACAAGGTTCACGACTTGACATCTCAGGCAGAGGTGGCCGACCGACAGGCTATCCGCAGGGACGAAAAGATGAATGATTTAACGGAGAAGGTGGAGCGCAGTGTCTTGAGAGAGGCTGCACTTCGTGCAGAGCTCAAAGAGGCAGAGTGTCGCTGTGCTGACCTCGAAACAAAGGTTTGTTGTACCGTTTAGACCTGGTTCGGCTCTTTTCCAAACCACTAGTGCTCTTAAAATTACGACTGCTTAAGATTATTTAAATTTTATGTTTCAAAATAATTATAAGTAATGCTTTATCAGTCAGTCTAAAGTAATTCTCAGTCTTTCAGATGTCTGTTAAGTCCCAGGAGCGGTCGGTAATATGATGGGTCTCGCCTCCCTCCCTCAATTCATCATTTAAAAGATCCCGTTAATTGTCTATTAATTGCTATTATCTTCAGAAATAAGCAATCATAATTTTGTTCAAATTTCGACATAGACTTGAAGAGCTTTTTTCTTCAATTTCACTTTACTACTCATAACAGCGCAAGTCAGATGCCATTCTCTGGCGTATCCGCGAAATCGAGCTCTCTTCCCAGATTGCCGAACTTCGCCAACACTACTCCGAGTTGGACTGCCTGCATGACGCCGAACATGCATCCAACACCCTTCAGAATCATCCACCAGGCGGCCTCCTGAGTGCCTGTTCCTCGGTGGCTCCTACTCCTGAGGTACAGCGGTCTCGATTTGAGAAAATTGGACAATCAAAGGGGATGGGGGAAAGTCACCTTCCCACGGTGTGGAAGGACCTACCGGCGGCTCTAATGACAGAGTCTATTGGACCCTTGGAGGACCTCTGCATACTTCCTGACGACCCACTGATTACTAGCATCTATGTGCATGAGAACGGTGCCAAGTAGGACTCAATGACTGCGTTATACGAGCACAAACAGTCTTTCACATATGATCGCAGTAAACTGCTGGCGTGAGACATACCCGACCTCCTCTCCTACACAAACACAATCTTGGCTCCCTTAATCTTCCTCTTTTGGTGTTCCGTTCTACACCAGACTTTTCCCCACACCCATTCAATACCCTCGGTCCCTGAATGAATCCATCAATTCTCTTTTCAAACTGAAATTATTGCTTCCAAAATGATCGCCTTGGCACTAATCTCAATTCAAATCAGACCCTGATACCTCTTGGATGCCATGACATCGACAATAGCACGCGACTAGTCTTAGCGACAGGCCGTACATGAAAATGGTGACGTCACAAAGTGAAGGACATGCGACTTAGTGACATTGCCAGCAATTCGTGAAAGACGGCAAATTTGTGATAGTTGATAAATAACATACTGCAACAGATTTAACGACATGCCGCAATTGTTTAAGTAAGGTTTGAGACGTTTCCAAAGAACAACAATATTTTAGCTCAAAATATGCGTTCTATCATGTACAGAAATAAACATCACAAAAATGGGTGGTTCGAAGAACACATGGGCCCCAACAAATCAGCTAGAAGAACCATAGGCACTTTGATTTGCTGCACGTGATGGACTAAAACCGAGCATCTTTTGGACATTCTAAAACAGAGACAATTATAGGCCTGTGCTAATGATCTCAGTTATAATCATCTTGGGGGGAGAGTCCAAAGAGCATTACCTGACGGATGGACATTGTGCAGATAATGTAAAGGAAAATGAAAGAACAGTCCGTGAAGTCATTTCCGTGTAGATTTCTGTGCGACATACCATACAACCAAGAAATTGGCGTGAAAGGTAGTTTGCAAACAACACGACCATCGAACCTAAGGATCGTATAGTGAAAATCATCAGTGTTTTTAAGAGTGCTAAGAATATTTGACCAGTAACTTACACACTACTACAGACGCTAAATAAGGAGGTGAAAATTACAGCGGTAGCGAGCATTGATTTTATTTTGACTGCATTAAGATCACGAGTGAAAACCTTGAGGCGCTCCTCTTGCCTTCCTAAAGTGATTCCCATTAATGCTATGAGTGATATGCACAACATACCCAGCCGCTTTTTCGCAGCCTTGTCGATTTTATTTTCGGAAGTCGTGTCGCGCTGCTTTTCCACTATTTAAAGGGCATTAGATCTAAACCCGTAAACTCACATTTCCGTGAGTGCTTGTCCACTTCAGCCTGAAGCTTTTTGTATTTATCAGTTCGGTACACAAGCAGCCATGTAATCCCTAAAATGCATGCGAAGAGTATTAATAACGTTGCACATCAAAAACTAACCACATCAGTAAATACATGGAGCAGAAAGAACGTAATCTGGTGGATATCGAGCACGACCGCCACAAGCGTCCTGAAATGAGGGATCGAATGTATGCATGACGTCTATGGTCTATTAACAATACGTGCATGACTCACACAAATGTTGATACTTAAAAAGACGAAAGTGCAGGAACTCGGACATATACAAACCTTGATAGCTGATACTGTGAACAGGTGAGCTAAACTGTTGGAAAAAAGTAACGAGACAGGCCAAAGGGGGTAAGATGTGGAACCACGTAAAAAATTATGGACCGAAATAAGGGCCGTCATAGACACTAGGCAATTACGCAATGAATAAAAGAAATGAAGTACGAAAACTAGCGTACCTTCTCCAAGAAATGCTGTAAAAACGGATATGCAAATTATAACCAGGGTATCCGCAAGCATCCCTATCACACTACTTTAAAGGTGCCGCCGACAAAGGAAATCGTTGTCCTCCACCCTCAGTCATTTTAGGTCGTACTCCAACTTAATACATTGCAATAAAAGCCTAGGAATTTGAAGTCGAAAGTGCGGCCTAACCAGAGTTGCTACTTAAAATATAGTTTAAGCGGATAATTTTGGACTTTGTAGAGAGCAGTTGATTTCATTTGGTTTGTGAGAAAATTCTCCCATCATTTCCATCATACACTAGTCTTCACTTTTTGCAATGTATTGCTTACTAACTGAGATCTTTATGTCAAATTCTATCTTGCTTCCATCTAATGAAACTTAAGCTCTTCTTGCGTAACGGCTTAAGCTGCTTAAATTTGTGTTGCCTTAACTTAAGGCAATTCTAATGATTGTTCTCGCGCGTTCTTTAGTTTGCAGCTCAAGGGTTCCTCTCAGGGGCTTTCGCGTTGGAGCGATGCATGTTCTAACTGTTCCTGCTTTGTCCGATAATTATATGTACTTACTTGTCGACGAGAAGACAAAGGTAGACAGTGCGATGGTTCATTTTACTAAATAACTGTGCCTAATGAATCTGAAGTGTAGAGCTGTAGTCCTAAGTCGCCTTTCTTATTTATCTGAATCCTTTTGTGCGGAATAACATAATATGAGAGTAGTCATGTACTTTTAAATGGGTTCTGCCTTGGCTTGTGCACAGAGTCTTTTGATTTTAGCAATGCGCGGCGGTCGATCCGGTGGAAGCCCCCAAAATCTTAGCCGAAGTGAAGAAACGAGGCTTGACTTTGTCCTGTATTCTCACCACGCATCACCATTGGGATCATGCTGGAGGCAATTCGGAGCTTTTGAAATCTTTACCTTCTCCCATACCTGTTTACGGTGGTGGTAAAAATGTGGAAGCCGTCAGCAAGCAGGTTGCGCACGGCGACCAGATTACCTTGGGCAGTGACATCCTAGTGACGTGCTTGCACACGCCCTGTCATACCAAAGATCACATCTGTTACTATGCTATTGAAGCTGATCAAGATGATGGTTGCGTTTTCACAGGTGATACATTGTTTCTAGGTGGTTGCGGGAGGTTTTTTGAGGGTAATGCTCAACAGATGTGAGTACGGCCGAATCGCAAAGGTTTCCTTATTTCGTCTCTAAGTTTAACTCCGCAATTTTCAGGTATCACGCTCTTGTGGAAGTTCTGGGCAAACTTCCGGGCTCAACCAAGGTTTACTGTGGTCATGAGTACACCTTGAAAAACTTCGACTTCGCTAAAACTGTGGACCCTGGTAATGCGGCTCTGCTGGAGCGCATACAGGCTTGCGCGAAGCTGCGTGCTGACCGACAACCAACAGTGCCAGGTACAATAGCAGAGGAGCTTGCAACTAATCCCTTCATGCGAGTTACCGACCCGAACCTGCAGAAAAACGTTAAAGCGAAGGACGCCATTGAAGCGATGGCTATTGTTCGTCGCAGTAAAGATGCTTTCTAGGTTTATGTGTAGCCTCCACACTTACGGCGTTGCGCCCCTATGTAATCTTATTTTCGATGGCCACTTGAGTATTTCCCGAACCTAATAGTCTTGGTGCGTTATATACACTTATTGGCTTTGCTATCTGCCTAATTGGTGATATTCTGATCTGTCTAATTGCGCTCTTCAACATCTGTTTTCTTATCAAGGCGGTATTGTTCCACCATTGAACTCGATTTTGCTAAGTGCTGAATGTTGTGCAAGATTTTAATCATGAGTTCGGGCGATTGCGTATCGTCGAAAAGAATCAATAGTCTTGGACGGGGATATCAACCATTCAATAAATTGACAAGTTGCTTGTTTAAACACCGTGTTCGGTGTGGCTGTGTCGGTTGTAGCGCATGCTGTGTGGATCCGAATGCCTGGATAACAGATGGCCTGTTGGGGGTACTGCTGAAGCGTTCTTATCCCTTGTATGCGGGCTCATTAAGGAGTAAGGATGCTGCAAAGAAAGTTGAGGTTATGCCTCTATTTATGCGTATTCATAGAATCCTTCGCCAACAATTGTTAGTAACAATGCGTCAAAGTTACGATAAGATTTTGGATCTCACACCGAGGGTGAGCTATCTGAGTGCTTACATTTTGAGCGTATATAACGGATGCAGGTCCTCCGGCGTTTCTGTCGGAGTGAAGTCTTCCATACACCAAGAGGATGGCCATCATCATTGCCAGTAGCGTCCCAAGTGCACATCCGATTAATATGGATGGGGATACCGATAAAGAAGGCCTGAAATAGGGCGCGTAATGTTTACTTACCTTATTACTTGGATTCCTTGCCTAAAAAAGAAGCATGTGCCACTGAATAAGCAATGGAGTTAAGAGATCAAGTGTTGTCGTGACTCCTGTAAAATTCAATTACATATGGGGAGATGTTAACGAAAGTAATTTTGCATTTGAGTAGAATTGGATGAAAGAGCGAAAAACCAATCTAGATCAAGTGGGAAGAGATACCTGAACTCGAATTCGTTGCAGCAATACTGACTCCCAGAAGCACCACAGCAAAAGTTTTTTGTGTTGTTGTTCTGAGGCAACGCAATGAAATCCGGACAAACTATGTAACTATACTGGCCTCTGATTGTGTTGCACAGTGTATATGAAACTGTATAATCCTACCAAAGCTTAGCAATATAGTCTTACACAGATCTTCAGGATTTTGTATAAGTCCTTGATAGCTTTGTGAGATATGTATTCGAGACATATCCTCAACGCCCTTAAAGGTTTGAAACTTCATAAATTTAGTTCTAACAGGAAAGTGCTTTACAATGTTTGCCAGCTTACAGACCCCCTTTACTTTGAACGACAAAGTCAGGTAAATCAACACTATGCATTTGGCAACTCAAAGGTTTAGCAAGATTAGAGACGACACCCAAAAGTACAACAAATTTTGCGTATAAACGCGACATCGTATTCGTAATTGCGCTAATAAATAAAGTGGTGGAATTTACCTTGTATAAACAAGAATTTAACTACAATAATTCAACGCTTTTTGCCAACTAGGATTTTATTATTCATCAAGTGCTCGCTTATAATTTGAGAGAGTAATTCATTGTTTTATCAGGATAATTTTGCAAAGTTTAGAAACATGGATGAAGCAATGCAGATGGCAATAATTCGGCTTTATCAGGAACGAGACCTATCAAACATAGATGCAATGCCTTTTTTGAACCAACGTTAATAGTATTGAATTATAGCTAAAGAAATGCGTATCTAACTCATGGTAGCTCTGCATAATCTTCGGTAATGAGCCTCCGCATACACCGCTGAAATTAATCCAATGTGCAGTCTATCCCTGATGTTACACAGGAGGCAAGACTATTGAACTCAAGGAGAGATTCAATAAGCGCAAGACCTTTCAAACAATACGACGTTTTTTGCACTTTCGCTTTTACGTACAAGATGGGTTGAAACAATAAAACGTACGAATCTGCGTTTCCTGTTAAAGCTTCTGCAACAAACCTTCTCCTGCAGTCCTTGGTTGAAGGTCTGGGGGCAGGAAAGCAGGTTCCACAGATGTCTTTGGCATCAATACTGCCTCTGCTACAAAAATTGACTTTGGACTATACAAAACTCACTGCCTTCCATTGTCCAACGACAGTTGAAAGTTGACTCGACTTTGCGACGACGCACGATATGGTTCCATTATTGTAATTTCCACCGTCGCTCAACTTACGAATGTCTTCTCCACTCACGTGACTGCGATTTTCAATTACCTACCCTTAATTGCTGCCTTGAGTTTCAACTCACTCATCCAAAAATACTAATGATTTGCCGACTCGACTGACAGGGCGAATAGCATTCCATTCTCTATTCTAGATTGCTTAAACGGCTGGGTTGTTAATTAGCTCTGTAGCGTCCTGAGGCTTCCCATAGGGTAGTAGAAGGCATAGGTGAAGGCAACAGGAGAAATGGGGCCTGAGCGTGGCCCGAACACCAGCCTACGTGTACAGGAATTAGACAAATTCCAAAGTGACCGCCAAACGCTAGGTAGTCACATAATCAATGTATTACAAGCTCAAGGAATGAAAGACCCACTCCCATTTCCTTTGCTCTTGTTTTCTTCATTCCTCTATTTTTCTGGCTTACAATAGGGTTATTAGTCATTTTAACCGATATTTGCACGAATCCGCTAGCCACAAGGTAGGGAGGTGAAGCCACAGAACTGATGTTCAGATGTTGGTTACTTCAATATGTTCACTGCCTATTCTTTGATGTAGTACTTTGTCAATTCAACTATCTGTATGACTGACGGTCACATTGGTGTTCGACCTGCTCTTGGTTGCGTGAGATGGCTTTCGAACCACTCAAAGCTAAGTTGGGTCGAATACATATATTCTTGTACTGGACCAAATACCGGCTCATGCTTGCAGGGGTAAGACTAACACCAAGGTAATCATCAAACATACAGGTGGTCACATAAACAACGTATTACACATCCATTTCCTTTTCATCCTAAGCACAAATATGGAATCCTGCTTAATGCTTTCTTCTATTTAGTAGAATGTCCGAGGCGTTACTGGTGATTTACATCGCCACCTCTTTCCTCTTCCCTTCCTGAGGTCTTAGTTGCCTGCAAATCCAGGAAGTACAGCACTTATGCCGAGACTTTGTCCCACCAACAATTATGCCTTTTGGGATGAGTAGAGAAGAACAATAAAAGTTGCTATTTTCTGCGCAGCAGGGTTTAGATGACGTTCTACTGTTTGGGGAGATTTCGGCGCACTGACTGTAATATATTCTAGTTGTTTAAGTGTACCTTGATAGGTGAGAGGCGGAAACCAATTGGAAGCGTGGATCACGTGCGCGAGGTCGACGAGGAGTCTCCCTGCGATTGACACCGCCTGTTCATCACATCTGTATCTTATTCCTTATCCTTCTTATAGCGATGCCTAATAAATCGTCTACAACCAACTTCCCTTTAAAGTCTGAGAACCAGGGACCAGAGGGTAGACAGGCAGTTACTACACTGACTTACAAAATTGCTATCTATTATTTAGCAATTAACACAACTGCAACTTTTGATAGCCTAAATACTTCAGATGCATTAGACGTCCGTAAATTGATGCAATCGCAAGGTAATCACTCGCAAGATATGCTCCGCATCCCAAATTCCACTTCCTTGAATCTCCCCAAACCTTCCAAAATAGTTTAATAAATAAATCTCACAATCGTGTTTTGACCTAACAGTTAACACCAATTCCTACTCAAGTTAAGATTTCATTCAAATGAACCTAATTGCATCACAAATAACGGCACGAAATGCAAGTAATAGCTGGTAGTCGTAGCTTTACCTGTGACTACGCGGAAGACACAAGGCTTGCGTCTGATCAGAAGGGGTAGCGGTAAAGATTTGTGAAGGTTTGAAGACCAAAAGTGAGGTGATTCTCAAAGTAAATGCTCTTCATACAGACAGTCGCATGAATAAAGTATTACGGAGAATTCGCCCGAATAACTACAGAAAGGAGGTGAAGGAAGATGGAGATGAGGATCCAAAACGAACAGAAACTATTCTGTTCATACGCACTGCTATCAATCACTTAGTATTTTGTTGTAGTTGAGGTAAATATCAAAACGCCAAGTTTGGTATTCGTATTAACCGACAAAGATTAATTCAAACTACGCATTGCGAAACTGACATTAACGCGTCAGCCTTTTGACGACGATACTTCGACTTAACTTAGAGCCCAAGCTCTGAATTCTCAACTTGCTAGCACAATACTTTAACACACTAAAAGAGGTAGGGCAAATGGGAACATGCACCCATTGGAAAAAAAGAAAGTAAAAAGCTAGTCCAGACTGGTACCAGAAGATTAAAAAGTGGCACCCATTTTTGTAAAATTCTTCAAGTTCGGTTCTAGAGGAGTGCTATCAACAGCTAAAGCTGCACTATCCGAAAGAGATTAACACAGAAATGTCAGTTAGACGAACACCTCTGTACGAGGCAGGTGAGACTTTGGAGAAGTACAATTGTTCCCTAGTTAATTACTGACATAGCCCCGATCTTGTACCATTAAAGTTAATTTTCGCTCATCAATGCATGACTATCCTTGGGCCAGCAGCCTTACGACTTGCAATGGATGCGCGCACTCCTTCCCCCAAACAAGACAGAACTGTAGATTTATTACAATCGCCATGCGGATTTGGTGAGGTCGCAGTTAGGTACCTCCTTAATCAAACATTGATGCGGGTGGTTCGTGAGGAGTTTTATGACAACTTTGGTTACGTCGTGGCAGTCGAAGAAGGAGGAAGGCCACGAGAGAGCACTAAGGGATGTGTTCAAAAAGAGAGGAGATGTGTAATATTGTGAACATGTGTCCGCCTTTTTGATTGGATGGACATTGAAGAGCGCGCTCGCTACGCTTTCGCCCAGTGACCACTACAATCAGCTTCTCCGTAAGTCGACAATCCATATGACGTCATCCAGTGTGAAAGTAACTTTGAAACAGCATTGATTGCAGTTACTAAAATTCTTTAAAGCCTATACTTGTTTATGTGATGCATAATCACGCAGATTTGCAGAACGGAGGACCTTTTTGGAGCTTCGGATATAATATATACTAGTATGCTTAAGGGAACTTTTATAGCTGAGAGGCGGGAACCAGTTGAGAACGCGAATCACGTGCGCGAGGCCGGCGACGAGTCTCTCTCCAATTGATATCTCCTACTCGACCCATCTGCATCCCATTCACCATTCTTCCTGTAACAAATGCCTAATATATCATCTGTAACCAACTCTCTCTTGAAGTCTGAGGCTCAAGGACCAGAGGGTAGACATGCAGCTCTTACATCGGATGCGAACATTTTGCAGCAACGTAGCTGCGTGTTAAGAATAAGTACAATGCTCACTTTCCAGAAATAGAAAACTATTCGAGATAGAAAATGCGCTAAAAATAGAAACCTTACACCCAAAATGGTTGTTTGGGGAATCCACAAAATGGGCCTGACAAGTGCACGCTTACTCTGGACTCATAGCTTGCACAGAGCCCCATGTGTAAAATTCGCTGCTGGGTTATTCAAATTCCAGCTCTCGAGCCTTCTAGTGCTGCAGCATCACCTGTGAGGGACTATGGTGGAGTGTAGGCTGTTTAAAGGTCGAACAAGTATAGCATGCAAGAACTTATTCTACAGATTAAATTGTTCCAAAATGAAATGAAATGAAAACGCTTATTTTACATTAAAGCTACCGACACCGTGAACTTGGGACCCTTGCGACCACTTCTTAAACTATCTTAAAAACACTATTGTTTAAATATTATGCTCTGAGAAGTTTATTGGTGTAAAATTCGAGTGTCCTAGGTGAAACAAGTGAAGGAGTCTGGAATTCTGTAATGGTTTTGCTTTGAGGTGAGGGCCAGGTTCAGGCGTGCCCGAACTGATCATTGGAACACTGAACCTGACCGACTGATTACAGCTACAGTGGAAATATGAGGAGGGATTAACTCGGACAGACACACGGTTCCCTACCTCGACACACACGTATGCGATGTGACCTATACTGTGATAACCGTAACCAACTGACTTCCATCTTAGTAGCACGTTTCTCCACGATGTCCCATTTAATTGAAGGGTCAACGTATTTGTACATCTGCAATAATTCACTTCGCAACGCACTTTATTTCAGAGGCGTTGATTCAACCGTAAAGCACCGGAGCGAAAGAAAGAAAATCCCATGCAACGATCCCTGATTAACCTCAAAGTAGATGGCATTCGAGCGGGATGAAACCTAAGAGTCAGTAGTCAAGTCGAAATCCGCATTGTTGAAGCTGTAAAAGAATTGAGGAATATCAAGTTACTGGCACACTGGCAAGTCCCAAGAGATGCTGTGTCAAAAAGCAAACGGAGAAACCCAATCACTGGGTCAAACTCGAGTCAATGTCAATGAAACGCCGAATTTCACACTTCCAACATAAGTGATGTTTAATTAGAAACGATTGTGTAAGCTAAACAGACGACCATAACCACATCAATGGCCATGAGGTATGCAACAGTCCCATTTGACGGAAACAGTTACCCCCACCCTCTGGCACGCATATGGACGTGTTAAAGTGTCGCTAGGGGAGTGAAGTGGCCCCAACTCGTGCTTCCAAAACCCTGTTCGCTTTAAGCACCCATCGAATCAAAGCATATTCTCGAAGTCAACAGCAGAATGAGTAAAGCTTGCCACGATAAAAATATAAGGACCTTAAAACATCAAAGTACACTTTACTTGTCCACAAAGATAAAAAAATAAGATTATTCTTTAGAGTTAATGATTATCGGCTCAATCGCTGCCTGAAAAGGTTGCTTCAATAACTTCCACTGAGTCTGACGACGTCTCCGCCACGATGGCCCCTTGAACTTCCTTTGACCCCTCATCTGTTTCCTCACAGCAGGAATCTCCGACCACGACATCGGCTTTTGGCTCATTTTCCTTAACGGGAGACTCCGCTTCGTCACCCAAGAAGATCCCTGACATAGCAAGACTCTAAAAAAAATAAAAACTAAAAGTTCCACATAGCTAACCCAAACGAATAACTTAAAACAACCTTGACCAAGTAAATATACCTTTCTGAGCGACAACATTTGTATAGACTTTTCGAGAGCAGCATCATCGACTAGTTCAGTTGGATCCAGTTCAATAAGGTCAGCCGATGAAGACTTGCCGGGACTAACAGAACTACATAAGGGCTCAGCCGACATTAACCGTTGTTCGGCTACCGGAGCCCTCAAAACCCCACCTACACTGTCAAAAGTCTGTTTTAACTCGTTTCCCGGATTAACATTGGTCGCAATCATGGAGTCGGTCTTGCCGCATCTCGGTGCATTAAACATGGCCCTTTGAGTATCCCTCTTTGATGGTATGAAAATATCCCCAGCTGGTTGGCTATACGCAGGTTTTGAGGGGGCGAATACCTGTTGCTGAATCTTTTTTGATCCCTTAAAGTCCTTCACGGCCTCCATCTTGAGAGCAGCCTCACCCACTTTCAATCGGTTCTCAGCAAAAAGCCTCTCAAATACAGTTTCCTCCGTATGCTCAACATCATCTTGCCGACTAAAAAGAAGGTCATGATCAGATATATCGAAGACCAAGTCGGTCATGGACTTTAAGAAGGTTAGATGGGACTCCAACTCGGGGTAAGTTCTCCGTTCTGCGGTGTTGTGTAGTTCAGCCAATTGGCGTTGCGTAGCAGAAAAACGGGCGTTTTCATCAAGACTAAATAGTTCAACCAACTCTTGTCGAGTGAAATATCGATAGGGATCAGTGACATCAGCGTCCGCTGGCCGATCGGCAGATGCTCGACCTATGGTTTGACGAATGACGGAGTCCTTGAAGACTTGGCGACGGTAAATCTTCTCTTCAACTGTGGCACAAGTAATGAGTCGATAGACGACCACGTTAGAGTGCTGTCCAATTCGATAGACACGATCCACGGCCTGAGCATCCACTGAGGGATTCCAAGAAGGATCAAGAATCACTACGCGATCTGCTGATGTGATAGTCAGACCCACACCGCCCACCTAAAAGCCATGACGTATGCAAAATTGTACATCAAGGTTCAATATTGGACCTGTGAAAAAAAAAACATCAAGTTTTGTCCTGCTCATAGGGTCAAATGATGATAGAAAACAGCTCCTAAGGCGATTTAAGTTGTTTAAATAGGAAAGTCATCTCAAGAATTAATAGAAATCATTAAAAATGTTATTCTTCAGGCGACTCAAACAGCACTCAAGATCTTGCAAGAGTAAAGAAGTACAGGACACTTTCGTAACTAATGCGAACAGGTTCATTGTAAGAGTAGGTGCGTTTGAGATACTCAATGCATAGTCCCGATGCACTTAGGAAAGAATGTTCAAAACTTCTTGAGGACTTAACAGCTACTCACATTTGTCGTAATTCAGTATGAGGGAAATCCACTTAAGAGGAGGTTAACATTACACTACTTAAGATGGTGCGAAAGATGCCAGAACAAAAAGTGATATTATAGTAAAAGCCAATGGATTTTGGTAGGTAGAAAGGATGAGAAAACCCCACAAAGGCCTAGACTTCTAACTAAATGTCAGATCCAAACGGCGCTAAACGAACGCCTGAAAAAACTACCACTAAAAAGTTTTAACATGGTTAAAAAATAATAAAGAGGTGCTGCTACCTGTGTAGTCAATAGCATTGCCGTATAACTCCGATCATGGGCAAACTGCTTGAGTACAGCCACCCTCTCATCCGGCTTCAAGCGCCCATCCAGCCGAAGAACCCGATGCATCATCAATCCAGGGGAGCTACTGAGATCCCTGTTGAGACCCAAAATTGCTACCTCCATCATGTTCAACAGTTGCACGGACTGTGAGAATATAAGAGTTCGATGCACTGGTTCACCAGTTCGCAAAGCCTCTTTCTGAAAGTGCTCCAGCAGTCGCACCACAAAGGCCATCTTTCCTGATTCCTGCAGAAGGACCTCGTGCGAGGGCGCCCGTATTTCACTCCCTGGGAGAGCTTTCGAGACATCTAGCCCTAAGTTTGCACATTGTTGGGTGGAGAGAAGACGCGGATGATCACATAGCTTCTTCAAAATAGTCAGTTCTACCAACGGAGAACGCTGTGTTTTTCCACCGAAAAGAAGTTCCTTCACGTGATCCAGCTTGAGGAAACTGCGGTAAATATGTTCTTGCAGACTGCTCAAATAAACCCACACCACGATCTCGTTCTTATGTGGCATCGCACCAGCTGATAATATTGTCAGCGTGTCCTGTTTTGTGCGACGGAGAAGGTAGGGCCTGATAATCTTGTTCAAAGACTCCGCCATCAAATTACCATGAAGCCGTTCGGCTGCAGAGGCGTCACGGTCCCTAGAGCGGAGGATGGGCTTCTCGTATTGCAAAAGAAATGTCTTCTGACTACCCAGTAGACAACCTGTATGAGTAAAATCGAAGAGAGACCAGAGTTCGCGCAGATTGTTTTGAATCGCAGTGCCAGTGAGGAGGAGGCGGTGGTGGCAGTCGAGGGTACGCACAGCCTTGGCAACCTTTGTTGAAGGATTCTTGATACGATGTGCCTCGTCAAGAATAACGTAGTCGTAGGTGAAGGCTCGGGTGTAGAGACGGGGATCACTGGAAGAGAGCCAAGTGGGTGGTTCAGTCTGATGGTAGTGCTGGTCTGCGGCGATGTCCTGGATACCGCTGACAAGCATGTTGTAGGTAGTGAGTAGGATCCCACCACGACTTTGGAAAGAAAGGAGAGCGTGACGACGCGCATTTTTGACCATCTCGTAGTAGATTATAAGGCGCATAGAGGGAGACCACTTGCTAAATTCCGACTGCCAAGTTTGTAGGACGGAGACAGGAGCAAGAATTATCGCGGTGGGCGGTTTCTTTGTTGCTTCTTCGGAGAGGAAGTAGCCCGTTAAAAAGGTGATTGTCTACGTACAGAACATCAACGGTTAAACAACAGCTTAGCTAGACAAATAGCTAAGTCTTACTGAAAACTGCTCGATGATAGAAAATAAGAGTTCTTTCAAAGCGGCAATTCTAAGTACCTCAATATTTCGTTAGTATTTCAGATCATCTTTGTCTCACAATTAACTCCACTAGCAATTGCATACGTTTAAAGTTTCAGTGTATAGCACTTTAAGACTGGAGTTTGCAAATAGCAAATGGTCACAAGTGAAAAGCTGTCATAGCACATGGAATCACAGGCTTGAAGAATAAATATGTGAAGACCAACCTGTAGTGTTTTGCCGAGACCCATATCGTCAGCAAGAATACCACCGGGAGCGCTTTTGTGTAGATTCCAAAGCCAAGATACACCTTCACGTTGGTAAGGGTAGAGCTGTTCGTACAATCCACGAGGAAGAAAAAAACCCTCAGCCAGCTCAATTACGTTTCCGCCACCTACAGCTTTTTGAGCTTTGAGAGAGAGATTAGCCGTGCTGTGAATTAAAGCGTCAGTGTCGTCGTCTTTGTCGACTTTATCACGGTCGTCGTTCTAAAGGCGAATTCATGTATAACTAAAAACCTGGCAAGACGGCAACAGCACGATAACCTGTGTATTTTAATGAATAACTGTAAAGAGAATAAGCGATGCAACTATTAACAAAAACATAAAATGATACATGTTGAGGACCCACCTCCTGTTCCTCCTCAGCCATAAGGTCCCGCAGACGGCCTATTCTCCGCTTGAGTTTATCACTCGGACAAAGTTTGTCCGCCTCAAGGAGTAGATTGAGAGTGCCGCGATAATCCTTGCAGTGAAAAAGCGCCCGCGCCCTCCTCTCCAAGTTGACAGACGACTTCCGCGCCGCCTCTGCCTCGAACTCGTTCTGCTCAGCAAGGGCCTCCTTGAGACGTGCAATTTTGCGCGCCGTCTTGGGATTAGGATCAAGGCTGTAAGCCTGCTCTAGAAGCGCCAACGATTCTGCAATCTTCTCCTCTTCATAAAGGAGACGAGCTCGGTCCAGAAGCTCATTCGGCGCATTGACAATCTAAAGGGGTTGATAGTGATCTGTTCACATAGGGGGGAAGTGAAACAATATGGTATCGGTTGTAAAGCTTCTAGTTTTGGAAATTCGTATCATCAAAATTTAACAGGGGGAATGCATAAGATATACTTGGACCAAAAAGTGAATTTAAGCAAATCCCGTACTAGTTTATCCTAAAATTTCTCTTTACCGTTTTACCAATTCTTTCAAAACCGTTATCTAACAAACACTTGATTACCTTCTCCACAATCAGGGTTCCCGGAAGAGATTACATTGTTTTATCACTACACAGCAGCAAAGCAAGTAGTCACTCGTTAAGGAAAACCTACCATGTCGAGTACCATTAAGATAATAAGCTACAGGGAGACTGTATAGTCGTCGAATAACATCTTGTGAAGCAAGGGTTAGACACTAAAACTGAATCATGGAAAACAACGCTGTTCAAAATGCGAAAAAAACGCAAAATAATTCCAATAGACCAGAGGCAGAAAAAATTAACTGATAAATAAACAATCACGCCAAAAGAGGACCAAGGAGTTCTTTAAAAAAAACGCTTCAAAAGCGTTTTAAGCTATAGTTATCACACCGGAATTCAGTCTGAACAGAAGACATATATCGAAAAATGTGTAAAGAATGAAACGTGATGCAACTTGATTGAATAACAGAGCAACGAGAGAAATTTGGCCTACGAAAAATCCTTAAACACTGCCATTCATGACAGTTAATCTGCACTGATCCCTCAGAGGCAAGTTTTTGTAGGTACGGAGAAGGCTTTGAAAGATCAATTCGAATGCTAAATGTGCTTACCTAAGCAAATCAAGCCAGTAGTGAGCCAGATTTTAAAAATCTAAGTGGAATTAGCGCAATATCCAATGCAAACCAATAGGTTGTAAATATGAGACCAGCGAAAAATGTAAAGTTAAACCTAACAAACCACTGTGAAGTATTAAAATCGGTAGAATCAAGCGGCAAACAAACCTAGAGTAACCCCATAGACTCAAACTGTGCACAAGTATTAACCAAACTAGATTTTATAACGTTGAAAATTCCAAGGTATCAGTAAATGCGATTGGAATCAAGTGATAAAAGGTCTCGCACGAAATACACATATATAAGCATAGTAATCCAACTCACGCTTACAATGATCTTATTCTCAGCAGCCGATGTATTAGCCGAAACTAAAGTACCAGCGGTCTATAAAGAAGGAGAGGATGGTGATCAGACCGCTGTCATACTAACTGTCGCCCTTGAAATTTTAAGGGTTTTTTTGGACTTCGTAGGCCTCCCGGATGTAGACGCGGAAGTCAACTTAAAAAACAAATGCTACAACTCTTCCTGAGCTGAGCATAGGTTATAAAGCAGTTTTGCTAAAAGAAAATGTCGAACTTTAGCCACATAGCTATTAAGTTCTGTTCTTTCATGTGAAATTGAGGAGAGAAGTCAAATGTCTTCGGAGTGAATTCAATAGATCCCCAAACGGGCAATTAGTAAGATCAGCAAGAATGCTCTGAATAAGATAACTAAGCTTTTACATTTGACCATTTACTAAGAGCAGATGATCAAAACAAATTATAATCTTTAACAGCCATCGCTGTCTAGGCAGCAGCCTACTAAAAGCGAAAAAATAGCAAATGAACAATTTTGGAACCACCTGCTGACCAGCAGTCTCGTGTACGTCTTCGCAAATCGAGAGGCTGGCCGTTTCAGTAATGAGGCAGTCAATATCGGAGAAGCCTAGGGTATGCTTTGAGGAAGACAGGAGGGTTTGTACGGGACTGCATTTTTGCTGCAACTGATTAGAGGAGGAGGTTCTAAGGGTCCGTTGTCGATTTTCTGAAGAGCCATCGACATCTCTTTCACAGAGGCTACGTGCATCCCGCCCCAATTTCATAATAGATATAGAAATCGGCTTATCCAGTCTTGAGAATAGCGCGTTCAGAGATCTTGAAGAGCTAAGGATCACAAGAACTCGGTGATGACAGTGACAATGGATGGAATATAACCGCTATGAATCCTGAACAATCTAACATCGCTATTCATACTCGAGGTTCCTATGTATCAATTCTTTATCTAAGTGCTGCGAATGCTCGCATGTATAAAAGCTAGGATAAGTCGAACCTTAGGAAGATAAGTGTGAAAGTAAATTCAACTCATACGAAACAAATATCAAAACTGACGATACGTGTTAAAAAGGCTATTAATTAAATTATAGTCCCTATCAAGGTATTACCATGAGGTGAATCTAAACAAACTGTGCCTTTAATGTCTGCACAATGCACGGCGAGGAAAACATCTCCCCATGACACCAAACTTACCGCGTCCGAGAAGCATGGAGGCTAACTTGTTCTAAGGTTGCACGGTTTGAATAGCCAAGGCATTACTAGCCTTAAGTGAACTCAGGATGACTATAACTGACGGTCCAGCCTAAACGCTAATAGATTTTACAATGGTTGTCCGAATAAAGCCCTGCTTCAAAATTTTCATATTTATTCAAGGACTTCTATTTACGCATGGAATTGTGTCTGTTCAAACCACGACAATGAGTAACCAGTTAAATTTGAAGATGCGAAGGCATAACTCTCCTGGCCCGCCTATTCATATTTGGCGTCGAAATACCTGATTTGAGTTCTGTATCAAATTTGAATTCGTGAGTGAATGAGATAGTGGTGTTCCTATAAACTTTTGATATGGGTAATGCTTTGATGCCCATAGCAATAAAACAACTACTAGGTTCTCTTAAGGTGTTTCTCCCACTGTCTAAGAATGATGCAGCTTCCTACCAAGGTTCTATAACCGTCTTCGGCTCACTATCTTAGCTGTCATTTACCCTCTAACGGAATCTTAATACTAAGTACTAAATATTTCACGCCTTACTCCATTCAGATATAAGGGGAACACCACGTGACAGGTGTAAAAATCGATAACTTGACTTCCTCATCAGCCTTCGATAAGATTCTTAGTCATGGGAACGGTGGATATGGATTGGGATGTGGTGAATGAGGTGGCAACAACGTGTGGTACCGACAGGCGCACAACTTCCCGTGTCATCAGTCTCTTCAACTCTGGTAACACTCTCCCCTTCATTGCACGCTATCGTAAGGAGGCGACAGGAAATCTGGATCCTGATGCTCTGCGCGCTATTAAGAACAAGCTATCGCAATGCAAGTATGTTTTAAAAGGAAAGCTTTTGCCGAACTTGAAGGATGGTCGAATCATACGACTACCCTGTTTCTAATGTTAATATTATTAGTAGTCTCCGTGTGAAAAGCATTTGTCATCATTTGTTGAAGTACATAACTGTGTCCAAGTTTGTTCTTGAATTGTGACAAAGGCTCCGTGAATCGTCTTTGTTATTCCTCTGTTGCACTTGCTTTAGTATGGCCTTCTTGTGGGGTCTCCCATCTCTAAATAATTGATGCATTTCTGACCTCGCCTGTAGCGGCTGCCTCTGTAAATAACAGTGCAATCAATGAGTAAACTGCTTCGGCTGTTTCGTTTTCATTCATGGGTGCAGAATCCCTGTAAGTTTTGATCGGCATCTCTGCGATCGGAGAGCCTCACCATTCCTGCGAAAAACATTGGTCATCTGCCAATAGCTTTGGTGGTGGCAAAGGAATTAATTTCTTGCCAGAGCAAACCAAAGTTAATCAGCTTTTATTCATTAAGGTTTTTATATTTTCTTAACCTCATAATTAGATCCTAAAGTAATTTCACTGGAGTTTGGGGTTTGCTTTCGTGCCGATTCGTCCATGCGATTTTACCTTTTTTTTGGCATTGTAATTGAACAGGGAAGTAATTGAGAAGGTGGATCATGCCTATACCCACCTCTCCGCCAAGGGCCTCATGACAGATGACTTGATGGCCAGTCTGCGTCAATGCAGAACAACAAGTGATGTTGCCCTGATAGTGAGTCTTCTCCACAACTCCCACTCCCCACCGAAGGAATATAAATTCTTTGTCTCATCACTTCTCTAGACTGAGCCCTTTAAGGACTCCGCTCCAAAGTCACTTGCTGCGAGAGCACGTGCGGCGGGACTGGAACCTGTGGCTTGTGCTGTTTTTCGACTCCACAAGAGTGTGGACTTTGGTACTGCTCTTGCCGGTATGACTGCTGCTGAGGTGGAGGCAGGAGTGTTGAATATCATGGCGGAGTCGATTTGCAAGGACTTTGACGTCTTGAGGACTGCAGAACATCTGTAGGTCATATTACTTTTCCCGCTATTTTTACAAATTGTTATTTCAACCTTCAATCTAAGTATAAGTGATTGGTGCGAAATCCTGATTAGTTATGTATTCAGATCCAAAAGCAAATTTGGTTTATAAGCAATCGTCATTGCAAAACTTCACTATTACTACCAATTTTTGCTAATTTCATGGCTCGACATCTCTTTACGATACTAAATTCTCCTTTCGGTGAGTACTGATGAGGACGTTAGCCTTGACGTTGTGACGTAGTCCAGTTCTTAGTGGAATTACTGTCTCTTCCCAGGTCACCGTGTTTACCTCCTTCGGATTTGTTAAGGAAGTGATTTTAGTTTTAACTCACCATCTACTGCTTGGTATTACCATCTCCTTCCATGAAGAATGTATTGGTAACACGTGTATTTCCTGGGTTGGGAGGTCATTCCACACGCGAGCTCTCCTTCTCTGGAGTGCTCTTCATCTCGCGACGAAATAGTGAATACCCGATTCTTTGCTTAGTTGCTTTCAGGTTCCTCCCACCATCATAACCACTCGGACGACGCAAAACCGTTCATCTCCCTCAAATTTCAACCTTGAGAAGGATCTAGTCACTTTCAAGGCCTTCTTCGACTTCACCATGGCTTTCAACCGTATTCCGCCTCACAAAGTGTGTTCTTTCATCCTCCACATTGTCAAAGTTCCGCCGATGGGTGTGGTTGGCTGCTCCCCCGCGTGAATTTTCTTTCCTTATTTATCGGTTTTATTACTGGTGAACTTAATCAGAACATTGGTCTTTGTTACGTTCAGCCAAGTCTGATTTGGGGTTATATGGTTCATTATACACAACCTCGATTCTGTGCAAAATGTGATGTGCTAGTCACTGTACTTCTCTGAAATTCTTGAGACCTTTTGCTTTTTGCTGTTACTGGATTAGGTTTGTAGGGTCGTTGTGGAGGTCTGCTCATTTTTCAGTGTTAGTGAAAATTTCGCCTTCTTAAAACGGTTAAATTTGACTGCAGGTGTTGGCGATCAATCGTGCAGAGGAACGCAAGATCATCCGTGTAAAGGTGGAGTTTTCTGCTGTCTTGATTGGGCGGATACGTGACGCTGTTGGGCAGCGATTCCTGCTCAACATACATCCCTCACATCACAAACTCTTTTGGGCTGCCTTTGAGGACGGCTGGAAGCGACTCATGAAACCTTGCCTCACACGCAAACTCCGGTGGGTGCGTTGTTACGAAGCCAAGTATTTTCCCTTTTACCATCATTTTTATAATTGTCTTCATAATACAGAGCTTTAGTTGAAGACTTCTCGGTTTTGATTTCCTTGTCTTTTAATGTTTGCCTAACTATTATTTAATCTTCAACGTTATGGATTATGAAGATTTCTTTCACTGTCCGAAGCTTATTACGGCACTTCAAACCTTCACCTTGCTACTTTAAAGGAGCCCGATCGGTAGCTGCTTTAACGTTTTTCACTTCAATTGCTGATTCTATTGCTGTTTTCCGCATGTGCGATTAAAGCTTCCTTGGTTAACTCGACCTGTCCATTGGATCTTTTCTATATTGGACTAGGATCTGTCAAATTGGTCCTTCTAAAATTCGATTCCAGTCTGTTCCATTTTTCAACTTACCTGCTTTTTCATCAGTTCTCTGAACCTGGTTAGCTTTCTTACTTATTCGCTAGTTTACTTACTCAATGTTCACCACTTGTCTACGATTTGTCCCATTGTATTTATAGGTCGCGCATCACTTCTGTCGCACAGGAGGTCTCCCTTAACGTCTTCGCAGACAATCTGCGCCGTATTCTCATGACTGCGCCTTTGCGCAACGCTCCATTGCTCTCTGCAGGCGATCTCAACGCTACTGCCTCTTCCTTATCATCGAATCCCCGAGGGCGACAGCGACGTCGGCTCTCACCCGATGTCATCTCTGCCAGTCTTGGTGCCCCCGGTGACCGGCTCCCCGTCCTCGGCATGGATCCTGGCTGGCGCTATGGTACCAAATGGGCAGCTTGTGATCCCCTTGGTGATGTTCTTGCGACTGGTGTCATTCATGTAACTTTGGATCAGGATAATCGAAATCATAAATATCACGGTGGTCATACCAATAAATACAACAGTGATGAAGTTCAGACGCTTGTTCGTGCTATGCGAGATCACGGGTGAGATGGTGCCTCATTTTAACCCCGTACTACAGTTTTTTTTTGACTTAGCTTTTACTACTTTCTGAATCGGTCATCCACTCGTAACATAATTTATTTGAGAAATCTTAGAAAATTTTACTGTCTCAGTCTTTCACCATGTCGTTAAGACTAACCACAGTGTTATTAATGAATTCGTTTCATTTCTCTTCACAATAACAGGATTTTCGTTTGCCATCTTCAATGGAACCTTTTTATTTGGCCCTCCGTCCAGAATTTACACAATTGCCTTGGGTAATGGGCAAGCCTGTAGACAAACTGAGCGTTGGTTGACACAAGCAGTTTCCGATGGTCTGTTCTTACCACTGGAAGTGCGCTACGCTATTGTGAACGAGGCGGGTGCCTCTACCTACTCCACCTCGCCGCTAGCTGCTGCCGAATTGCCTGGGCTCGACGTGACACTTCGGGGAGCAGTATCTATTGCGAGACGACTACAGGACCCCTTGGCGGAGATGGTGAAGGTGGCACCCCAGCACCTAGGCGTAGGCATGTATCAGCACGACCTCCCCTTGCGTCGACTTCAGGCGGTGGTGGAAGGCGCGATGGAAGAATGCATCTCCTTCGTCGGCGTCGATGTTAACACGGCTCAGTTGCATGTTCTGGCGCGCGTCGCAGGTCTGTCCCGCATTAAGGCCCAGGAGATTATCAACTATCGCATGCTTCATGGGCGATTCCGGTGTCGCAATGAGCTACGCAAGGTGCGAGGTATTGGACCCAGCACCTTCGCACAGTGCGCTGGCTTTTTAAGGGTCAAGCCGGAGTTTTCCATAAATACAATGGACTCCTCCAGGTAATTTCTTAATTATCCATTCTTTGGTCTGCGTCTTAATAACATAGAGTCGTAAATTAATTGTTCCTTAAACTAAGATAGTCCCCTGTAGTTGATTTGTGATTGCTCTCTAAGCAGTTCCTCAGAAATGCTTGCGATCTTTACTACGTTTAGCCGACTCAAAACCAAATTATGAATATCAAGTCGTTTTAAAGTTCGAAGACAAGACAATAATGAATAGCTGAAAATAGGATGTTCAGTAACGGATGCTGCTTGTGCATGGTTTCACTGACCGCCAGAAATTGGCTATCATTGGAATGCCGAAATTTCTGCCGGTCATATCTGCTTACAAAATTGCTTTTAGGTAGCCACGAATTGCTGTTGATGCGAGACGACCCTACGAAAAGGCCTTGGTAACTATCTCCCAAGATGGATTAACATTCAGCCGTTTCTTTCATTTTAAACGATTACGAAGGTGCATTTGCGTTGAGTTATAAAAGGAAAAGAAATTAAATATGCTGTTTAGGTTGCCCAATGTACTGTGATTTGGTGCAAATTCAAGCTAAATTTCAATTTTTCCTTAACTGTATGACTGCGACCATTCAGGCTTTCATTGAACTAATCAGCTATCGGCCTTTTTAATCCTTCATCGCATCACCAAATTTTCTTTTAACTACCAAATAATTAAATTCCTTTTGCTTATCAGGGACGTCGAATTCATTTCCCTCTGTACCGATGACGAAGGCGAAGATACTGCAGCTGATGGGGGGAACGATGATGTGGAGATGAAGGTTATTTCTACCAGTAGGAAGCGCAGCCGTCTCGTTACTATGGACACGTCCCCCATCACTAAGGTCCCACGAATTCGGCAGCCCCAACCAGATCCCGACGATTTCTCTTTCAATCCCCTTGACCAAACTGCTATTCATCCTGCCTCCTACCACGTAGCTGTTGCGTAAGCCATCTCTATCTACGTTTTCTACTGATAGAAATTGGTAGATGTAAGAGTAAGGCTTTTTCCACGATATCTGCAACACGATTTTTACTTAAGTAAATTTAAGTAGACCAGGACACCTAGTGAGCAAACTTAATCAAAATGCCCTAGATCCCATTTTGTATTACCTTATTTGTGTGTTTAAATGCGTTTTAGAATAGTATTTTTTGAGCCATTGCTTTGTAGAGAGTTACGTTGGTTTTGCTCTCAAAGGTGACAGTATTGAGAACAACGCCTACGAAACCACGCAACAGTCATTTTCTCCTAAATGCGCGGTTTTGTTCTTGAAGATTTGGGGAGTTCGAGTTCACAAATCCAGCGTTAGACTAAAGTGTTAGTCTGAACAACTGAACTTGCTTTAGACGATCTTTTTGTCCTGAAAGGACGTACTTCGTTCTATCCAAGCGGAAATATCTGTCAAGCCGACTGACTCGGATAAGATTTTATTCGCCATCGTACCCGACATTGGCGAGCCAGCTCAATTAATGCTAATACTTTTCTTTACAACTTTTGGTGAAAGTGTTTCCTCGATTTTGGATACCTTCGAGTTACACCTCTCAGTTGCGTTACCTGTTGCCGCATCTATCCCTTACAGCCTCATTCATCATTTTAAGTACGAGATCAGTGATGTGGGTAGCATGGCTCTCCGCAACAGAGCCAAAGCTCTTTTCGCTTCGCCCAACCGTGAGTCGTGGGGAAAATCCGCTTTGTTTTTATTTCTTTTTACTGACCTTTTTATCTATAATCGCTCTTTTCCGTTTTAGGCGACGCGATATTGACTCAGTTCACTACGGAGGAGTTTGGGTTGGAGACAGTGCGAGACATTCTTGACGCCCTTTGTCGTCCTTTAGACTTCGATGAACGGGAAGGTTGGTAAAAGGCCTCATTTTTGTGCATTGAACATCATATTTCGTTGATTTATCGTGGCACCTTGGGGTAACTTTGGGTTGACTTCAAGGCAGTGAGTGTTTCATCTAGATACATTCTCCTAGGATCAAGCTCAGGAGGGTATGAAATTGCTATAATAAAAGTCGGGTTGCCTGGTCTTCGGGTGCAAATTTTATTTGAATCTTCAAGAACTCTTTTGCATTTCATTGTCGTGGCTCCATGCTTTCCTAATCACTCATATTCATCGTTGATGTAGACTGGTTGATTGTTTAAGGGATGTCATTGCTATTAACCATAAGCTCAGTTTGGTTCAAAATCACTTTCATTTGTGAGTTAATTCGTTCTCCCCCTGGAATTACACATTTTCCCGCCCGTTGTTACGGTAGCCTTTTGGATGCCAACTGCGTTCTGTGAAACTAGAAAAGTCATCACTTTTCAATCACGCAGTAGATCACTGAAGCGCTTCAGTGCAATTGCAGAATTTTTAATTTATCATTTCAAAATATACGCTGCTAATGATTGGACCATTTTGAAATTTGTGGTTGGCAATGGGCCGCGGTGAAGAGGTTTTCCCTACTTGACCAGTCGCCTATCATGCAGCTACCTTAAGATTAAGTTAGCACTTTTATCGTCTTTCTTTCTCCTACGCAGATCGTTTTGCGCCGATGTTTCGCTCCTCCGTGATGTCCATAGCTAACCTACAACCGGGTGTGGAGGTGACTGGTCGTGTAGATAATGTGACCACTTTCGGTGCCTTTGTGGACATCGGGGTAGAGGAGGCAGCTCTTGTCCCTCTCCGACACTTTCCCCCTCTCTCTTCCTCCAATCTGACTATCAGAAGCTCGAATTTCACTAGTCTTGGCGGCATCTGTGGAGGTAGCGAGTGCAGCGTCCTCCAGAAACTGAGTCTCCAACTAGGAGATCGGATCAGGGCTAAGGTGGATACAGTGTGTGTAAAAACCAAACGCATTAATCTTCGAGACGTTCGCCTAATCCTGCGATAACATCTCACCCACTATCTTGGCATTTTCTACCATGACGCCTTGTTTCGTTTTTCTCCTTGGCTCACCATATAGGCAGAATATGGAAACAGCTGCGATGAAAGATAGGCCGATTCGTTACTTAGTAACTGTTTAATACCTGCCCCTCATTAGTGAGGAAAAAGTAGTAAAGCCTTTTCCCAGATACCTGTTTATCAAAATATTGCCCCTAGGAAAAGGGCTTCCTTGTATTTGTTGCAGGTGCGATCCATTCTTCAGCCTCTTTTTTGAATAATAATTTGTAGCTATTAGGACGGGCATTGTCTGTGCATTATAGTAACTTTTTCAAAGTCTTATCTTAAAATTTTATTTTGGGATAACCTTGGGAGCCAGTTCTTGAATACCTTTTCATCCAACTCGCAGGTATTCGGGTTTGTGTGCCTCTGTGTTTGCTATCCCTTATCGTGGTGGTCTCATTGGCGAGTCCATGAAATCTGACTTGGGTCTAGTTTGACGAATTGGAACTTGAAATCTAGACCGCTTTTGTAGTATTGCGTTAATCTCAAAAGCGGGGACAGTTTCAGTTTTTTGGTTGAAGTCTTCTCATACTTTGTTGTTTAGATATGATGGTGACTCCATATTAAACCCTATTTCCCAGTCTAAGTCACATTTTTTACCCATATTTCTGTTTTTGTGCCTGCATTCTGAAAGTGGTTCCGGATATTCGAATTGGTCGTTCATGAATAGTACAGTTTTACACGAAAACCCGTATGATTTATTGAATCAGAGGGAAAAAAGCATATTGTCTAGATGTCGTGGGATACATCCTTGAGGTGTGAATTTTAATGGTTTAAGAAATATTAATGGTCGCCGATCTCATGTCACAATCGTTCTCCATGTGTTTATACAATGTCAAGTTACGCAAGGTGTACGAAACACCCATGTGCTGTTTACACTACCCAGGATACCTTCACTTCTGCAAACTAAAATATCCAGAAAGGGCGTTAAAAGTTGTCGAACTCTTAGTGCTTTAGGGACACCCTCTGATGTTCACGCATTATACATTAGTAATGTGGATTTGGCCATCCCAGCCAGCCATTTGCCCACTCGGTTGAAGTCTGCTTTTGGTATATGGAAGGAGGAGCATTCGCTAAGAGTCACTCGAGCCAGCATTACCAAAGAAAGGCTGGAGAAGTGTCATCTATTCTGAACAAATACACGTTCCCAAAACGAGTGTATCACGGCAATTAAGGATTTGAATAATGAATGAAAGATCTTTTTCCAGCTGAAAGAGTCTATAAATAACAGCCGTCCTTGATCAAATTGATAGCATTGTGGTGAATTTGCTTGTTTAAGTAGCTTTATTTAGACACCTGTTAAATCTGGGCGGCATCAATGGCCTTTTACTTTCAATCTCTGTAAGCTGCGTCAGGCCAACTTTTTAAGGTGAATGCCAAATGCCAATTCCAATGATTGCTGCGATTTCGTGTAAGAAAAAAAGACGCGTCTGGAATTCTTGCTACGCCCTATCACATGCGAAGTTGCTCTCCTCCATCATGTCGGCTTCAGATGTCTTTGATGTGAGTAGCTACTCGTTTAAAGGATTTTCAGGATGAATGAATTCCCTACTTACCAAAGCTTTCTTTTGGCGGTTTTCCTAAATCAAATTAGCCAAGTTTATTGCACAATGTCACGTGTGCGTTTATCGCTCCCTAAAGCTGTTTCTCTGCCTTCATTTTTATGCCCACGGTGAATCAAGATTGTACTGAAGATGGAAGGACACGTAATACCAGGATAGGTAGTGTAGTGCCTACACAGACATGCATTAGAAGGCTACCAGTATTACTCAAAGGGCATGTAGCCCATGAAAGCAAAACTGGACGTATCACACGGGCCTTCCCTCCTCTTGGGTGGCCTCTACTCTTGCTATCACATTGCAATATGTTTCGTAAGAATGGGGTCTTATCAACCCCATTGGCACCTGGATTTGTCCTCATCCACTGTTTGAGAACTACTTTGGAGAGGGAATGTGCTGATCGTCTTGAATACCCATCTCCAGCCGAAGAAGCACTGGAAAAAACAGTCATCAAGGAAAGATGGGTTTTCTACTTGATCTCGTGGAAATAAGGCCTTGCTACATTGGCGCCCAGGAACGTTCTTCCGAAATTTTGCCAAATAGTAGGAAAGTGAGAGAATTGCGTGCTCATTGACATCCCCATGTCGGCATCCCTGTAACAGGACTAGTGATTTGTATTCATGCGATTCACGGAACTGGGGCAGATGGTGTGGGTAGACGCCATATCCTGATTTGATAGAGTTCGCCATGTCATCCCGTCCCCACCACATTGTGATTTGTTATGAGGTGCTAGAAAGTGATTTAATTAGTTTTTTTTTGGAATTTTTATCACCAATGAAATCGAGAATTAACGAGAGTAGGGCAGCATATGTTTCATTGCCTTTTAGAAGAGCTAAAGAGTTGCTGGCATCGACTGAAAGTACAAAATCAAGAGTTGAACGGACCCACAAACCCCAAAAAAGTGTGTGTTAAGCAATCTTTTGATTCTTTTTTCTCTACTTCGAATAGCACAGTGTTAAGCACCACAGCTATTGGGCTTCCAAAAAGTTAAGATTTCTGGTTCATAAGTACGGTCTTCCCGTGTTCAGAGAGGTCCTGACGACGATAATATCAACGGAAATCCACTCTTCGTAAATATAAAGTCTCAGCGTGACGACGTAGGTCTATAAGATGCAGATGGATGAATCCTAATTTAAAATGAGGGGTTAAAAATGGTGTCTACTTTTGGTAATTATCACATTCTTGTAGTTTCCAAGGTTGCTATCACCAAATGGTATTGATGAAATGGACGCACGATTCTTCCTTCACTTTTCTACCGTCATTAAGAGCAGAGTGACGTGACCTTAGTTCTACGAAATTAAATAAAAACCGTCGTTTAGCAGATGACTTGCCTTTTGGGTCAGTGGATGTGCATGGCGTTCTGCACATTCTTCCGTCCCGCAATGCGCTCCTCAAACAGCAAAATTGCATGTTCCTTGGAAATGCTGTTAGTCATCAGCGATGGCATCGTAAAGTGTCCTGCGGTTTTCGTGGAAATTCAACAAGTGATGCGGCGGATGTTATTCTGGCAGCGATATAAGTTTGGAAAGAGACGCAGAACTACCCAGTATTCTGAGCTCATGCGTTTGTACTTCAAAGACACTTGGGACTTTGTCTTTGCCCTCTCACTGAACGGTATAGTTTGCAGATCATGTGGACCGCTCCTCCCTCATCCCTCTTTCACACCATTGTTGCATACATTGTCGTGGTGTTATGCCTACCTTCATCTTTAGAGGCATTTCAGAGCGCAACAATCCAATCCCTAAATCAATGCCCCGTTGGCAGTACTGGGATGTCGAACACATCGAAAATTTGCAACTGAAGGATAAAATTGAGAAGCCAAAAGATTTTAGGTCTAGACAACTTATTTGGATAGACGCCACCTCTAAGTACATTTTCATGGTGTCCAATCGTGCCTTTAGACATCAAAGCACAAACATGGGGTTGGTCTTAAGGCACAACTTTAGACGGTATCAATCTCAAATCCCCTAAATCGCCTACTTGAGAATGCAGGAAGGAGGGTTTTTGTGCTAAATGAGGCTACTCCTCGCCGAATGCCTTGTCGAGGCTAGAGCAAGCAAAGTACAGCTTTGTCCATTTATTCGCAGTTGTTTCCGTATTAAGTCGTACCTAACAGATGCAGATGAATCCGAAGACTGCGCAAACATTTGAGTGGAGCGGTTGATGTGGGCGAAAGCAAAAATCTTGGTTTTTTAGTGAAAACACCAAGGGAAGATGTTAAGGAAGTTGACAGAGCGAACTACGTTGGAAGCTACGTAGTTTTGGGGCATTACATTGAAATTGCTTCAGTGATTCCAACTCTGGGGTGTTACGTACTGCTTCAGTTGTCTGTTTAACTCAAAGTTTGGCTGACAGGTAACTCAAAGCTGTGCATCAGCGATGCTAACTCATTTTTAGGTTGCCTCGGAACTGCAGTTGCTCTTGAGGGTGACGGGTCTATGGTGGTGTTCTAAGTTTCTTCGACTTAAGTGGATACTGAACCAGAGGAAAGTCAAAGTAGCTTAACCCTTTGGACGAGTTGCAGTAATGTGGTCCGCGGTCCAACGCTTCACAGCAAAGTAGTTCCAAAACAGTGGTTCTGGATTTTTGAAGACGCATTCTATCGCATTTTGTAATGCAACAAGATGAATTGTCGAGGGTGGAGAGGTAGACAAGTGACTCATAGTTAATCATTTCAGCTCTAGAAAATTGTCTGTATTTCAATCATTTTGCACTTTACTTGTACGTGAGTGAAGGAAGTTATAGCAATGCAATATGAAAAGGCAGTACAAGCTTTCAAGGCTAGCAAGCCAGTGAAGCTAATGACTAGGGTTGCGCCAAGAAACTTTTGAGAAAATGGCATTTTCATTAAGAAATTGTAGGGTGAAGGATTGCGTAGCATCGGCAGGAGTCGAATAGTCTCAGCAAGATTTCGAGTTTTCCTTAGACGGGACGGATTAGGGCTACCGTTGTCTGTCTCTTATGTTTCCAAAAGGGGAACAGGATCAAGAACGACAACAGCAGACACAGGGTAGAGATTCGGATATTTTGGGTGTCTCGGAGACCAGGCTTCTAGAAGTTGCTAAGAGTCAGCAGGTTTATTGCGTCGAGTAACGAAGAGGAACAGTTGTACGACCTTAAGAGTTTAGGTAGGACACTGGGATTTGATTATATAAATCTTAAGCTACTTTAAAATTGGTTGAATTGCTAGTAAGTGGTCATGCCATTAATACCAAGTTTTCTGGAGCACAAGCTGATGATCAAACAAGATACTCAAGCGAGCTAAAACTACATGGATGTTGGAATTTCTTAGCTTTCAGTGTCAAAGAAGTGAAACATAAAGGAAGGCATTTCCTAACTTTGCGCTCGAAGCGGTGTTGGTAGCATGCGATGCCGTTATAAATGAGACGGCAAAGAAAGCCTATTAAAAGTGAACTGGTAATGTGAGCCTGTGGATACAAGCATGTTTGAGTTTGGTTGAAGCAATCAGTGCTGAGAAATTTGGATCTTCAAGCAGCCTGTGGAGGTTACGATGCAAATGAAACAAAAAACGTTTTCGGTCCTAAGGTTGAACAGTTTGTTTACAGCTGTTAGAGAGGAGAACAAACAGGTCCGACCCTTTGTAAGATTAGGTGTGCTAGTGAATCCTTCAGTGATAAGCGTCTTAACCCTGAAGTCTTGTGATTTTTATAGTTTTCTGCCGATTGCATTCGAGATTGCAATGGTTTTAAGATGATTTCGCTGTAGTTAAAGCATTGCAAGATCCATTTGCAGTTCGATGAGGGAAACCTGCATTCTGCGGAAACACTACTTCTTCAAATTTCATTGGGTGGAACAGAGTTGGCATTATTTCTGAGTGTTTTCGGTGTAACCAACGTCGTGACAACGAATCCATTCTTTTTTCAAGATTACGTCTGTTGGAGCAGCAGAAATTTGGTAGTGATTCTCCCGCCTTTTGGTGACCTCCACACGTTCTCCTATGGATCTTCTAGGAGTAAAATCGAATTATTTGATGACGTCAATTCAACCGTAAGGAGGATCGATAGACGTCCCTTCAGGGTAGAGGCGCCCCCCATGTGAATAGAAGTCAAGCTATTGATTAATACAGTAGAATCGATGAGCATGAGGTCAGGTGATCCGGTTAATGAGTAAAGTGCAATGAAAACACAGAAGGAAGTAGTAATACGTCTGTTATGGAAATGCCACGACAGCGTATTGTGCTCGTGATTGATTGTGCGTTTACAGAGGCTTCAAATCCATTAGAGAAACGCACTATAAGTCGGTCTTTGAATACCAAGAGAGCATTAAATATGTGAGGTTAATTATTGACAGTTAAACGAGAGCCTCATCGGACAATTAATGGTCCGATCCAAGAAACGGTGTTGTGGCTGTATGCTGGGTCTCTATCCCAAGCAAAGTCGGCATAATGTTATCGCCGCCTACATCGTAATTTTCAGTAGGTGGAGGAGTATCAAGGCTGACAACAGCAAGCAACATCAAATATTCTTCAGAACATTGAATCTCATGCTTTAAGTAAAGGTTTTAGATTCTTCTAAGTGGAATGACATACTCACTCTCAAAGAAGGCCCGTAGTTTGGATTTGCGTTCCTACAACACCGATCGCTTCAAGCTATCCACCACAGCATGACAAACAAATGCGCTTGTTGTGGCCACACATAAATATGTTCAACTCGGCTATGGTCCAGTATTCCAGGCAAGTTTGATAAATATTCTTTAACCCTTCCTATAAAACTATCTGATCAGACATATCTCAATGCACGTTTCGTTGTTGAGTGAGCATAAAGGGTCGAATGATATTGCTAATATTGAGGAAGAAGAAATGACACCTATAGAACAAGAGCAAACAATGTATAATTAAAAAGAAGGCGTTCTACACGGATCTGAAGTCCTACCCATCTGAGAAATTCCACATCTATTCGATGTGGTGATTTACTCTAAGTTCTTCCTACCCCCGACCATTTATGATCGTTGATCTTCTCGACGAGTATTTTCATACAATCTCCTACCGTCATAAAATTGCTAAGCCTCTACCACTCGAATCACAATTTATTAGCCCGTATGGGTCTCAACACAGCTACTGTCTATCAATGGTCAGCCTGGACTCGCCAACACTTCATCCACACAAGGTGTGCGTGCGTGCATGCACTCAGCTTGCCTCTGATTGGTTGCCTCGTGATCAGACGTCTATTTGGGTGTTGTCGAGGTAATAATAGGCCATAAAAGCTGAAAAAACTTCACTTCAGAGACCTCCAAGTTGGTATGGTACTGCACGGTGCTCTCTCTCTAGGCCTCTTCCTTCTTCCCTTGCTTCATGTTACGTTAGCTGAGGAATGCGGATATTGTCTTTGTCCTCCGACCAAGGATGGTTACATCAATGTTCATATTGTACCACACACCCACGATGATGTTGGATGGCTGAAAAATATTGACCAGTACTACTTCGGCGATGGTAAATGGTACCAAACAGCATCAGTGCAATACATCCTCGACTCAGTGATGCATGCGCTTTCGCTGAATCCATCTCGCAAATTTACATATGTGGAGATGGCTTTCTTCGAACGCTGGTGGCGTCTTCAGGACGCGACAATGCAAGAACTCGTTCATCGTCTTGTTCGAAACGGACAATTGGAATTCGCTTTGGGCGGCTGGACCATGAATGACGAAGCTGTGGTTCACTATAGTGATTCTGTGGACCAACTGACTCGAGGTTTGGCATTTCTTAATGCCACCTTCGGTGATTGTGGAAGGCCTAGGGTGGCTTGGCAGATCGATCCTTTTGGCCATGCTAGACAACAGGCGCGCATCTTCATGGATGCCGGGTTCGATGGGGTCTTTTTCCAACGCATGGACTATCGCGAGAAGCGCCGAAGACTCAAGGACAAAGGGATGGAGGTTTTGTGGAAAGTCGATTCTATTGATAACACGACCGGTCTCTTCACACATATGCTTTATCAAAGCTACTGTTCACCACCTGGTTTCTGTTTTGACTCCAAATGCGATGACCCACCAATAATTGTGGATCCCTTGGCGACTAATTACAATGTTCCTTCAAGAGTAAGACAGTTCTTGGAGTATGTGAGGCTTGTTGCCAAGAGCTACGCCACTAACCATATCTTCGTGCCCATGGGATGCGATTTTACTTATGAAAGCGCAAATGAGAATTTCATTAACCTGGACCGGCTTATCGAGCACGTAAATGCACATCAGAGCCAAGAGGCACTAAGATCCACGTCTTGGGGGTCATCCACAAAACCGGTGCATCTGCTCTATTCCAGTCCGACCTGCTACACCAAGTCAGTCAATGAGGCATTTAAGAAAGAAGGAATGATGCCCGAAAGAGAAGGTGATTTCTTTCCCTATGCTAGCGCTTCTAACACATTCTGGACTGGATTCTACACTAGTAGACCCTCCCAAAAGTTTATGGTTCGGCGTGCATCCTCGCTGCTTGCAGCCTGCGAACAGGTCAGTAAAACGTATTCTTCTTTTTACACACAAAAATTTTTATACTCAAAACATCTTTTAGCTGTCATTTTGATTGGATCCCTGGAATGGGTCTCAGTAATGGACGGTCGCATCGGATCGCGATAAGGTTACGAGGGTAGTTGAGATGCACACAACACTTTTTCATTGCTCAGCTTCAGATTCTCACTATTTTGCCCTCGCGTCTTATGAATACCGAGCTGGCTAACATGCACATCCATTATTGACGAGAAGGGATTAAGCGCTTTCATGCATAATTGGCTCTAACCAGGAACTCACAGCACCTTGAAATGCTAAAATTTGGGGCAATTAATTAGCCGAAAGCCTGTTTTTAGAAGGACAAATCACTAGAAATACCTTAGAAGCGGTGCCTGCATTGGTGTGATTAATACCACTGCCTCGAAAGATTTCACACCCGATTGAATGCCACGCCTCCGGGTGATGTATTGCCTTGACTTAGTATTTTGCATACCAAGACTTAGTCCATTGGGGCGTCTGAACTGCGCCATTTGGACCACTCTGACGGTGTGTTGATTGTGTAAACAATCCGAGGTCATGCTTCACATTTATTTAGTACAATTAGGTGTCTTTAAATAAACAATCAGTGGTAAGGATTGGTACAGAGTTCAGGATTTGAAACATTTCCAAAGTGAGATAGAGGAATAATTAAGCTTATTTCAATCACAGCAATCAGAGCATAGTGAGGGAACCATCAGAGCTAAAATTCAGCACACTACTCGGGAAGCTTTCAACTGATTCACCATTTCTCACGTTAATTTTGGCCACAATCTTGCATCATATTGGCGGGACGAAGGGAGGAGATGGTATTTCCAAATTTCCTGGTTTATCATTCACATTATCATTTGGCACACGAGTTTACAAATTGCGTGTAATTACATCGAAACTCTAATTTGGCCTGCAGTTGCCTTTGCTGATACTCGGGTGCACACGATAAGTTGGTTGTGCTTTCCATCGGGTGGCCATTAAACCGTAAAACTAATCATAAGTAGTGACCATTGTACTTCTGAGAGGAATCACTTTGAGTCCGGCAAAGCATCCCCGTGTGGCGCTTTAAGTTTGTCCCGAGGACGAAGACGGGCATACCATCAGGGCGGAACAGGCGTTGCTGACGCGTAGAAGCCCTGAGGAGCTACCGGAACGGGGCTGGAGAGGCTAATGCCCTGTGGATCCCTAAGTGCTCGCGTAGTCAAAGCAAGAGAGTGAAAAATCGCAAAAGGCACTGAACTAGATGCCATCGAGAAGTGATGTGAATAAAAATTGACTAGTTTTGTCCATGTCAAAGCTGAAGAGCACATAATTCTCCACTTCAATAAGCTATTTCTGCTTGCTGAATTTTCTGCAATTGGACTGTGTGATCAGGCTGATGTGGTGCCTGCGACTGTCGTTGCCAGAGCAGGATGTGCAGATGCTCACTGATTTGCTCGCCTACAAAGCGGAGACCAGAGCATCAGCACGTACGACCGACAGTTTCGGGTAAGATCAACTGGGTACGTGTTGGAATCAAGAGGTGGCAACTCATCCATCCTAGTTATTTTAAGGTCTTTTTTCAACAAGGGCGTGGAAAAGGAACCTAAATGGCAATAGAAACCACAGTTGTGCATATTTTGCTAAAATCAAGAAAACAATAGCAGGACCTCTTCAAGATAAGACGACTTTGCCAGCGCCACTTAAAACTTCCTGCCCCTTTGATGCATGAATCTTCTTATTTTAATCACCTATTTTGCCAACTCCTATCAACATCGTCAAAGGCTCTATTTTCATTAGCTGGAATACTTCCACTGACATTTCAAGCTGCCGTCGGGGCATTTGACGTCTCATTGGCGCAAGTGAAACATCATTTATGACATGACCTTTACAGTGGATTAACAATTTCTTTTTGAAAATAACTACTTCCAGGGCGACTCAGAAGCCTCAAATATGGAGAGATTGAACTGTCCAGATTTCGCTAAGCGAAGGGTAATAGGCACTTTAGAGGAAGGACACATTTTCGTGTTGTCTTATTTGTACGATTTTCTCAGCATGACTGACCTCTGATTCGCCTCATTGAAAGCTGATTCCTTGGAGTTTTTACAGATTGGGCTGGCAGTGTATGTAGTAGTGTCTTGAATCTTTCCCGAAGACGGAAGAAGTCGGTACTGGGAAGGAAAATGCACAGCCAGGGTACGCAAAGCAAGAAGGGGAGGTTGGGGGGGAGGGAGGGGAGGAAGAGGAACTTTGACATTGGTCTGCTAATGTACAATCGTCGAGTTCTGAATGACTGCGAAACCGAACCCGAGAGCTTGATGAACAAATCACTGCAATGCATACGTGAAAAATCAGTTCTACATGAATTCTCAGGACAATTTTCATTTAAATCAGTACTTTGAAACATTTACTGAGACTGTCGGGACTATTTCATTCTTCTTCATTCAGGTCTTCAAGGTGAAAGCAGAGTGGTTGAAACTTCCACTGAAAAATGACCCTCTCAGCGTGCCAGTACGATTTATTTTTCCTGGATGCGGCTCAGCCTAACTCTTCCCACGTGAGACTGAATCCTCCTGGAATAGTGGTTCTCTAAACCCATTTCAAAGCACCTGATAAATATTTGAACAATTCAGCCAATAAGACGTTTAAAGTCGTTTTATAAAAAAAATTATGATGAGGAGTTGAGGTTTTAAAAGAGGAGGAAATGTTGATCTTTCTTGGGAAATAATTTGGCCTCTAAGTGGCAATCACTTATAGAATTCGGCTTCTACGCAGTTATGCGCAGCAGTGACAGCTAGGATGGGGTTGCTGCCTTCAACTAGGTCTAGACGCCTTCCTACTTCTGTAGGTACTTTGTCTACTCTATCATACTTCTCTCCTCTTCAAAAGGCCCACATAATGAAGCCCACTGTTGGGTATCGCTGCAAATATCCATCACGTCCGACCTATGACTACCAGAAGGGCAATTTCTTGGAACCCGTCCAGGTGGTGGATCAACTTCGACGAATGGTGGGGATAATGCAACATCACGATGCTGTCACTGGTACTGAAAAGCAGCATGTTTCTGACGACTACCGTCAGCGTCTCACAGATGCCATGTATGGCTGCCAGCAACTTGTCTCTTCTGTGGCCGACAGCCTGTTGGAGACTCGCTCGCATAGTGGTGGCAATGGATTCAAAGCCTGTGAATATCTTAACGTCTCCGTCTGTCTTCCTCTGACTCGTAAACATGCTTTACCGGACGCTTTGATTGCCGTTTACAATCCTCTCGGATGGGACGACCTTAGGCCATGGATGCGCCTTCCGTTGCACGCTACCGAAGGAGAGGCTGACAGACTTCACACGTACACATTGAAGGAGTACTTCACCGGTGAAACTGTGCCCTTTCAAGTGGTCACCTTGCCAAAAGCTGTCTGTCATTTACCGGAAAGAGGAATGCTTAGTAACAAGGGGCACTCGGAGTTGGTCTTCAAGCCAAACGTTGGTCTCACTCCAGCAGGCTTCACCTTGTATCTATTGACGGGTGCAGCAAGCAATGCGTATAGGTAAATTGGGTTTTCAAGCGAATGACTAATGTGTTATGTATGGCATTTGAAATTGGTGCATGTTTTGTAGGCATTTTTGAAAGTTAGGTGAAGTACAACTAAGTGTCTCTGATGGGGACTCCTTACTTCTAAGAGCTGCCAGAGGAGGGAGGAACAACGTACTAGCGTTTGTAGTTTTGAGTTCATGATTTTGATGGTCTGAGAATGCACATTTGGCTACCTTGTGAGCGAGGGAGGTTGAGCACATTGACTGTGCGGTAAGATGGCAGTGGTAAATAGCAGAGCTCGTGAAATGAAATTTGATGTGATATAACCAAATGTGTTTTTGTACAATAAACAACGCACTGTGACTCCCTCAGAGGCATTGCAAAATAATGTGACACCAATTGTTTAGTGAAGTTGGGATCTTCTCGCTTGATGGAAAACCAGGATCTATACACAGCAAGCTGGGACCAAAAGTTTTTCCATTGTTTGCTGTCAATGACTTTGCACGATCCATCAATCATCCTCACAACTTTGAATTCCTCCATGATTCGCCATGCCCTCAATCCTAATCAAATAATTAGGAGCCAGCGCTTTATGTTCACATGTCCTAGATTCGGTCATCAACACCGACGAAGGCAACGACGGATCTCGCTGAAGATTGGTCAAGACAATCTCCCAGTCTTCTTAACTCAAGAGGGTCAAACGGTGACGATGCTTCTGATGAATTATGAAGCAAACACTTACTACAAACCGACCTCAGGGGCCTATGTTTTCCGACCCCTTAGGGAGGCCGTGCGCATTGGAAACGCCACATCAGAAGTGAGTCCATTGAACAGCACTGGACCGCCCAATTAGTCTGATTTTCTCTCCGTCACACTTCACTCACTCATGCTTGGTTAACCACTGCTTCATGCACTTCCCCAACTACTCTGAATGGTACAAGTTGCCGATTTGTTGGCATCTAAGACAGTGCAATATGTCTCTATTTTTGGCTTTAGCGGTTCTATTTAGCTGTGTAAGATTGGTTTTGGTGTTGCCACTGAATACTTTAAGCATGCTTACTTCTTAAAGTACCCAATAATGAAGTTCTTTGTTTCTTCTTTATTCTCGAGTGTTCGCACCTAATTCTGCCTCCAACGGCACTGAGGTCTGTGAGTAAGAACCATCAGTCACCTCCCAGTGTGCTGCTTTGTTTCCGTCCCCAGTCACTACCTACTACTATCTATTCAAACAAGTAAACGATAAGATTGACCCGCTTGATATGAGGTTTGTAAAATGGATTTGGTGAACCTCTAGTGAGTCTCTGTCGAGAGAAGATGATTCAAAACAGCCAAAGGTGATATTGCAATTGGAGGAATTGCCGAAAACAGGGGCACTCTTTGACGGTCTTTCAACTACAACTGACCTTAGCCTTGAGACCTGCTTTTGTACGTGGCGGTAATTTTCATGACAAATTTGTATTGGTATTGGTTTTGTTTTGCATTCATTTGAAAGTTTTAACTTCAAGTGGGTGACAGAATTGGCATTAAAGGCCCTTCCATTTGCACGTCCTTAACAGCCCATTACCGTGGAAGCACAAAACATTACAAAGACGAAATAATGCACTCAGTGAGTTGTCAATTGAAGGGAGTATGTATGGTGCATGTGACTTGATAAACCCGCATTCCTCTTCACATTTGGTGGTAAAACTGTTTTTCTTTAATTTGGTCACTTTTCCTCCTTTTGACGGCGCCAGATAATTGATGGTGAACTTGTGACAGAAGTGCGCACAACGTTCTCCCATTGGGCCTCCTTGACGGCCCGCCTCTACGCTGACGATCGAATGGAGGTCGAGTGGGTCGTAGGACCCCTTCCGAACATCGGCCGACGTGTCACCGAAGTCATCTTACGTTACCGAGTTACTGGCAACGGGATTCTTCCCGCCACTGAAGGTTGGGGTGAAGCTTTAGATTTGGTTTTTGCGGCTTGGAAATGGTTTTTGTAAAATTCAGATTTTAAGCAGCAGGAGGTAAAGGAGCTCTTGAATACCAGTCAGAAGGATTGGTGGAGCACTCTACTGTAGTAGTCCTCATAATTAACTTGGGGTGGTTTGTTCTATTATTGCCTATTTTTAAACGATAATGGCTAAAATGCATCTCTTCCAGAATCCTGTTTGTGATTTTGTGATGAGATGCAGCTCCTTTTTTCACTGTTCGGACGTAATGGAGCCATAACTTCAAGAAAACTATCCAAGAAACATCTTTTCAAAGTTAGCCAAAGTACAGACTGAGAAAACTGAATATACATTGGTGGATAGACCTTACTCATGTTGCCCAAATACTGTTCCTATGTATAGGCGAATTCTACACCGACTCCATGGGAAATGATCTAATCAAACGGAACCGTGTACGTCCTGGGAAGGGTAGAATGGAGACTCTTGAATTCCCAGACGATACCGGATATGGCTTGCGATATTGGCGGAATTGGGACAGCCGTGAGTCCGTGCAGGAGCACCTGATAGAGGGAAGCTACTTTCCCGTCGTCAATCGTATTCTCCTGAAGGGCACGCGCTACGCCTTTGGCGTCTATACAGACCGCGCAGAGGGCGGTTCCAGTCTGGCTGAGGGCGAACTTGAACTCATGCTGCATCGCGCCACCATTGTTGACGACGGTCTCGGAGTCGGCGAACCTCTCAATGAACGCGCCTTTGGTGAAGGTGAGGTATTGTCTATTGGTTTGATTACAATAAATGGCAGGTCTAAATTGACCAATGTAGGTGACACCTCGTCTGCAGTCGCGATTACTTTACCACTGTTTACCTCATTGAAGGAGATCACGGACAAACTTTTTTCTCAATTGACCTTAAAGGTTAACAGAATCACATGGCAGCTATGTATCCGGTTATACTGTTTATCCGACATGGTGATTACAAATGCTAATGTTCCTCTGAAAGGTGACCGTTTAAAGGGGTGAGGAGTTGGGTGCGCGCCCTTCATTAGTGCGTCCACTGCAAATTATACCAACCGGATGCAGTGTCATTGAACGTTTAAGCGCTCTACATTATTAACCGCAAGAAACAGTGACTGAAAGTTAGCTGAAATATGTCGCTACCAATGCCTTCCAGTCCCTTTGGATTCCTACGCCATTATGCCCCTCCTTCCTTGCTTTAAAGCGCTTCCCTCCTGTTGCGTTATGGCCTCGTAGGGAGTGTCCTGGTAAGAAGAAGTCCAATGGCATGGGATGGCTTTACTTATTGCTCCAACATTACCTCACTTGACACTTTAATGGACCTTTTAAGCTGTTGACTGGGTTACTTCAAGTTCAACATTTTACACAGCTAGCAACAATGCCCTGCCAAACGGTTATAACCGCAATGTTTTGTTTATCATTAACGAATTTTTTCTCCCTTTCATGCAGTAAGTTAGTTAAAGTTGTTCCATTATGCCCACGCGAAATGAGGTAAACAAGTGGATATTTTAGCAGCATAAATTAAGTACAGGAAACCCTCAATGGAAACTTTTTTATTTAAATCTTCACGAATTTTGGCTGTTATGACAATTTTTGTTGTGTGATCGTGCTATTTTCAAGTGCTACCACCAGAAAGGGACGATAGTTGCTATCAAATTATAATACTTTAGTATCAACTTCCACTACCTGGTCCACGGCATGGAAGGCATGGAGACCAATTTTATCTGTTCTTTATCGTATGGGCAGGCGCACACAAAGCGCACCCGTATGTGGGCGAAACTGTGCTTGCCCAAGAAGTGTTGAGTAAATGAGGGATAGGGGAGCCTGAGGCTACCCAATAAATATTTGGTATGAGAAGCTAGGCGGAAATGCTAAAGCGGTACATTTTGGTGTACGGACTGGTAGACCTGGTGGTCTGCTTTCACTCCTTAGCGCACTCGAAATATGAATGCCCAGCTTCCACGATTTTTCAACATGATGTGGATCTAAATGATGTACTTCATTACTCAACTCTAATACTTCGATAGTTGGCTTTCAAGTCCTGAAGTTCAGCAAACAATAAGTGCCTGCAATAGTGGTGCATAGCGTGGAACAGGGGACCCCTTGGACTTCACATTATTTTCAGAAGGTATGCATCCAACCGGACGGACGAGACCAGCGGTTACTGCCCCCGTAAGGGGTTAGTTGGGAATACATTAGACCGGATTGTCATGCTATGATGAGAGGGTTCAAAATGTAGAAACATAAAACAGGCCGTGCTGAAATATTTCGATGAGTTGACAACGTCTATCCTTCACAAAGTCCACTTTCAAACGATCTCACTTATGTCTAAGCTTTCGCAAAAGTATGGTTTGCTTCAGGAGGATAAGGGGAAAAGTGAATGAACTTCTTGGTCTCATGTGATGCGCTTGTGCAGTTGGAATGACTGCCCCTCTCTCGAAAGGCCCATTCAAACTGGCACATACTTTAGCCTGGTGGTTGGGGTTTTGCTAAAAACGCAAATTCGTCCATGTATAACTGTTACATTGCGAAAACGACATATGATTTTAGATAAAAAAATGCTATATTTTCCCGATATACATATGTTTTAATCAATATGATGGGCTAATCGAGGTCACTTCCTATTTCGGATCTGACGAATCGTGTGTGTCCAATCTACGGCATTGGCGTCGGATGTATTTTATACTGAAATGCATTTAAGTAAAAATTGTTTTTAATTACTTAAGGCCCAGCGCTGTTTGTCCCTCCTGCTAGCAAGTAACTAGGCCAGCTTCAAATGTCAGAATTAACACCAATGGTATGCGGATCATATTGAAACCTCCACCTTTTAGTTGCCTTTACTACTGAATTCTAACGCCTTTTGTTAATCAGAATCAGTGAATGTTACCCCAGTTGCCTTTAATTTATTAGATAGGAGAACAGCCAATAATTATCGTCTATCAGCATTTCCATTGACATATGCAAAATAAATCATGACCTTTCCTCATAGTAGCGCGAAAAAAGCATTGAGCATCTGTTATTCCAGTTCTAGACTTAGCATTATTTTGCTTATACAAATTCAAGTTGCAGAAATCGCTATTATCTTTTTCAATTGATCAATTTCTTCTATAGCATAAGATTTACCATTAAAACTAGGTCCGGTCGACGTCTAAACAGTGCATCGGTCAGATAACAACAAATATTGTATTTGATAGGCATTGCTGTGAGGGGCGTGCATAGGCTTCTACTCGACACAGTGGCAAGGGTGGAGGAGATGGACCCCCGGATAGCGCAGGAAGTCTCTCGACCACCAACTTTAGTCTTTCGAGACCGAGGTAATGATACCCTCAAATCTAGCCCCACCATTGCTCCGTCATTACTGACCCGAGGTCTACCAGAGGGCCTTCATCTATTGACGGTTCAGCAGTGGCCTGTGGAAGGTGAGCCTTCAAGAAACCAACTCCTAGTCCGCCTTCAGCATATTGGCCTTCCTGGTATTGGAGCAATAACTATGGAACTGAGCGATGCCTTCACAGTGGGGAGGGTTATCAAGGCGACAGAAATGTCACTAACAGCCAATCAGTTAGCTGACGTAGCCAAAAGGAACAAATTAGTCTGGCCTTCAAAGTTTGAACGGCCCAAAGGTGTCAACTACCGTGGTGAGAGTAATGCGACTCGTGTTGTGATCCAACCGGAGGAAATCAAGACGCTTATATTGTATATGGCGTGAACAACTAAATCCTTGGACAAACTGTTAATACGTAACTGCTTTGGTGAGTCGTAGTTTTCTGATTCAAAACGAAATAAATATCATTAACTTTCGGCTCCTTCCTCTGCGTTTAGGTAAGGACAATTTTCGACAGTGAAAAGTGTAAATGTTGACATTCAGAGGCAGCTTGACAGAATCCCTAAGCCTTTTAAGCAGTCCACCTAGGTCCCAGCCATATAGGCATAAGTGAAAACCTCTAGCACTTTGCCACTCAAAATAAACATTGTAAACGAAGAAGAGGCCATCTGACCTACTGTGCTGGAGTTCGTCGTGGCTGCGTCGGAGCGAATTTCTCCGCTTTCCTTTCAAACTTGCACTTGATGTGTTAACTAGACAAATTATAGTCCGCATAATATGATTTAGCGTTACCTGTAACCTCTTCATCCCACTTGAGGACAAAATCTGCAACATAACCCAGCCTTTACCCTCTCCATCGTTCAATTTATCCAGAATCTGGTTGCTGTGTAGGGCCCAAATGTCCAGGATGACACCATTCATAAACTATTGAACCCGTCATCAAATCTGTTTCAGTCCACATAGGAACCATTACAATTGTAATGACCAAGCACTTTACGCCCAACCCATCATATGAAATGAAACACAAGCAGCTTCATCGAAACTAATGTAAACGCCAAAGCAAAAGATGTATTTAAGTTCAAATAAAACAAGCGCCATAAAAGAAAACCTTTGAGAACAAAGTCTAGAACGCAATTTCACAGAAAAGTTGGAGCGACCTCCACATTTTCAGGCCAAAACCAGACAGTTACTTCGACGCAACAGAAAAGTTAATACCTAAGAGACTCAAAACAAAAAATCATAAGTGACGACCATGCAAACTTCGGCTCCCACTTTGAAAAGAAAGCAAAACCGTTAATGTAATCAGACTCATAACCACTGAATCGAAGTACAACAGAATATTGGGTTAATCATGGATGCTAATAGCCAATCCAAGCATTGCAAAAAGCCCGTGATAATAAGACGAATTTGTAGGAATCGCAACTTCTATTAAGTGAGACAAAATCGAGTAGAACTGTTCTATGCACAAATCAATGGCGTCCCAACTTGCTAGCAGGAATTTCGTTGGGGTCAAACGGATCGTAGTTGTGCGTAAGCTTCTTCTTCACATAGTGGAACTTAATGAGGAGGTAAACACTAAATGGTAGAAACACAGACATCGATAGCACATAGTACCGAACGAACTTGTTGTTCTGATAATACCATGCGTAAGGGAATTGGCGAAGCCTAGAAGCCACAGACCAGGGATAAAGCGGATGCCTTGTACCACTCTTCATATAAGTCTCAAGCTTCTTAACATAAGGCAGCAGCATCGTCGGCGAAATGCTCCCTGAAGAAGTAACCACACAAGCGCAGCTCCTCGCTATATAGGCGGAGTGCCATACAGCCGCTAATTTATAAGGTCATTTGTGAATAGCTGCTGTTTTAGGGGTATCATATGAAGATGCTTTTGGATAGGCAAAGCATCAGTATTTTAACAGATGATATTTAAGAACCCAAATTATTGGATTTTCAGGCAGAATAAGTGATGCTGGCTGTGGTCTGCGCTTAACTCTTATATTTTGAGGAAATTATTCGGATTTTATGCTTTTAGGTACTTCGCATACAATGCTTAGGCATCTATTTGTTTTAATGCCCACTAAGCATGCGAAAATTTTGGAACTTATACGGTTTTTATCGTGCTGATATTTACACGTTTCTGCTATTGGAATTTCACAGTTAAGCTTATTTGGAAGTCCAGTTAATACGTAACTTTGTAAATAGCAATCAATTTATTTTCTTTCTATGTTTATGCACATAACTGCATAAAGTAAAAGATTTGTTCGGCTGTATCAACCTCCTCGATCTCCTGCCGATCCGCTTTTATTCAGGTGCAGCTTTGCTTCGGCAGTTAGGAATGGAGGATCAACCGTCACTTGCTGACGAAAAGCTTCTCGACGCTACAAAGCGGATTACAGACACGCTTTCATCATATTTTAGGTTTGCGATTCTTGTAAGGATAATGGGGCTGTAGTGCGAAACTAACCAAATCATGTGGCAAATTAAGGAATTTAGATGCCCAGTGGTTTGACTCCGTTGTCACAAATGGTGTCGAAGAGTTTAAGCATGAATCAATGGTACAAATTTCATTAGTGCTTAACATGTCTAGTTGCAGATCGCCAAATTGATTGGGGAAATGGAAGTTTCAAAGAAAGCAATGATAATTGATATTGCAAATAAAACGTGTGTGGTAGATCGACCCTGGTAAACTCGTCTTGTTTCTCATATCTTTCTAGGAGACCATCTGGGGACCCTGAAGAGGATACAAATGCTCTCATCTATGATGTCGAAAAGGAATACCGTGATTTTCTCGTATCGGAATCCTCGAAACTCTACCGTGCTTTACGATCCAAAGCAGACGAGCTGAAAACTGCCCATCGAGCCGAGGAACGATCTTTGGAGCTTATTGAGTCTCTAGCCAGAACTTTAGATAGAGTTTGAATAAGTTCTGTCTCTTTGTGTTCCTTTTCATCTCAACGTTGTGTTTCTTCGAATGGGGTTTGACTCAATCGCAACTCTTCCACGATCAAAGTTGAGAGCTTCTCAACCTTTATACTTATCTGCCTTTACACTACGGTGCATCTCAGGTCTGTAAACTTACCATTCTTCAATTGATTTGTGTATCCGATCGTTGGCTAAAAGGCAAAAAAAAACGGTGCTCTGTTGTACTAGCTGTGAGTTTGTTCCCAGCTTCTCTGTGGATGTCATTATGTTATTCTCACCTCGCAAGTGATTTGCCCTGTGGAGGTGCTGCAGAACATCCAACCTTGAGAGGTAACCTCGCGAAGCCCCGACAATGTTGACATACCCGCTGCGGCAGATGTATTCAGCTCTACAGTGTGGTCGCTTGTCGTCAGTCATGGGCAACCTTTCGAATTCGGTGGTATCTGATTTGGCCAGTCGTTGCCAATCACGGGACGGTATTTCCGCTGGCCTTCGTATGGTTCGACCGCCGAAACTGAGTCGCTTAGAACTGAAAACAGACTGGGCATTGAAACGCACAGCTTACCTGACTGATGATCTTGGAAATTGCTGCTTCGCCTCCTTCTCGATACTAACAGCTTTCTGTAATGCCTGAAGGAAAAGCTTCTTCGACTTCTTACTGCCAGTTTCTCGCATTACTTCGTCTAACACTTGGGTGAGTCCTCCCGGTTTTAGACGTTGTCGCAATTGTTCTAATATTGCAGCGGGATTCCGGCGCAGTATATGCATCGCATCGGGCTCTTTGAACAATGCTGTAACTGCTCCCTGATCCAAACTACTCGATTTCTTCTGCATTGTTGACCTTTTAGTTGTCGTTTCGATCTTTGAGTCCGCTTTCAACTCTGGAGACTTTCCCTTTTCTTTGCACATCATTTCTAGGAAGCATTCCACTGCCTCCACCTCCCTTCTAGTGAGTGGATAGTTATGTGAGGCCACGTGTGGTGTTCGACTGTATCGGTAAGCCGAAAGTTGGGTGTAGTTGCACATCATCGGTTCCCCATTCATGTCTGACTTCTCTGATGATGATGCGTGAAAGCGCCACAAAGATGCCAAAGGCGTTGCGGGTGTGTGAGCTAAGGCTAATGATTTGGATTGCTGTGGTAGATATGGTAACTTTTCTTTCTCTCTTGATGGATAGTGTTTACTTGGTTCCTGTCTGCGCTCGTCTGGTTGATTCAAGCCTGGAAAATGTATTTCCGTTTTGCTTAGCTGCTCTGCCCCTTGAATGGTGTACATTTGTTGCCTTTGGGTTGGGGGAGGGCTCTGACGTTCATAGAAGCGACCACCTCCAAGTGAAGTCGCCAGAATGCGCATAACATCCTCAGGATTGTCAGTACTCACTTGGCGACCAAAAGCGTAGAGTTGGTAGACAGGTTTTTGTTTTTCAGGCGATGGCGACAGGGAATGCTGATGCAGAATATTTGTGGTTTCTTCTAGGTCGCCAAGAATTTCGTTGTCAGTATCGCTAAAATAAAAGTAAATTTTAGTAGCGTGTTGCACTCCCAGATGTGAATTTCTATTTTTGTCTCACCGTGTAAAGAGCAGTTCTTCGACGTTAACTTTGCGTTGAGTTTGGGAGACACTGATCACCGACTGGAAGATCTCGCTTACCCTAGCGCATTGTTTTTCTGTGGCCACTCGGCAGTAGTAGTCTGTAAATGTCCTTTCCGCAGCATCGTACGTACCCGTAGCCTCTAGGGCGGCTGCGATCTTAAACGTCAAAACAATGTTGTATTTCTGCTCTGTGTGGAAGCGATTTGAGACCGATGGTTCTACTCACCGATGGAGCGTTTTCCAGAGTGGCTATTGTCTTCTCTACTTCTTCAGCCACGACTTCTACTGGGGGAACGTGAGGCTTGTGCTTTGCCTGGAGTTGAAGTTAAAAGAGGCATCGGTCAAATGAGCTTGTATTAATGGTTTTGCTCTGGTGGTCATTTCCTCACCGAAAGCGCCAAGCGTCGCAAGTGGAGCATATATTCGATCGAGCTAGTACGTTCAATCTGATCCTCCACTCTTGAAATGGCAAATCCCTTCTCCAACCCAGTCTGAAGAACGTACGTGTACCCTGGTGCAACCACTAGATCCAATACTGAGGTACACAAGGGGATTGTTAAACTTCAGGCCTTTCTAATCTTGCTTCGTTACCCTTAATCAACAGATATAGGGACTCACAGCTCTTGTCAACCGAGGGTTTAATGGTGTGGCTACTATCCTCACCACCGAGCAGGTTCTACAAGTAGGAAATTTTACAGTTCGGCGGTGCTGGTTCAAAGTTTGGGTCTGCAGCATCAAAAGTGTGCAAACTCACTCCAAGCTCAGCGTCGTATTCCTCCATCAGGGGCTAAAAATTGAATTGATTTATGAAGTCGAGAATCCTACTAACCTTCAGGACCTCATCACGATCTTGCATGTGAACATGGAACCAAGAGAGAGCTTCAATTTCATCCTTCAGGTATCCATATACCATTTTCTCAATATCGTTCGTGATTATGTCCCGCGCGTTGAAGATGGCAATCGTGTCGAAAACGTTCATGACAAGAGCCGAGACGACTATAGACGCCAGTTCTGGTAGAATTACTTGGAGCCTGTGAGAAGGTTTGGTTAGTGTTATCACCTGTTAAGTCATTGAAGCTGTTGTAATCCTCAACTCACTGTAACAGTTGGCCCAAGATAGCCAGACACCGGCGATGATTCTCCCAATTCCCTGGAATTGACATCCAGGCTATTCGCTGTGATGGGAGCATCGCACTGGTGATTGAGAACTCTATCAGCAGCAGTTCTTTCACCACAGTCAACATTTCCTCCATGTATTTCAACTCATCAGGATCTAATTCCTCGAAATACTGCCAAGATGTTATCCCTTCTATGGACATCGACAAACTCACCTCTGTCAGCAGCTCATCTGCTGTAAACTTGCGATCCTGGTACTTCAAGATGCTCAACAAATTCATCATTTTATCGAGTCCTGGTTCTTCACCAATCTTTGTGCTTATGGTATCCATCTGCTGAGTGATCTTTGTAAGTAAATTGTAGCTACTTGACTTCATTAGTTGTCTGCACTTGTAATAAAACAAAGTTAATACATTAAAAGCTAAAAAGGGTAAAAGAGAAGTGAAGAGATTGCACACACGCGCCGTAAAGAGTTTTGAATTCCTGCGCAATCTCCTCGAAGTCCGGGTTGGTCAGAGCTTCACGAATTTCACTGGGTTTCAGCGCGTGTGGAGTTGCATCCTCATTCCCACCGGCGACTAGGGGGCTCAACTTTTTTTGCATCCTCGTAATGAGGGATCGAGTTTTCTGACGTCGCCACATATCCTCTTTCAGGAGGCCAGCTGACATTCGATCGCTCTTTCGTCGTATCGACTGTACCAATTTGGAGTTGGGTTGAAGGTCACTTCGAAGACGATCTCCGCTCGTTCGTCCAGATTTCCCTATGTATGCTATTTTACCAATTGCTACTTCCACTACATAGGCAGCTTGTTCCTCCAGAGTGGGTCTTTCTGATTCAGTTTGGTGGACAGTCTTCGCGGAAGTGACTATAAGAGATTCCCTCTCTTTTGATGTCGATACTTCTTTAGTGGGTGCTTTTTTAATGTTTTCGTTGGTGGCTACAAATTCTCCCAACTTCTCTCCTTCCTCTTCAGAGAGGCTTTCTATGGTGATATCTTTGACCATTTTGCGTCTCATAAGAGGCTGAATGCGGAATTCGAAACCTTCGTTGTCTGACCCTGAAGAGTCGGATTCGGAGTCGGTTGAGGGACTGCGAGGGGTAGTAGTTTGGAGACGTGGCTTTTTACGCCTTTTTATCATCGATTCCAGTCGTTTTCGCATCTTCTCTGCTCTCCCAGTTTCAGCCATTCTAGATCCTACGGCTTTTTCTTTGATCTTGAGAAAAGCAGACATTTTACGTGTTCGCAAAGTATTTGATTTTTTTGGCTCATAACTTAATTGGCGACGAATTTTCCTAATTGGTGTATTTTGTGAAGCAGGCTTAAAATAGGGACTCACACTATCGTGTTTAGAAGCCTTCTGTTGGTCCTCTGTTTGCTCACTGCCTTCGCCCTCATCAGCATCCACAAGTGTCTTGGAAGTCTCCTTGATAGCGCTGATAATGCTGTCAATAACATTACGCTCATCACTTCCCTCCGGGATCAGTTCCATTTCCTTCTGAAGACTCAAGATAGCATTTTGCAACTCATTGTAGACACGCATAATCGCCTCGATATCCATTGTACCCTCATCATTTCTAGCGAAAGCAGTTCATGCGTCAATAAGGAATTGCTGTATCGGGCAATAAAACAGCAAAGAAGTAGAGACCTGATGATTCTGCTGATCTTCTTCAGCAGGTTCTCAGCTTTTTCCAGGTCATCTTCTCGGCTCACCATCGCTATAAGAGCCATGCACGTCTCCTCATCGTCGGCGGCTTTCTGAAGTGCTTCCTCCTCCGTTATTGACTGGAACGAAAGGCAGCATCAAGAGACTTGACGTCATCTGCTCACACGTCCTGAAGTACCACTATTGTAATATTATAGCTAATAACTCGAAATTGGTGATTTACTTGCTGCCTCATACGCATTTGAATGAATTCGCGATAAATACGTGCATAGAATGCAAATATTTGGCAGGGTCACTTGGAAAGAGGTATGCTACTGAATTAACATCAGTAACTCACTCTGTCCTGCGGTTCGGATCCTAAAAAATACAATCAAGTTTCTCGTTTCCTCTTTTCTATGTGAGTGAAGTTTAAACAAAAATTACCTATGATCATGAGATCATCTACCAATTCAAGAACCTTGAGTGGGTTTTATTGCTACTTAGCTCCTAGTAATTTCCAAATAATGACAGAGATTTAGACAACCAGGTCTACATACCTGAAGATCGCGTCTCCTTTGACTGAATCTGCTCAGCCTCTGCGCCTTCTCGGCCTTCTTCTCCGATCTCCTGTTGCTGAGCCCTCTTGCGGCGTTGCTTGTGATATTTTATGCGCTTGCGACGCGATTTGGAAGATGCTTTGGAGGAACTATCTTCTCCTTCATCTTCTCCCTCTTCATCGGCACTCAAATATTCCAACAGTTGGATTTTCTCGCCAACCTCCATGAAGTCAATCTCATCCTCCTCTTCTTCCTCACTCTCCTCCTCTTCTTCCTCCTCCTCGTCCCAAAAGAAACGTCCTTCCGTGGAATCAATTGGGACAGTAGAGACACCAAGCACGCTACCTTTCAGTGGCGTCAAGTCTATGAGGGTTGCTTGGGGTGATTTGTCGCCGCCCTTCTTAGTAGTTTTTCCCTTCAGCAAAATCGGCTTGGCGGAAGTCTTTAAGGGTGAGTCTTGTGTTAGCTGTACAGGTGGTGACCTCATTTGAACTACGGTCCGATGACCCTGCTCTTCCTCGCCAGCCTAAGGAATGTAAGTAGCGTTTCATGTTATGTAGGTGTCATGCGTGAGGGGTGAATATTATGGCTGATTTGTAGGCTAAAATACTCAAAATATTTAACGTAGCTTCTCAATGTTAATGACTTATTGATGAATTTTCCCATGCGGTGAATGGGATTACATGTGCCCTCTAAAGAAACTATTAAACAAATACCTTACTGGGGGGAGGGGGGAAGAGAGAAGGATGGGTTCTACCGGTTGAACTGGAGACATCATTCAACTGGTATTGCTTAATCGACGTTTGTTCCACATGCGTTAGCGGTTACTCGGCTCAAATCTGTGTTCATGTTTTAGCGTGGGAAGTCGGTTGACACGAACAACTTTGAGTTGCACTAATTCTTATGGTGTGAATCTGATATTTTCAAGCAGCCATTCCTTAATTATTTTGACTATTTAGAAAAAAGAAGGTCTCACCGAATGTCTTGCACTATGATCGGTTTTCTTGACAAAGCTTTTATTGACAGATTGCTCGTTTTCCTCCGAGCTTCGCTCCACGGGGATTTCCTTTGACTCAAACCGCGAAGGAGATGCATCCTCAAACCTTACATCGGGCTCCGCATCTGGTGATCTCTAAGATACGTATATTAAAGTGTGGTATTTGCAAATACAGCACTCGTATACCTCTAGTTCGGCCTCAATCTCCTGTTGAACAGGAGCCAATTCATCAAAGAATTCTTTCAGTTCTTCTATCCGACATGAAAGGGTTAGCGAGATGATGGTCTTCAGCTCTTCTACCTCAAGATCGGCGGTTTCGGCAAATTCAACCATGTGTATTTCCTCCTGATGCATGCATTCCCTAAAATCGGCATCTACGTCTACAATACTCCGCCCTTTGCCCACTCGTTGAAGCAGTCCTTCCACTGCTATGCGGCAGGCCTCCTCGAATTCGTGAGCAAAGTTCATTAGTTTTGTGTTCCCACCGCCTGGTGGTACACCAAGGGCCTCGTTCAATTTCCTCGTCAATGCAACTCGTTCGAGAGAACGAGCGGGATTATCGGAGAGCACTATATTAATCATGTTGAGCACTGCACGTGACGAGCGAAAGTGGCAATTGAGGAGGAAGAAAACGTATCCTGGCTCGGTTATGGTGTTGAGAAAGTCATCGCGTGTCTCAGTGTCTTGCACCAAAGCGATGAGCGTATCAAGACCGTTTTGCTTGCCGGCCAGTGCACTGGATATTATTCTGCCGACACCTTCATCGTCCCCACCAACGACTTCTCGAAGGCCCGATATGATATTCTCCATCTCAAGGCGTGACAGCAACTGTGGTTTGGAGACTTCAGGTGTTACCTTCGCCTCTTGATCGGCTTCAGCCTCTTCGGAGATCGTTTCACTTGGCCTAGCAATGGTAGTGGAATCCCTCTTTGCAAGTGCTTGCTTTTGACTCTTTGCCTCCCTCATTCTCTCAGCTGAAAGTTTAACGCGGGAAATGGGAAGTACACATGATTCTCATGGGTGACTAGCTCGTTTTGTTATTACGGAAAGATTACATTTAACATGATGGAAGAAGAGTTGCAGATCTGAAAATCGGTGGAGACGGGTGACTACTTCAATCTTGCGATCTGCAGGATTGTCATTAACATCTGAAGATACAGTACCTTAGAACCACTTAAAAAGTTTGTCACAAGACCATCAGCTGTACGGGGTATCTCATCTCTCTGCCAGGTGGACAGAAATTAGATAACACATGACTGGGCATAAATAAAGTGAAATAGCGGCAGGAAATTACGAATATGAAAATCTATTACCGCACAGCTCCATCGAAACCCATCCCTTATCAGACTATTTCGCTTTGGTGTTGGCGTTCTTACAAATAGCTATAGACATGCAAAGTGGTCTGCACATTCCCCTTCCCCCGATACCGTTCCAAAGCAATGGAAAGCTCTAAATGCAATCCACTCTCCAAGATGGATCAGCGTGGTGTCAGCCAGACGGCTTTGAAGAGCGTGTGGTTGGCCAACAGATGCTTTCACGACTGCATTCTGATGGCTGGTGTATGAAATTGACCTGGATAACAATGTGCCTGATTGCTTCGGTCACGTGGACAATTACATTTCCACACTTGTACTTTTCCTTTGTGGAAGGTCTCCACAGCGTCAAACTCTAAATAAACTCACCTTTATGCTGAACACTTTGGTCGAACACCTCCTGAGTGGCATCGTGTCGGATCTTTTTCAAACGTTGAACATCCTCCTTGGAAGCCATGCGTTCTTCCTCTCCCACCATGAATTCTTCTACTGCTGCACCCTCGAGGAGCCAACTGTCCTCAGATGCCAGGGTTTTCAAACGATCGCCGCGGGCTATCGTCGTGGTGTACCTTCTTGACCTTTTACGCTGCATCTTCCGCCTATTTTCCTTCTCCACTCGAGCAGCTTCCTCTTCCATTACCTGGTTTGGATTAGTAGGTGCTTATCATATGCTCTCAATTGTTCTAGTTTAATTAACGCGGGAACATGATTCAACCACAAGTTAGCATGGGAACATTTTCCAGTAACTGGACTATCAAACGGGCAATTGGATAGGCAACTGTGTAGTCGGAAATCTCCACGTTATCTCATTTCAAGTTAGAATTTGTGTCCCATCAGAGGTTTGATTTCAGTAAACAGCTTTGTAGACTGTTTTTGAATGTATAAGTAGGAGAGACTCACATGATATTCTTTAGCCTTCAACTTAAGACCTTCAGATTTGGCATAAACTTCGGCCCTACGTCGATTTAGTACCTAAAACAGAATGAGAGGATGTGGAGTGTCTTGTTTGTTTAGTGAAACAGGCCTTGGATGTTGCGTGACCTCTAATTCATTCATTAAAATTCCTAGTATTTGAAGCTTTTCCCTACGCCAAATACATAAATTTTAGCAGTTCAGATAGTTTTCCGAAGTACAGTTACCTCAATAACCTTGCATTCAATTTGTGGTTTGAAGCATATCAAAGACGATAATGCATAAAGTAATTGCTTCTAAACTACCACACAAAGTGAGAGTGAGTTCGACTCCATGGGATATCTGGGTCTAAGGTAAAGTTAAATTAAAGTGGTAGACAGTAATCCAACTGCATTCCCTCCAGCTTACTATTCAAGATAAATCTGTTTACAATGCGTCCACATACATCTGCATATTCGGCCAACCACTTTCCTATCACCTTTCGAATCACCGAATTGGGGACATAACCTGTAAAATGGCAAGGCAGAAGGAGAGACAGAGACAGAGAGTCTCATTGCTCAAGTTAATAGGAGCTGATAGCACTGCACTGCTTTTCCTACCCATGTAGTCAATAATGGAACGCGGCGGTGCCTTCAACTTGGTCATTAGGTTCTTAAAGAGCATTTCTCCATCACTGTTATGGGGATAGGGTTCCAAAGCTGAGGCATCCCACGGGCTAACAAAAGAGTCCTTCTCCTCACTGGCTTGGGATTTTTGTGAAATGTGGCTAAATTCGGGGCTACCCGACTCCTCTTCAAGCGGAATTTCAAGAGAACCTTCCATTGGTATTAGCTCTGCATTTTCCTCTCCCTCCATCGATGTGTCGAGTGCCTTTGTCCCTTCTGTTTAATTATCAGCAGCACTGACACGCGAGTAGCGTGCCAACATTAGCGATCACCCTGACAACTGTGGTGACTATTGATTTGTAGGTTCGACCTTGACTTCCTTCTTTAACTCAACAGCCTTTTGCACTTGTTTTAAATTTCAGTGTAGCGAACAGAGTGGCGTGGAGAATTGACTGAGCTGTGGATAGGTACATTATTGTTCGACAAAGTGCTTCATCTATTTTGGAGATTTCTTGGCTGCAATGTCAAGGCCGTTCAGCCGACCTTTCATTCGGTCCATAGTCTAAAATGCATATCAATGTTAGCAACGCTCCTTTGCAAAAGTTTGCTATGATTTTGGTCCTTTTGCTTTGAAAAAAGAACCGCTGAATTGCAAAAGGGGATTTGCAATATTTTGTAAGTCATTTGAAAGGAGCTGAACACGGCGACTCGGGAGTAGGTTTTATTGAACCAAGGAATCTTTCGGAAGGGATTTCAGGTAGCTCTTGAAACAGTCAGTGAGTTGAGAATGAGGCTCTCCTTGGCCTCGCTCATCCAAGAGCATCAATGTTGCACAGGCACAGCGGTCCTCTTTTCATTCGACCAAATGCTCGAGCTGTGCTGGGAGCTCTTGTTCTAGAACCAGAAGTCTGAAGTATGCAAGAAAAGATTTAAACGATTCAAGCCCCGAATTCACACGTTCCAATTCTCCACAGCAAGTAAATGGGACCTTTGGCTAAAAGTGAGTCTTAAAAATGCCATTTAGTAATTCCATTATGAAGTGATTCATGGAGATACCTGTTTACTCAATGCACAAAGCCAAAGCATATCGTGACAGTTAATTGTGTTTTAAGAATGTTTGGATGGATGGTGGAAAATCTGGGCTTTATACTGCTTTTAAAATAGGACGTGAGTAGGGGGTTTGCCAATCACACTGAAAATAAGCTTTTTTTAATACGAAAACACCATTTTTATTGAGGCGATTGAACCTTTTAAAGGATTTTTTGAAATGACTTGCTATCCACATTTTTGTCACGTCAATGATGTCACCGTTTGCCTTTGAGATGGAGGAAATTTAAGTCTCCATTGCCCACATCCATGATGCTGATTGATGTTCATTGAATGGGAAGGGTGCTATTGACTCTAGTGGTTGGAAGGAGCCTATGACCACGACGCCCTGATGCGGTTATGCGATAAAGAACCACTTTAAATGGACAGTGGTCAAGTGAAAGAACGATAAATAAGTAAGTCTTTCCACAACCAGAAGACTTATCGCCTCCTCCAATCTAGTCAGCCAACCAGCCAGTCAGGTAGATTATCAAGCCACAAAATGACAATGCATTAGAGCAAAGTAACCACCACCGCCACCACCACTACCACCACTAGGCTCGCTTAAGAAAGCTCTTATGTCTCTGTTCTCGCCGTAGCAAACACCTTGTGACAGCAAGTGGTTACTTATCGGTGTCTTATCTTTCCGACAGCCCACGGAGGGCGAAAGCAAGGGAGAGAGAGAGAGGGAACAGTAAGGAGGAGGAGGAGGAGGAGGGGAGAGAGGGAGGGCGGGTGAAGGGGAACGGAGGAGGAAAAGGGTGAAGGCGAAAGGTGGGGTGAGGGTCTACACTTTTGTCTCCACCAACCTAACACATTATCACTTTGAATATACACCACAGCCATGTATGTTGTGGTTGTAATGACGCTAATTGTGTGGCTGCGTGCCAGTGTCCGTGGCCAATTTAGTGTTAATGGTGTGGCGTCTTACAGCTGGAGCTGGACTTGTCATTGTTGCCAATCAATGGTCATTTTACGTTAGGGGAAACACTGGTCTTAGCGACAAACTCGTATGCAGCTTTGTTGCATCAATGAAGAGTTCTGTACAATCGGAAGGAGTGTGCAAAATGTTTATAAGTTGATATGGTTAACACACTTGACAACAAATTCAGTAAACGCTAATCTCGTTTCATCAGTCAACTTATAATTCAGTCCAAGAGCTCACTTGGCTCCTACTCTGTACCTCTTCACCTGTCAGTGCCACGAGAGACAGATTCAATCGGTCTCCCTTGTTAAATTTAACAACGAATCATTTTCTTACACAAAAGGTGATAGATTGGATGCTTATTTGTCTCCCTTCGTAAAAGGGATTGATTTGGGTCTATAACACCGATAAAATGTCCACGTGTTGCTAAGCTTAAAGCGGTCGTTTCTTCATCCTTACTAAATTTTCATGGTCATGGACAGAGGCGATAATTACGATGGGGTTGTGAAGAGCTAAGGGGCTTTCAACGTTTCACATCACAATCACATCCTATCAACAGCATTCGTGGAATGGGGTTGAATACAACCTAATTGCTGCAGTGACAGCTAGTGAGCATTCGTTGTTGGGGGATTGCCAGCATTGAGGAGTTCACTGCTCGACGATGGCGCAGATCAGAGGACCTCATCACTGGGTTTTATATGCCGATTGGTGAGCTGGGCTACCAAATGCGTCGTTGTGGAACGCTGTGACACATGCGCGTTGTGCGATAGAGAGAGGGCAAGAGTGAGTGAGAGAGAGAGAGAGAGAGAGAAGGGTCTTCGTACAAACACGATTCGCAAATTGCATTCACAAACGCGCAGTAGTAGTAACAGTGCCTGTCCGTATCAGATAAGCCCAATGCTCTTATACACGCACACACACACACACGCGCTCATTAATAGACTTTCGTTGGTGAAACACAAGAGCAGTTGCAGCAGCATTGGTAGTTGTAGTAGCAATTGTCCCCATTGTCATCCCCTGCCCTCCCTCTTCTCTCCCTCCCTCACTAGCCCTCTCTTTCTCCCTACCTACCCGCCGGGTACGGTCGAGCTTCTTATCAGATCCTCACATCTGCCAACACGACGAAGACAACGAGGTAGTAGTAGTAGTAGCAGCAGCATTTGCGTCAGCAGAAGAAAGGGGCAGGAGGAGAAGGGAGGATCGGGTGGTCCGGTGGTCTATTGTCACTAGCGCGTCTGCATGCTTGCACATGTGCATGTGCGCGCGCTAAATGCGCATTCAGGTCATTATTATTACTGCACCACCCCGTTCGACTGCATCCCGCTCCTCCATCGCTGCCGCCGCCGCCGCTCCCGTTCACTTCGTCCCCCACCCTCGCCTCTCCGCACTACTGCTCGACTTAAGACCCAGATGAAAGGAACCACTCTGTGCATTAGGCTTAATGGGCTTGTCAGTAGCTGTCATGCCTACTGCGGTTGGGCCTACCTACTAACAGGTTGCTGGGCTCAATGGAATGAGATTAAGAACAGGGGGAGAAAAGGATGCGAAGGGTTAAATTCTTTTAAAAGATCCTCTTCTCCTCATCCTTTTGTTGCCAAGGTGAAGTGAGCCCCGCGGTTAATTAGAATAATGTGCTAGCAGGTGCATCGCGATACAAAACGATACGATTTATGGGGTGGCCTAATGGCTTTCACTGATAAAATTTGATATCGCAACTTACGCGTGGAAGTATTAGAGTTGAAGCCTAAGTCGGTGTGAAAAATCCGGTGTTTTGTAAAGAAAACAGTTTTGTAAAGCTGGATAATAGGGCGGATGAGAAGGGAATAAGTCGGAATACATTTTATAGGGCCTCTGCGTACTCTTTGCGGTAAAGCAAAATGCACAAAAAAATGGGATGGAAACAAATGGAGAATTTTATTTGTAGCATTTGCTGAACGCATTCGCTGACACGACTGGGAGGAAAGAGGTGAATGAATAATCCGCCACACAATGCCTTAGTGACCTTGGAATTCACCCACACTTGACACACACCTCCATTGTGGGGCTCAGTAGAGGTGTCAAAACGGGTCGATGTAGGCCGTTTGACAATTTCTCGCCCGACAAACTGACACAACTGAGATGGACAAAAGCGGCTGTGCCACCTGACAAAGCCTACAAAAATGTCGGAATTGCGCTGAACACCTCGTGCCCACAGAGAGGCTCGCCACTCCCTAGCTGAGCGCACTTTTAGCAGAACCTTTATCCGCATCAATTTTACCAACTACTAACCCATTTTCTTGCCACTTGATTTACAAGGAAATAACTTAGATAAACGATAAAATGTTCAGTTTATTTACACAATTTTAGATGTAAACAAAAAGGCTAAAAATCAGAAAAGAAGTAACTTTATGGATCTCTAGAAACTTGAACGTCACCTCCTCTATTATCACTCTCCACTCCATCATTCATGTTCAACGCATCCTCCCTTTGCTTCTCCAGCTTCTGTAGAGCGATAGCTTCCTCTTGACCACCACTATCACCTCGAAGGTTTGAAAACACGGCAGCTGCTGCCGCCAAGTACTTGAACCACAACATCTTCGCCTCGTCCATGTCAACATTGCTCTCCACGTTGGCATGCAGTGAGGGGTAAAGTGGTTTTAAGAAGTCTACTCCCGAAGGCACAGAGGGAGTGGGCTGTTTCGATGGCGATGGTTGAATAAGCGAATCCGCACTAAAAGCTAAAGCTGACGAAGAAGGCGAGGATGAATTGGTCGAGCTGTTGGAGGACAGAGAGGAAGCGGAAATGGAAGAGATAAAGGATGGCGAGAGTTGCGTCGGGGGTAGTGATACAGACGGTGCTGGTGATGAAACCGCCTTTAGTGCATTCTCATCAAGACTTTTACCATTAAGGAGGTTAATAGGAGTGTCTGTCAGGCTTGCCGATGTTGTGCGCATCAAATTGAGCACCATTTGATCAGGAGTAGTGGAAAGAGTTGTTGATGGTGCCGTTGGTGGTGGTGGTGGTGGTGGCACAATGGGTAGAACGGGTGTAAATGGATTTATAAAACTGTTTGAGTAGAGGCCTCCGAACGTTGGAAAACCTACATAAAAAAAACATGGAACATTAAATTAGACTCCCTTCAGCTACTGCAAATATCGTCGGGCCAATTTGTTGCGTGTACTGATGAAAAGTGGCACAACTTACCTGGTAAAAGGGTGTGAGGATGAAATCCACCATGGAGACGGTCCCTTGCATTGCTCATCGCCATCATCATGGCAGCTTTGGTTTTGCGTCGTGGTCGGTACTTGTAGTCGGGGTGTTCCTTCATATGGTTGGCTCTGAGTCGTTTGGCTTCATCAATAAAAGGTCGCTTCTCTGCCTCCGATAAATGCTTCCACTCCACTCCCAGACGTTTGCTGATCTCCGAGTTGTGCATCTTCGGATTTGCATGAGCCATTTTGCGTCGCTGACCTCTTGACCATACCATGAACGCGTTCATAGGTCTTTTGACGTGGTAGGAGGATTCAGACAATGTTGGACTCGGAGGTGTTGGACGGGGGTAGGCATCACTAAACCAGGGAATCTGTCGAAACAGATTTGGATGGCCAATATCACTGTTGGTGGAATTCATGGAATAGTCAGTAGGTTGGGACTGAGCTGCTCCTGACGCCTGTTCAGGTGAAGGATCAGTCGAAAATAGTGAGGGATTCAGCATGTCACAGATTTGAAGTCCACCGTGTGAATGAACGATGTGCTCAAGGCGGCTTTGGGAGGCTGAATTCATACTCCTCGCGGGGGAGGGGGAGGGGCTGGGCAAGGGCGGAATGGAGAGGGAGACAGGAGGAGGAGTTACGCGTACCTGCGTGAGCAGGTGAATGCCCATTGGTCACTTGGCTTACCTGTGCCTTTTATTGGCCGATAAAACGGCTCAGGCACTAATCATGTTGGGGATGCAAATCCTTAGCAAATTTCAATGCGGCAAATAAGAATAGCATTTTGCTGCCTTTGTAGCGCAAATGTAAGGCGCAGTATGAATAAAAGGTGCAAGCACAAACAGTGCTATCATTTCGTAAATTAACACCTGTGAATGCTCTAGCATGTTAGTGAACAAGAAGAAGTTAATCAGGTTAATGTTGTTGAGAATGTTGTGTAGAAATGAGTAGACGCATTTCAGTTGTACTTTACAGGTGTTGGTTGCAAACATCGCCAAGTTCGGCATGCTTTTGGTGATTTGTTTGGCCCTCCTGACTTCCTATTTGCTGGTACGAAGGGATGAGGTCAGCGATACCCAGTAAACAAAATGAAGCGCGTCCACGTTTGCTCTGAATGGCAGCACACTTTGTATGTAAGCCTTACTAAACACGGCCTTCTCTTTCTTACCAAAAAGGCAACATTTAGTTTCCTTGACTGTATGATTTTGGATGCATTGAGCAAATAACGCCAAAATTGCCTCCCTGTTACGTCAAAATAGCAAATTTTACAAAATTCCAATCCTTCACACATCCATGAACGTGCAAGGAACATTTCATCTGTAACAATTGGGTTCTGCAGAAACTTCAGATGAGCAGCACACTAACGAATAGGACGTGGACCCACTTATGCAAATCCGATTTGTTCCAAGATTTGCACAACTGAGTGAACAATAACTTTCCGCCTTTGCATGGAATCCCAGAAGTGAGGAGTATTTCTTATGGTAGAGTGGAGAAGTGGGTTGTACAAGCAAAGTACCTAAAGAAATTGGTTTACCACCAGCAGTAGTGCTATTTAGCTATGCATCACATCATATCATCCCATAACACAGCTTTCTGGACAGTGATTTCCATTGAAAATGCTGAACCGGTATTGGCCTGCATTCAGTAGCCATAGAGATTAATTTGGTCGCGTATTTGTTTGATTATTTTATTTATCCGAGTGCATAAACTTAATAATTTGCAGACTGGGAGAGTGTATGGGTGTAGAAGGATGGTAGAGGAGATGGGGCGCGGTGATTAGACCATGTAGTGCGAGAGCGGTGGTGTTGATGGAGAGGGGGGAGGCAAATTTAACTGATCACAAAATCTCACGCCATCAGCGAGGGAGACTGGCAAGCTGCGACCCCCCTCGGCCAACGCGTGAGTGGAGGGAGAGGCAGTTTGAGGAGTGGCGTTGCGGTGACAGGGAGGGAATCTGATAATTGGTTCCCCGCCTCCCTTTCACCCTCCGCTCTCGCCTCTCTCTCTGCAAACTCAAAATTGTGTTCGTGTGTGTGTGTGTGTGTGTACTGACCACCGGGCTATCGCAAAAAGCATGTGAGAACGAATTTGGAGATGAGGCTTCTTGATAACGCGATGTGTACACCACTCAACCCATCGAGCAGAGGTGGGTGGATGGAAGTTGATGGTTGAATTATAAAAACAACTCAATGCTTTCTTTCTGTCAGTATTAACTCGACAAAGAGCCTTTCCCCATTTCTGAATTCCCATCTTCTCTTCAGGGCACCTTTTTCAATGCGACCCTAACGGTGCGCTGCTATGTTTGCTTGTATTTAAATGCAGGTAAATTTTATTGCCGCTACATCTTGTTCCCTCAGGGAAATTAAGTCCCTAATTGCTCGCATACTTGAGGTCACTGGGTGAATGCATTAAACACCCGATTAAAATGGAATCTGTGAGGTCACACGCATAATTACATCGTGTGTGTGTTCTTGAGGCGCATTAAAGCTGCCACCATTTTAAAAACTGATCTTCGCAGTGTTTTTTTGGACTACAATGCCTAAATTCAACGTTATAGTAAAAAAATTGCCACTTCTTAAAAAGCACTGTAAAGAAGGTTATCTAAAGCGATCCATTCATTGCGAAAAGAGCACGGCTTTATTGACCGAGGAGAGGAAATTATGTTGACGAAAAGAGGACGCAGAGGTACAAAAGGGTAGAAAATTATTCCATCTTTGCTTGGTAGTTTAATTCTAAAATCTGTGCTTAAATCTTGTCAGAACCTTCCAATTTAAATGCTTGATTGAACGCAGCTTTACTCAGTTCTACCACATGCAAAGAGGGAATGGGTTGCAAAACAGAATAACTTCGACGCAACTGCATAGCTTTATACAATACGCTGAAAGTATTAAGAATGGCTGTAACACATGTGGGTTCTTTAAATGTAACTTGAAATTGGGAGGTGTGAATCAAGACTAAGCATTTTCCCCTTCCGTTTAAGCTCTACTCTTCGCCCTTGAAGTCCATAGAAATTGGGAGCAAAAATGGGTCTCAAAAATGCTTCACAGAATTTGTTTGTTTTGTGGAGATTTGGGCTTGGTGATATGCACACGCACACACCTCGCGTCACCTCCTTTCACTTCCCTAGGCTACAGTATAAATTGGGTCGAAACTGTTGCTCACATCAAAGGTGTCTCCGAGTGATGGTGCGCCCCCCGAATGCGCCATTAGTATTGCTACCTTATAATCCAACGTGGACACAGTGTGCCTTCACGGGAAGGCTCCATCTGGGGCCCCAAACATTTCAACAGGTCTGAAGTGTGCAGTCTACTACAGCATCGTGCCTTCATTTGGTCAGAGGAGAACCTCGAGATGCTCTAAACGCATGATCAGACCTCGGAATTGAAGCAAGAGTTGACTACATCCTCAAAAACGAATCATACGTCGGCGAATCAAGTAGTCAAGGATCTCCAAATCCAGCAACATTTATTGAATCGACGATGTGAATAAATAAAATTGTGATCAAGCTGCAGAAGTGGAAGTTGTATTTTGAAATAAGAATGATTTATTGAAACATGTGCACACATTCACACTTTTAAGGAAAACTGTAAATCCCAACAAATAAGTTACACCCAAATGCCTGTATTGCGTTTATTAATTTTAGGGGTTGCGATTACAAATTTTCATGCATTCAGCAGAAAGAAGCACCAGAGTGTACTTAAACAAAACTTGATTTTAATTAAGCTCCACATAGCTGTGGTTACTGAACGGCGCCAATTTTGCCATTGACTAATTTACTAACTCGCGTTCTTTTTGGAGTTACCCACCCTTTCTAAAGCAAAAATGCCCATTTACCAGTCCGGTAGTCACTTTCAATTAGGCTATAGCTGGACGATATACACCGCTGGAATTGCATTAACCGCAATGGAGTCACCGACCGCTCCACCCCTTCAAACAAATGTCGCCAGCAATAATTAGAGCAGAGTTGGAGAAATGTGTGCGTGCAAAATCAGCCTTTGTACTAATAGTTCCCAACATAGCACACAAGCTCAAAGCCTCACTTTGTCCAGTCTTGCTCATCATTTTGGCTTTTTTTAAAGAAATCCCGCTCCAAATAGGGTTCCCTTTTGCGGAATCAAAACAACAGCATTGATAAGGCTCTTAGTTAACATAGCTTCACCCAGAAAGTCGTCATCCCAACGGGATAAAATACTGAAAAAATTTTAAGCCATTGGTTTTAACGTTCACAGCAAAAACAGACAAAGGATGGCTCGTCGATGTAGTTTGCAGACAACAGAGATAAATCCTTTTTTAATAATATTGAGGCTGCATCATATTTCAGATCACTTTCACCTTATGTTCAACGATGGCATAACGACGGGCCGAAAATACCACTCCATGGAACCTCTTTGAGTAAAAGTCAATTATGGCCACCATAATCCACCACCCCTATGCGTCTATAGGCGTTCTAGTGGATGCAGGACAGTGGTGAAACAAGAACAATTTATGTCGTCACCCCGAGGCGATATTGCCTCCAAATACAGTAATTATTTCTCTACCGTGTTGGGTGCTAATGTCTGTGAGCACTTTCGATTTCACTCACAGAAAGAAAATAAGGGATTTATTCAATGGTATCGAATAAACAAATGTTTTGCTAATAAAACTTTTATTATTTTGTCGTGTCTTACACCTGTCAGCTTATAAAATAATCAAAATATTTAACAGAAGCCAAAACCTTACACTTGCTGCTTACATGGTTCAGTTAATAACTACAAGCACATCACTTTTGTGAGGAATGCAGTCAATATGTGAATAGATGGATACAAATAGCATGAAAGTATTAGTTAATTATATATGCAACTGCAATTCTTTGTTTGTTCGAATTCCAATAAAATTAGCGCCATTTTAATGTTACCTTCGGTATGCATGGAGGACTGGACATAGCGTTGTATTTAAAACCCGCAACCTCCACTCACCTTTTAATAGAGGTATTCAGATAGGCTTTGTGAATTCTAATACAAAATGGGACACACCAAGACGCTACAGTAACAGTGAAAATTCAAACAAAAACTCCACAGAGGAGGTGAGGATGGCGCGTAATCTGAGAGTTATTTTAGTTGTAACCACAGCAGTAATACGTAATACTTTATTTATGTGACTGCATGATATTTGGCGGTCATTTTAGCACTCGTCTGAGTCTTTTATTAGTGTACTGACCTTCGGGCCATGTTCAGGCCCATTTGCACGGTTCACTTCGGAATACATGTATCCAGCCCCACTTACTGCCTTCTCTCACCTGGTGTGGAATCTCGGAACGCTACATAATATATGACTAACTTCCAAATGCAAATTTCGACTAAGGAATTGGTTAAAGTCGAATATTTTAAACGGGCTGGTAGCATCCCGAAATTCCCCATAGGGTTGAAGAAGGCAGTGTGGCTGGATACATGTATTCCGAAGAAAACAGAGCAAATAGTATTGAGCATACCTGAAGGCTAGCCAATGAGTGCAAGGTCCAGACAGTAGCGTCTCGAGACTTCCCATCGGATGGAAGAAGGCCTAAATGAGATTTAATACATGTATTCCGAAGACAATAGGAGAAATGGGGCCTGAGCATGGCCCAAAGGCCAGCCCACTTGTAAAGGAGCCAGACAAATTCTAAAGTGACCGCCAAACGTCATTTAGTCACATAAACAAAGCACTACACAGGCAAATCTTAAAGTGACCACCGAACCTCAGGTAGTCACATAAACAAAGCCTTGCGGAGTCTACCTAAACTTGGAAAACAAAACAGCTTGAAGTTAAAATGGTCATTGTAATGCTCTGTTTATTTGCGATTATATAATTAGCCAAAATTAGAAAATGACGGTGATATATGCTAGCTACTTAAAACCGATTGGAAACGCGAATCACGTGCGCGAAGCCGGTGAGAAGTTCTCCTCCAATTGATACCTCCTATTCGCCTCATCTGCATCCTATTCCCCATTCTTCCTATAACAAATGCCTGATAAAACATCTGCTACCAACTCTCTCTTGAAGTCTGAGGTTCAAGGACCCGAGGGTAGACAGGCAGCTCTTACAGGTGGAAAGTTAACTTATTGTGCTTCACACAAAGGGCCAACTGACACGACATTTGGATCGCATAGTTACAACCCCACTACCTTTCCTAATATTATGCTCTATATTGTGTATCCTGATAACAAACAGCGACCATGTGTAGACACACCACTAAGGAGCCATTGAAGGAGAAAAAAGGATGAGGACAGCATAGATTAGAGTATAAACTCTCAGAATAATCTTGCGAAAACAGCATTTAGAAAATTAAAACTACGCAACTAAAAACGTGCTCGATTAAACCTGTCAAGTCAGACATTACTCCAAAGCATTTTTTGTATACCGTAATTAAACTCTGGTTCTATTTTGCGTTTTAAAAAATTGTACTCAACGCTTAAACTCTTTATACCTACCATCGGAGGCCACCTTTCTTAATGCGCGATATTTGATTTGGTGTTTCGATCTTTGACATAAATGGTAGTTGATGCTATCCATGTTAATTTCGCTTTTAGGGAGAAAGAAAAGGAACGAATAAATATTATCCACCTGATTTCGATCCAGCTAAGCATAGAAGTCTGAATGCCTACCATGGTGTTCATGCTTTGCGGGAACGCGGTCGCAAGGCTGATAAAGGAATTATCATAATCCGCTTTGAAATGCCTTACAATGCTTGGTGTTTGTCTTGCAAAAAGCCTATTGGAATGGGAGTTAGGTACAACGCAGAGAAGAAGAAGGTTGGCATGTATCACTCCACACCAATATTTCAATTCTCCATGAATTGTGCAATGTGTGCCGGCCGAATAGTAATGCAGACCGACCCGCAAAATTTCGACTACGTCTGCGTCGAAGGTATACGTCGAAAGATCCAAACATGGGATCCAGAAGAGAACGAGCAGATTGTCGTGCCAGGTTAGCACTGTGACCAATCCTTTCACGAATGCTACCACCTAGACTTCAAAGAAAGGCAAAAACTCTCACTTGATGCCATGTATCAGGTTGAACACAGTGTCAAAGATAAAGAGAAGGCTGCTTTGTCGAATCCAGCTCTTGCTGAACTAGAAGCAGACCGAGGAAGTTTTAAAGATGACTTCGCCTTAAACTGCCTCGCTAGGAAGCAATTTCGAGTAAGAGCGGTTCTGATGGTTGATCCTGTTTAGGAAGCAAAGAGACTTCAAAATGATGCTGATGCACGTGATGAGACACTGCGAACTCGGTTGTCCCTCACGGGAGCGCAGATTAATATTTTAGACGAGACCGACGAGGATAGAACAAAAGCTAAGCTGTTAAGGCTTCATCGCACACGTGGGTCCTATTGCCATCATTACCCACCCTTAGATCGCAGTGAACGTACATCTGAACGACAATTGTCTCTTGTCAAAATTGGAAAGCTATTGTTGTCCAAAAGAAAACTGGAGAATAGCTGTGATATTCCTCTGACTCAACGGCGTGTCGAACGACACTATCTCGTGAAACGGTCTGGCATCCTTGGCATCAGTGCGAAACAGTCCCGAACATCATCATTACCGCACGAAACATTGCCTCAAGCTCCTCATAAAAGCACACGAAAGGTAACTAACCAAGTCGATGAAGTCTCATCCAAAGAATTAACTACCAATGAAGAACCAATCCCGAGCCTCGTCCCCTACAATGACAGTGAATGAACACGCACATAGTGACATTGTAGGTAGGTAAGAAGAGTTTTTGCCTTAAAACACTAAATTTCTTTTCAATAAAAGCAAGGCTTTAACGGCCATAGCCTGTATTTGCAATAATGTAGGGTGAGGAGGTACCAACTAAGAAGTTACCAGGCACAACAGATTGTTAGTGCGCCTCAACTTTTTCGTAGCGAAGACCACAGTATCCACACGTGTGAAGACCAGGCTTATCCTAGAACAACGCAGAATAAATGCATTTGAAAACACTACCAAATTAATGTAAACTTTGGGGTGTCCAAGAACACTGTGACCACCGTCGCAGGCGACAATGCTTTCCGCAACTTGCTTCGGAGGCACATTTTTGATGAGCTCCACAGCAAATTGCTTGTTTACCTATAAAAAAATACAGAATCTGAAAGGATGCGAGGGTAGTCGTTGCACATCAGGCTTCAAACCGTGGGTGACAGGTGGGGCAACGGCGTGAAACCGAATAAAATTACGACAAGGACATCCCCTTACGCTAAGGGGTGGATGTCCGTCGAGAGTACGGATGAGACAGTGAGGAAGTGCATATTCCAAAACACAAAAGTCCGTTTTACTGACGATGACGCCAAATTAATTATGAAGATCGGGATTACGGTAAATAAATAGCGAAGAGGGGACCAGCTCGACATAGGCGCTCGTAAAAGTCAGACTTACTAGTTTCGTTGATTGCATAAACCTTGCGGAGCGGTAGTCTTTGGAGTCGAAAGCCTTTAGCACCCAAAAGGGTGAGGTTTAGACTCTACATACCTGTCCAGTGTGGGTTGTCACCGCACTTGATTCAATTGCATTTGGAGTGCCTAGACTAGGCGGGCGGAGAACCTTGAGAATTCGCCTGACAAGCCTCTCGCCCTTCACAACCATCTTTCTATAAACCGACTCAGTGTCCTTCAAATGTACGAGTCTGTCGAATATTTTATGGTGTTAAACAATAGCATTCTTTTAAGAATTAGACGGGCAACTTCCATCAAAGCTTTAACAATGGAAATATTTGCAAGTTATTGGATGGTGAGTAGCTGTATTCAACTAAATTAATTTAACTGACAAAGTCAATTTTAAGTACACAGACTTCGACTATTTTACGTTGATAGAGTGCCCCTTAATTCTGAAATAACAAACTATTATGACTTAAACTAAGTCATCTGCGCAAAAAATCATCTGTGGGCATAAAAAGAATTGTTCCAAAATAGCCCAGCAGCAAAGGTGGGTATACTCATGAAGGATTATGTCTTTCATGTAGTCTTGTTGGTATGCTGCGCACTCGCGCACTTTGTTCTTGGGAATGAGGAATGCGATTTATACTTTAGAAACCTCACCAATGCGATTTCTTCAACATACCTCTGTTTCGGAGAATTCGGCCAGCCCATGTCGATATGCAGTCGGTGTTTTTGCAACATTACAACGTTGGAATTGCTTTTAAACGACTCGGTGCCGAAAAATGATTTTGGAGTACCTTGCAGGTTTTTTATTGAACAGGAGATTTTGGTTGAGGTAATCTTTTCTCAGCCGTAATGCTTCCCAATATCACTACACTTTTCATGTAATTTCTTCGTGTTTGAAGCTGAGAAGAGTTCTTTGCTGTCAGCTATGGCAGTCTTACGTTACATAGTATCAATTCTGTGCTGCTACTCTGTATCTATTAGTTCGTACTTGTTGCTCCTAACCACATTTTTTCTACAATTTAGTTGTTTCCTAATAACCTCTCTTAATTTGTACCCCTTTCTTTAGCCATGGATCCGTATTATCTCACCTATACGGAAAATTTGGCAAAATGCTCACTGTAATCAGTGCTTAATTGAGCCGAATTCCACATATAACCGTACCTCATTCCCAAATGATGGCGCTGGTAGCAGTCTACCAAATTATAATCTCTCCGCATACAACGGCGCCACAAGGCGTTTTTTCGATCAAATTACGGCGCTCTCTGAATGCATTGCCAACCACACATTTAACAGCAACGCCTCATTCTTGGATCAAATCAACTTTCCAACGGAACCATCGATTCACATTAATAAAAGCGTGTGCCTGAGATGTCGCCAAGACTACGATAAACTCTACAGCGTCTACCAGTCTTGGGTGCGGCAAATATTAAATTACGAAAGCAACAGATGTCACCATCCACTAGAAACCGCTCCATTCAGATACGACAAATTATGTGCCGATGTCGTCGACGCCCTGAACCGCACTCAATTCGTGTGGCTCGGTGTCCTCGATTGTTCTAACCCACCGGATACGAAGTCAACGATTGTTTTGCTGCCGCTAATCATTTATGCTCTTGCCGCAGCAGCGTTCCACGCTGCCATGCTTTGCGTCTTTCATCGACCCAGTCGTGTGATCGTTTATATGCAGTCCAGGGTCGAGACAGTCACTGACACCATGGAGGGAGCGCCAGTTATTGAGGAACCCAATGCCAGAGGGAACCACCACTTCAATCTCTTTCATAAGACCAGTTTTGCTCCGATGACGAGGCGCATTCCCTGTGACACTCTAAATACAGTTCCCCCCAACACCAGTGACTTGTAAATTTACCTAGTTTTTTTGTGTGCACTGATGAAGCTGTACTTGTTAAAGCAGATATTTAAACATCATCTACGCCAGTATTGAGGCCAACATGTTGTTCCCTTCCGGCCAAGAGCCTCCTTCGTCATTTCTTCTAAATCCGCCAAGTGCTTGTCTATATGCTGAAGTAAAGGCAGGTTAGTTAAGGAACTGCAACCATGCTGCTCAACAATTCGCCAAACGGACAAAGTAGATGAAAAAGGATATTTTTACTGTTGACTTTATCCGTCATTTTTAGTAGAGTTTCTTGAAAGCTCTCGATAATGCAACGAACCTGACAAATATTAGAATATTTCGAGCAGATTTACATTCAGCTCCTCATCTTCCTCATCAACGACTACTTTACCTCCGTCAGCTCTGGGGGGACTTTTAGTAGGCATCTTTGTCATGTTTATGTTCAAACTGACGTATCGATTCTTCCTTAAAGCAGTATTGAGACTGGACGCATAGGAAACCTTAAGGGTGTGATAACGAAACAGTGCGTAATCCAGAATGAAGTACTTTCACTCAAACGTTGATCAGAATTTGGCAGACCTCGACTACTGTACAGCGAGTTTTTATCTAATGTTGAAAAGAAACAGAGCTAATTCGGAGTGGGACGCCTTTATTTCCGACCACCTTTTTTCTTCGGCGATTCTTCGTACCCTTCAATCCACTTTTTCGAAATACCAAAGGTATCTAGAACGACAGCATTAACATCTCTACAACAAACCAGTCATTATTTTTGAGAGAGCTGTAACATGGCGGCCTTGAGCTTGCACGACCACTGAATTTCCATGACGTGGATCTTCTGTTAGACAGGCAGAGCAAGCCAATTTTGTTTGAATGTATCGAGAAAAGGGCTTGACATCGATGCCGAAGTTATTAAGGCCAGCAATACGAGTCTACGGTGAAAAATCGACTTTAGGTCAAGGAGTTTAGCGACGTTTAGATGGCTCAGCCGTATCGTACCACATCTTTTCCGTTCTGCTTGGCACCATAGAGATACAATTTCAGACTTTTGTTGTTCGTTGTAATCATTGGCACAAGCCCACTTTCGCGTGGGTACGTTATGCGATATGCAACTTGAAGTCCCCTAGTTAGGGAGGCAATTAAGTCCTGAAACGTTATTTGGAAGCGCGGTTCAGCAAGGGTACTCTCGGGTGATTCTTTGAGCAAATTAGGCTCACAAATTCGCGCTAATAGACCATCAACGTTAGCTAAACTAAAATCAATTAAAAGACTCAGGACCACTCGCAACACTTACTCGCTATTTTCAGCACTTCTGAGATTGTTTGAGTCGATGTAGGCTCCAACAACACGGCAAATAATTGACTGCTCGATACTATCACCCGCTCTAACACAACGAAGTTTATTAAAAAACCAAAAGTGGTACCTATAACCAGCAGACACGAATAACGGAGCAATTCTGGGGGTAATTATACGAATTTCCTTGAGGACAGGCGGACCAAAATAGAAATCGCCAACAACGAACTTTGTTCCTATTGAGCTGTCATCAGCATCGGCACTCGATTTCGCCAACTCAGGAAAGTTTTGTTCTAGTTCCTGTAGCCTAGAGTAGAAAAGAAATAATGCATGCCAAAAATTTTACACTGGATGATCTTTTTTGAAAGCCGTCAACCGTGTAATCCCAACATCTACAGTTTCCAAGGAGATAATGCCTTCAGCTGCCATCTTTTCCAGGAAAACACCCAACTGAAAAAACTTAATACGATGTTACAGTTTACCTTTTTAAACGATGTTTTTCGAACATCCACTTCCCTCCCATTTGGGCTAAATAGTCAAGCACAAAATAAACGCAACAAGAGGAGCGTACCAATCTTTTTTCATATGTTTTGCATAGAAAACGTTAACAGGAAGAGGTAAGTCGGCGGGCTTCAACTTGCGGAGCCCGTAAAGAAAGCAAAACATCAGCAAATTATCCATATCGAGCTCAGCTAAAAAGAGAATCCAGGCACGGAATTCAACATTGAATGATTAATGATTCTGTAAATTAAAGGGGTTACGGTGAGGCCTGGTGACAAAGCATCTTTAGCAATGATAACATACGCGAATCATCATTTGGTGTAGCTTCGCTATTGGGCGCCCCAATTGAAACGGTGGGTTCAGTGTATTTGAGTTCAATTGTATCCCTAAGCCTATACGATTCCAAGAGGTGAGGTGGGCAGAGTTCACTGCAAATGCAAGCGAATATGACAAACTATGCACCGAAAAAATGAAGTCTAGTTTCATCAGGAAAGGACTCACATAAGCTTGTCGTTGAGTGTATGAAGAATGTGAATGGCTTTGTCCTCATCGCCGGCAGCTTTAAATTCATCGATGTCCATACTGCAGATGCCAACAGCAAGTGGCTTCGAACATTGTCCGAGAGCTGCTGTGTCCGCGATCACAGCTACGGAACAAATGGATGATTTCCTCAGCGAAGTCGTTTGACATCCAAGGGGACCGTCTTTGATCACATCAGACACCATCACATCTACCTAGTCTTTGAATACATTTCGATCGACAAACCAGATCCATCAAGAATCCTATCCATAGAGCTACGGTATGTGTAAAAAGTAGAAACATTCGAAGGCGACAAAAGGGAAAGGATGAAAACTAAGAAAATGAAACCAATTATTCGAGGAAATCTGGCACACCCGTTGGAATCATCTGACCTTCATACAGGAAAACCAGTGGAACTCCATCGAATAGATAAGAAAAAATTTCGTGTCGTGTACTGGTGTAAATTTTAATTTCGGAGGCAGTCTTTCCTTTAAAAATTAAATCAGCACCGTCGGCTGATAAGCCCAGATTCTCTATCACTTTCTGCACGAGTTTCCTCCTTCAACACAAAAATGCGAATAGGTAAGGCATGACCGTGCGTCTCAAAAATCACAAGCAAACTAGATTTATACCGTTTCGGTTCACGAAGGGTTACGTTCGTTCGTATCTTAAAAGGTTTAAGAAACAACATATCAACACCAAGCAGGAACGCCAGCTGATTTGGGTAAGTGCGCACACTCCGCTGTCCAGAATAGGCGCTCACAAACTTATAAGAATTTAGTCCGATGAAACGAAGCTCAGCCCATGTATGTTTTCATACTTTCATAAAACTCTAACCTCAATTCAAACATTTTTTGTATTCGTGCTTTAAAAAACACAGAAAGACAAAGTATGTCAACATATATTGGCGTCTTAAATTAAATAATAACAAAAATATTTTGCCTTAGTCAGGATTTTGAAAGATGCAAAGTCATTGCTGCACCTCTGCTATCCTTTCGCCATGCTTGACAAACAGTCATTTTGTGGAGTTAAATCGGCAAGGCAAACAATCTGCCCTTGCCGACTTGTTTAATTTGGATGATTTAAATCTCGTGTACCTAGATTCGGTGGATGGACATTCGTGCTGGCGTCAATTTCGAACTGTCAGATGACACAATTTTCCTTCCTAGGAGTATCTGTGACAAATATGCCGAGATTGGAATCACGTCAGTATTTCCTTGGCAGGCTGCATGCTTGAAATTGCCAGGTGTTTTGGGTAAGAATTTTGCTTGATTTAGAGAATTTCACTTAGAAGGGACAAGAAATCTAGTTTATTGTGCCCCAACAAGTGCAGGAAAGACTTTAGTGGCAGAATTGATCACGCTGAAGCGAATCTTGACCACCTCTAAAAAGGCTATAATTATTTTGCCCTACGTGTCTGTATCAAGGGAGAAAGTGATTTCTTTACAGGTACTTCAGAGCGACTTTCATGCCTCTTTCACTAAGGATGACGGCTAATTTTACACAGTACTAGTGTTATGCGAGTGTTCTTTTTGGTACTCTAATAAGCAATGGAGCTTGTTGTTGCATAAGCTCAAGTCACGCAAATTACTTCGAAGCAGTTTACTAGTAGAATAATACCTGAATGCTAATCGAAAATTGAAACTTAACGGAGGTTTTTGCCAGCACATTTTTGATGGCGTCAATGTCCGTGTTGGTGGATTCATGGGTGGCGTTAGCCCAGCTGGCGGCTTGGCTTCGGTTCGCGTCGCTGTCTGCACAATCGAGAAGGCTAATAATCTCGTCAATCGTCTAATTGAAGATGATCGTCTCTCTGATCTAGGTACGATTCTGTTAATTCAGTTGCCCATATTGTAGGCGTTGTTGTTGTTGATGAGATGCATCTCATAGGCGATCAACATCGCGGCTATCTTCTTGAACTTCTTCTCACGAAGCTACTTCTTTGTGGAAACAAATGGAGAAATGGTGAAGAAAGTTGCATCCACAATGCCAAAACGGTTGAAGATCTGCATATACAGATTGTCGGCATGTCAGCTTCTCTTCCTACCTTGCCAGTTCTCGGTTCATGGCTTGATGCTGCTGTTTATATCACAGACTTCCGTCCTATTCCACTCACAGAATTTGTCTACACCAAAGAAGTTGTCTATCGTGTAACAGCTGGTGAAGGGGATGTATGTGAGTAAGTTTGGAGGGAACTTTGGAAACAATAATGTCCAATTTTCTTGTTTAGGCGTCTAGAATCTATTAATTGTGGAGAGTATGGTCTTTTCAACGCATCACGGGAGAAGTTACCTATCGCTGATAATGATGATGGTGTATTTGATTTATGTTTTGGCACTCTGCTCTCTGGCTTTGCAGCTCTTGTTTTTTGTTCCACAAAACATTGGTGCGAACAGCTTGCCACGTCGATGGCTGGACATGTGAGTTACCCTTGAATTAATGTGCTCTTATTTTGTGACAGGTTTATAACTTAATCTGCACTCTGTGCCAGATATGTCGATTGGTGAAACCATACCTCAAAATGCAGGGCGAATGGCCTGTAAATGAAGCTTCCGATTGTGGCTGGACACTAAGGAAACAGCTAAACGAGGTGGACCTCAGTGAATGCCTGCAGCATCTAAAGCGATGCCCTGCTGGACTCGATCCCGTGCTTTCGCAATGCATCCCATTTGGCGTCGCATTTCATCATGCCGGTGCGTCTATGTCCCATGTATTAGCTGTCAAATTGTGAAAATTAGTACTCTGCCAACGTTTAGTTTTGATGTTTTTGCCTTCGCAATCCTATGTCTTTTATATAGACTTTCATCCGATTCAAGAACCCTTTATGTAAGGTTACTTTTGCCTACAATCGGCGTCACTTTCTCCCCTCAGGCTGATTATTAGCATTGATCATTTTAGTTCCATGAGCTTTTTGTTTTGCGAAATGGTTTTTCTCTGACTTACCTGGGGTTTCGAACTGCGATCTTAGATGGGACTACCTTACATTACCGCGTTGATTGGTTTTTCGCCATATACCACAGACATAGAATGCCTCTAGGTCTCACCATAGAAGAACGTGACATAATCGAGTTGGCATTCCGCAAGGGTCACCTTCGTCTCCTCATTGCTACATCTACTCTGAGCTCGGGTGTCAATCTGCCAGCACGTCGAGTGATAATTCGTACCCCGTTCTTCCACGGCCAAACACTGGGCTATCTGGACTACAAGCAGATGGTCGGTCGAGCTGGCCGCAAGGGCATTGATGTACGAGGTGAGAGTGTGCTGATTTGCAAGTCGAAAGACCTTCCAAAAGTGCGCCATCTTCTGAGCTGTGGTATGCCACCGGTTGCCTCCTGCTTGTTGAAGCAGAGTGGAACTCCTGAGTCGAGCCTGTGTAGAGCCATTTTGGAGGTATGTAAGTTTTTTTGACAGGTGTTACTTTATTTTCTTGTAACTGGACCTCCCTAGTTTTTGGGGATCAGCATATTTTGTTGATCTTTAAAAGCTTTCGGATTATGTATGTTAAAGGTGGGATAAAGTAGTGGTGGATTTTTTAAATAAAGGTTATCACCAGTGGTATCGTTGAAAGTGTATCAGATGCCAAAGGCTACATGGAGGCTACTCTTCTCTCAGCCTGTCTCAAAGCCTCTTCCAAGTCCAAGTCAACACCAATTTCTCGATCACATAAATCTTCGATGAGCACCGGCTCGGACGAGACTGACTCCCTTCTTTCAGCCTGTCTTGATGTCCTCACGGGGAGTGAGTTAGTTTTGAGACCTCCAGGTGACGAAGAAACCCTTAAACCGACACAATTGGGTAGAGCTGTTCTGGCTTCCGCACTTGGACCCGTAGACGGATTGACAGTTTTCGCTGAGCTCTCGAGGGCAAGTCGCAGCATCGCTTTGGACACTGATCTGCATCTAGTTTATTTGGTGAGCTGTTTTATAGTGTATAGATAAAAGTTTTCACCATAGAGAAACTCACTTGTCTCTTGCCATTCATTTGCATAACGTGTTTATGCTGTCTTGACTACTTGTGGGTTTCACCAATTAGTGTACCACAGTTTCATTGATTTGTTAATAAATTGATTTAAAGTTTCCATCTCGTAACGTATGCACCTAAGCATTGGCGTGCACGCGGAAACTTTCGATTTTTTTATTTCGATGAGCAATTAGGTCTATATTCGCGAGGAAACACTAAAGAATTAAAAAGTGGATAACTTGCCAGTTACAATAGGCTTGGTTATTATCATAAGTGTAAAATTCCGTCCGCAAGATATTTAACCTTTGTCACATAGTGTGGCTGACTTAAATCTACGATGCCGCAATGCATTAGCGCGGATTTTATTGCCAAACCATTTTGGACGCCCAAATAGGGCTTTATTGGTCCTGCTTTCTTACCTATTTTAATATTGTCTTGTAATGCGCTTGGATTAATCGGTCCGTAGGTTTTCACTATTTAGTGAATACCTGTTTAATCAAGGCAATATTTTAAGGTTTCTTAAAGCTATCTCCAATCCGTGTGATAATTACATGCGAATGACTTCCATGATCCACACCTTTTAGGTGACTCCCATCTACCTCAATCTTGATACCAACCTTGACTGGTCTCGCTACCTCGAAATCTACCAATCATTGTCCCCACCAGAGCGACGCGTAGCTGAGCTCGTCGGCGTGGAGGAGCGCGATCTCGTACGCTGCCTTTCGGGCGCAGCGATGGTCAAGAGGACTCTACCACAGATGCAACGCTTCTACCTCGCTCTGGCTCTGCATCGTCTCGTGTGCGAGGATGGATTGACCGAGGTGGCAGAGCGTTTCAACATCAACCGGGGCCTACTGCAGAGTCTCATGCAGCAGGCCTCTACCTATGCAGGCAATTGGGCTGTTTTTTCTTCCAGTAACTTATTTAGATCCAAAATTTTAGTACTGTTTTTCGAGTTTGTCTAGGACTTAGCGGAAGCGCGGAAGTTTCATGCATTCGAGTCATTCTGATACTTCCTCTTGCTATCATACTCTAGGCATGGTAACTGTGTTCTGCAACCGTCTCGGTTGGATCCACATGGAGCGTCTGTTGGAAGGTTTTCAAATGCGCCTTTTATTTGGTGTATCTAACGAACTCATCGATCTGCTTCGTCTCTCTCCTCTGCTAAATACTAGTCGATCCCGCATTCTCTATCAGGCTGGCTTTACATCCATAGCTTCGGTGGCCAGAGCTCGACCAAAGCAAATTGAACGGGTGTTGCAGCGGGCAAATCCGTTTATTAGGTCCGTTGAGCTCTTTTTTCCCATTGATGTACGGATGGTAAATAAAAGTATCTGGTTATGTCATATTCATTCATATGGCAAGCAGGAAACTGATTGAATAAAGATCGTATTTATTCGCCACTTCTAACAACGCTGAATGCTTTCATGGAATCATCACTGTTTTGCTCTAGGTTTATGGTTATTTTTGTTGAAGTTGTCTCGCATAAGACAGAAGTCATTGGAGACGTTGACTCTTTCGTGGCTCAGGGTGATAGCATGTGCGCAAGCGACCGTCATTTAGCCTCTCCCGTTGTACATATTTCCATTGTGTTTAGTGATAAGAACCGGAACCAAGTACGTTCTCCTCGGTCGATTATGCTGCCAGATGGTTCTGTCGTTAGCGAAATGGAACTGGCTTTATTACTGACATGCAAAGCACAGGATGTTCTTCAGAACGATCTTGTCTGCAATTACGGTGTTGACTTGCCGGCTGATGTTGCGGTATCTCCTTTCACATCCTCATCAAAGCGACGTAAGTTATCCCATTTAACTTGCGTCGAAATGGAGCCTGCATCAACACTCTCTGCAGGCATCGATACACCTGGCAAGAAGAGTTCCATAAAGGACTCCAGCATCAGTAGGGCTTCCACTTCTCACAGCGTTCGTGGTAGACTATCTACTACAACGAAGTTTGCTTTGGCACTTGCCGCAGACGTTCGGGTGCCTGCTATCCAGAGCACCCTTGATCACGACTGTATTTGTGTCTCATCCGATCCCCACGCCGCTTGTAGTCAAGTGCCTTTATTTCCTCGATTCGAAAAGGGGTCTACTTCATCTCCTATTCCACGTGGTCATTCACCCGCCAATACCTGTGGTCCTCTTACTAATTCGGTTATGCTGATGACTAAGGAAACACTTCAGCTCAATGACACGATGACTTTCTCAATGATGGAACGTTTTGCCGAGAGTGTCAACACAGAATTGGCAGCTGATACTGTCAGTAACGAAGATATTTTCAGCAGTCAAATATCCAATTCCTCAACCGGCGAAGATTCAAGGTTTTTTTGTTTAACATAGGACTTAATTCTCTCTATTTTGCTTTCTGAATGTTTGACACTTTTCTTATTTCGATAGTAAAGATGCTACTCCTATCTCTGCTTTGGTGGAACAATATGAGCCAGTTGGTAGGTCTTTGTAAATTAGTTGGTTTTCACGTTCGTATTTGCTCTTCGTTCATGACCGATCTTTATTATCTCATTTAGGTGCATCTACTTGTCGACCCCTCTTTTCCTTAATTGATGTCACAAGAACACCCCAGTTATGGATGATATTTAAGCGCGAATTTGAAAGCTTCCTTGATTCCAACACAGACGTCGGAATACACTGGCTGGCCGTCCAACCACATTGGCAAATTTTGGCAAGCCGAGAGGCCTGTAAGGAGGCTATGAAGAGCAATGCTACGTTCATCTGGCATGATGGCTGCGGTGGAAGGCGGTCCCATGGGAGCACCTGCTCTGGAGTCTGTCTTCAACTAATGGGTCTCACTATCTCCTCCTCGCGTTTGCGTCCGCAGACTGTTTTCTGGCTCCCATTTCATGTTCAAGATGTGGATGTGTTGAAAAGCCTTAAACGTCTTTTGGCGCGTCCTCGACTTGGACTGGTGGTGTCAGACTTGAAGTGGTGGCTCCGCGTTTCCATTGAACTTCTAAATTTCAAGGTTGATTTTGTGGAAAGGTTTCATGATCCTGGGACACAGGCCTGGTTGGAAAATCCAGACGCTGGAAGACCTAGACTCGTGGACGTAGTTCCGGATGCCTCTGCTGTGGTTAACGCCCTTTTTTCCATGGGTTACCGCCTTGGTGGGTTTAGTGTAGAAAAGAATTTTTTGATCTCTAACCCATTTTTAAGATGGAAACCATGCAAATGTATGTGTAGATCCACCAACACAGTTGTGCAACTGGGTCGAATCGGAACTGGCTAGCACTTCCTCCCCGCTTCTTTTGGAGTCCTACTTCTCGCCACCCATTTTGAACACTGCAGCTCAATGTTTTCTTCTCTCATTGGTCCACCCACCTTCCTCTCCCTCCTTTGCTCTCCAGTTAGAACTGTCGATAGCCTCACTACTCGCTAAGTCGGAGTCCCATGGTTTCGGTTAGTGTTGATGCTCTAATTAATTGATGTGAGTCTTGATGCTTTATTAGATCATGAACAACTTTTCCATTTAGTTCTAAACTACTCCATTCTCAGTGAATGTCGGACTGAGCTGAAAAGGGTTTGTGACTCGCTTGTCAAGTTGGCTCATGCCCTCGTTGGTTGTGCGTTTGATCTTGGTTCTCCACGTGAAGTTGCGGACGTAAGTATAATAAATCAAGCAGCGAGAGAAAGTAGGATGAGGGAAGGATAGTGAAGCGAACTCGTCCGTTATGTCGTCATTTTCTTTGCCAGATACTCTATAACCGACTACACCTTCCAGTCTACACTAGTCTGGCTGCGGAATTGGCCGCCAGCAAACGCGTAAAGAAAAGCCATTGCGGTATTGGGCTGCGAACACGACCACGGCAGCTGCCGACAAACAATCAGACGCTCTCTCATTTGGCTCATGCGCATCCTCTACCAACCATTGTGATAGAGTGGAGACGGATTAATGGAGTGCTAGAAAAAGGATTCAGCGGAATTGCCAGGGCTTGTGAGATGGCTCTGGATCGGCATGACGTGGTAGTCTTGCTTGATTTCTGATTGCATCAATGTATTTTCTTGCCACATTTTCCTCGGATATTGCAGGTTATCTATTCTTCGTACTGATTGGAATGTTTCTAGATAAATAATTTTGAAATTATCTTTCGTAAACCAGTCCTCATTGAGGCTCTTGCAAGACTTTAAAGGTTTTATTTAATTGGATCACTCAATCTGTGTTTTGACCCCTATGTATGTGCGTTAAAAATCTGGCAGTATTTTGCACCTTTTCAACCTAATGTGTGGACATCGCACATCCCAGATGTATGGGACTCTCGTTTTGTGTCCCTTTTTTTGAATCGCATTCTCCTCCCATCTTTGGTTGGCATTACTAAACGCCTTTGTAAAAGCTGTTTATAGGTAACTGCAATATTGGACATTTGTTGCACGCTAATTGGGTGTTAATAACAAACGAAGGAAAATGACAACAGGATGTCTACATGGTTTTGAAATCGTAGGCGACTTTTACGATGCTTTTTTAAACCAAGCATAAGTTGAGATTTATCCTTATAACTACCATACTTGCAAACTGTTTTACTTTTTCAGCGACGTTTATTGTCCTCTTCTAGGCCTTTCCTTCAGAGGTTAGGGTTGGCTGCATCTACAGAACATTCAGTGCTAACGGTCGAATCATTTCTACTTACCCAAACCTTCAGGCCGTTCCGAAGGTGATAAATTTCTCGTGGTCTGGTCTCCTCCACCGACCCCCTCCAATGCTACGAAACGATATCGTTGCCGTCTCAAAAGTGTCTGCTAGTGTTGAATGGCCGGAAACAATAGCTGATGTACTTCGACCCTTCACTGAGAAGGCTGATTTGGTAAGTAATACCTATATTACTACTCCCTAGTGTTCCCTCTATTATGGTTGTCATTATCTCACTCTCTGCTTTTAACCCATTTATCAGGGTTTGCGACCACGCTCTGCTTTTGGAGCTGCGAAGGGCTCACTGCTGGTGTCGGCGGATTTTAACCATCTGGAGTTACGCATCCTTGTCCATTTGAGCCAGGATAGTGTTCTCGTTCCAATGCTACAATCTACCAATCAGGATGTCTTCAAGGAGGTTCGTGGTAGCCTTCATATCTTGTTAACTTTAAGTAGTCTATCATGCTTAAACGTCTCACTTAACTTCATTTCACTGATTTTATCATGGATTGAAAGATGCTTTCATAGCTGCAGTTCATCGTGAAAATGGAATCAGAATAGCTGATTCATTTCTGGCCATCGTGTATGAATTTGTGCATGACCCCATGAAGTAAGTAATAGTAGCGAGAGCTTTTGTAGAATGCTGTCGTATTTTATTTAAAAAAGGTAGGATATTTTGAGCAATACTTTTAAATACCAAAGTAATGTGATACTTTTGTATTGTTCACCTCATAGAAAAGGTGTGCCAAACATGTTAAATTTTCCTGTCATTACAATTGAAAAATCCCGACTGGAGTAAAGTATTCTCATGGACATCCCTTTCTGAGTGGGCTTTTTGATTATTGAGGTGCTGAAAGGCTGTGCACATCTTTAGCTTGCTGCTCATTGGCTGAACCACAAGGATGTCAGTTTGGTGACAGATGAGGAGAGGCAGCAGGCCAAACGACTCTGCTACGCCGTCATCTACGGCATGGGCGCGAGCAGTCTCGCTTCGGAAATTGGCGTTACGCCTTCAGAGGCCCAGACTCTAATCGACAAATTTATGACATCCTTTTACGGTAGGTTCTCTTTTTGCATATAAAATCTCTTTTAGGCGTAGCTGAGTTCATCCGTCGAACAATCGAAACGGTTCGCGATCAGGGATTTGTTCGAACTCTGGGTGGTCGTCTACGTAAAATACACGGCTTCAAGTCGTCAAAATCCAATTCGAGCCCGTCAAAATGTCCTTCACCATGTAGGTTCTCGAGCATTTTGAATGGCAACCTTCCCGAATTTTGTAATCCTGAAAAGGCAAGTAAACTAATTTTCGATATTTTTCATCCTTTTTTTCAGCTAACGTTTACATCTTCCCACTAGGCGGAGCGTCAGGCCGTCAACAGCATGATCCAAGGCAGTGCAGCGGATATCGTCAAGTTGGCAATGCAACGGGTCGAATTGGCCCTGCAGCGAGAGGCAAATGTGTCTTGTCACTTGGTCCTTCATTTGCATGATGAGTTGATATATGAAGTAAAGGTTGAAACCCATTCATGGAGATACTCACGATCTGACTGCTTATTTAACGTCCTTTTTTGATCGATTTAGGTTACGCCAGAAGCCAGTGTCCCGGTGATCTGCAATATCCTGCGACGTGAGATGCCCAGAGCGAATCAAGCTTTTAAAATGAACATCCCGCTACCGGTGAAAGTGAAGGTGGGCTCCAACTGGTCAGATCTCCGAGAGGTTGATTGATTTCTCCTCTCCCTTTGGGTGCAATAGTTCAGTTGTATCTCTAAATGTCATTCTGGTAATGTGTAAAAATGAATAATGCATTAAAATGAAAATGAATGAAATATAAATGCTCAGACTGAGTGGATGCTTTTGGAAGTTGGTTTCCCTCGGGCGCTACTCATTGTCATGGGGGTAGTTTTTCTTGGGTCGAGGGCGAAAGTGGATGCGTCTAAGCCGTCTACAGGATGATTTTCAGGTGCTGAGTGGGAATGTTTTGGAATAGTTCGGGGAGGATTGGGCACCTTTCAAGATATTGAAAGGGCTAGTTTCACTAAGTAGCATTTTGGTCATTCGACAACTTGTATGTTTGGCGATCGCTGATACTGATCGCTCTTGAAAGCTTGGGTTCAACTTCAGGACAGGAGGGCTAAATTGTTCCCTTTTATCCCTTACCAAAAGTTGTAGATTCTACTTATTATCTATCAGATGTTAAGTCTTGGAGAATTGAACTAGTAGAAGCAGAAATCTAACTCGACTATGCGCAACTGCGATAATGATTATCATTACTTGTGGCAAAATTTTTTTACATAAAAAGTGTATGCTTTGAGCAGAAGCGTTTCTAATTTTTTTCACAAAAGAAAGACTGAGGGAGGTACCTGCGTTTAACATCATCCCCAGCCCGTATTCCGCTGACAAGCTATTAACAAGTGAGTGGAAACTCTGTGAATGATATGAAAAGTATCGTCTCGGAACTTTCCTATGCAGAATTCGCGTAGTGATGCCACAAATGAAAACTATGTTCGATGCAGGCCGGTTGTTTCAAAGTGCCTTTGGCTACAACTGATGGCAGACAAAATAGCTAATTACTGGCGCGGTTGGCATATACACGCTTCCTTGCGGTAATGTATTGTTTATGCGACCACCTGAAATTTGGCGGTCAACTTAAGATTCATCTGGTCCACGTACATGTGAGCTAGTCTTCAAATCATGCTCAGGTCTAATTACTTTGTTCTCACTGGAATAGACGTATGCAGCTCCGCTTACTGCTTCATCTGTCCAGTGGGAAGTCTCAGAACGCTACATGGCCGATGCAGAAATTGCACCTTAGAGAACAGCAAGATCGTAGTTCACGATAAGAGAGGAGCATTGTAATACACTTTTGATGTACTGCTCGAGTAAGCGGCGATCTCATTGATGTCGGTCCTTCTATTTATGCGCACGCCGGCTCCCAAAACAAACTAAGCGCAATATCTCTCCTGTACTGCTTGAATATATATATTCTGTCCTAGTTAATGCTTTATATTAAATATCAGACTAAGCCGCTATATTAATTGCAATGCTTATTTCTCAAATCATCTTATGTTATGGTGCATAACTGAAAGACTGGTAAATTTTTGTGCAACAAAATTTAAGCCACATCTGAGTTCACTTAGAGATGTATTTTGCAATTATCATTGATATTTGAAAAATATTGCATATTCTTAAGACCATTATAATTCAAGTAATCAGGTTTCATCGGTATGTGTCATTGGTTCATTTTGAAGGTTGGTGTTCCAACGCCTTGCTCCTACCAAAGGTCGAAGTTAGTAGCTCGTGACGATCTTCCGTAGCAATGCAGTTAATGTTTATCAAAATGCGTATCATATTCTTCTATTGTTATTATTCTATCGCCTACAATAGCGTCTTCTCTGTCTGACAAACTATACTCTGTTTCAGAGGATTTATTTTGCACAACTTTTATATTTTCTGAAAGGAGTTATACTCTTTACTATGTGTGGCAGGACAGCTTGGTATAGTCGGTTGTTATTTCATTTAAAGTTCGTTGAGTAAGGAAAGTATATTGGAGCGGTTGATGTCGCAATTTGGTGGGAAGAGGAAATTTGGGTGGAGGTCTGCACAGGCCTTGGGAGACTTTATTCCATCATTCAACAAAGCTCCCGGAAGTTTCAAGTGATCTTCGAATTCTTCGTATTACCTATGTTTTGTTCCAAATGCCTATTTTTTTTCGTTCTAGTCCCGTTATAATCGCGTCAGCGCATGCAAATCCTTCATTGAAATCCAATGGACACTCGGAGGTAGTTCAGATCATGTTGTGGGGTCTCATTCCCTCATTTGTGTCAAATGCGCTGGAGCAGGCCTCGTCTGGTGGAAAATTTGCCACGGCAAATGCCAGAGCTGAGAATATTCTTGAACGACCCTCCTACATGGATTGTATTAAACACCATCGAAGATGCGTTGTGGTGGTTCAGGGGTAGTTATCTTTAGTTTTGTATTCTTTACAGTTTTTACGAATGGAAGAAACTTGCAGGAGGCAATAAAACACCGTTCTTTATTTCCCTCCCTGGTAAAGTGAATTTTACTGCAAGTGCACTTTTCTTCTAGGAGAAAATGAGCCACTTATGCTTCTAGCTGGTGTTTTTTCTGTTAATAAGGAAAAATCAGTAGGCTCTTGACATGAGTTTTCATGTATCGTTCAGCTCTTCTCATACAGTATTATTACGACCGCGGCTGTTAATGAAGTAGCTAATGTGCATGATCGTATGCCGGTATGCTGCTTGACAAATGAATTTACCAACGTCTAGGTTATTTTTAAGGATTGTGAAGATATATTTGAGTGGATTAATCCAAACCTGTGTTCTCCTGTTTCTGTGAGTTTGCTAGCGTTGGTTATTTGATTAATTATATTCACTACTATAGACCGTAAGGTTCCTGCATCAACTGATTAATAAGTTAAAACTTCTCGAATTGAAGATATATCCTGTCACTCCTTTGATGAATTCCATTTCATTTGACTGTCCGCAATGTATTGAGCCCTTGGACAACTCGAAACCGTATGTTTATGTTCAGTACTCCTTCGTTTTATTTCCTTTGATCAGCAAGACTCAATTTCATCGGCATCTCTCAATATTTAACTTCTGCAACTTACTTGCCGTCTAGTTCGATTCAGGACCTTTCAAAGAACAAAAAGATTGATCACTTTTTCACTATGAAACGAAAAATGAGCGAAAGCACTGAATTTGCACTTGGAGAAGAATCCGTTCCGAAGAAAAGGCTTGAGGATTTGTAACTGTTATACGACTGATGTCTCTAAAAGTTTGTTTTGTGGCAGATCAAATGGGACTTTCTTGGGTGAGTGGCTGATTTTGCGGCGTTTGGGGGTTAAAGTCGGCTTTGGGTGAGGTTTCGTCTGGGTTCTCGCCTAGATAGATCGTCCTTGAATGTCTCGTAGGTGGTGTTTTTCCAAATGAGGTCTAAAAAAGGGCAAAATCAGGATTTGTATTGGTAGGTTAAATTGGTAATAAATTTCATTACCTGTTGATACATAGGGTCCATAGGGTTGTAGTTTTTTCCACGTTCTGATTTCCTTCGTCGAATTGTTGAATACACCTCACTGGTGAAGTTGGAAGCCTCCACTTGTGGAAGCATAGGTCTAGCCCTAGCCTTGTGCTTTCTAAGGCTTGTGAAGCCTCCAATTTGTGTTGGAGATGTTGGAGGGAGGTCATCTCTAGTCACTAGTTCTTCATCGTTATTTAACCCTTCAAAATTGCAAAGAACAACAGGAATGGATTATAGTTATTTTTGTGCTTTGGTTATGGCAGGTGTTTCGCTTAGAATCGTATTAACCTGCAGAGCACATTGGCGAAGACCTCTGATCTCGACGACTTTTGGAGGTTTTACGCATGCTACAAAACAGCAGACTGGTGCGTTTGTTTTGGTTTGATCGAGATCGATCATGCGGAATCGGAGAACTCGGTGAGGTTGCTGCTGTTGGGAGTGGTGGTCGAGGGGTACCTGGTGATGCTGGTTGTGAACTTAGTGTCGTCGGCACTGGTGGCATCTCCAGGACTAGCTTCTTTACTTAAGAAACCGAAAAACATTCCCTATCTATCCTGTGGGTCTTTCGATTACTTTCAGCATTTACATAAAAGGTGCTAAATTTAAAAGGGCTTGCTGTATTCCTCCCCAGTTTGAGCCCTCGCTAGTTGGATGAAGGAAATCGGAAAGGTGGGGGGCAATAAAGCGAAGTGAAATCTTAAGTTTGATTGATAGCGCTTTGTATATAGGCCTCTTCTGATTACGTGGTCCCATTTTTCTTCTAAAGCATCTGATCTACATAATTCATAAACGAGTTGGTTAACCTTTGTGGCGGCACGCACATCGACAAAAACCCATAGTTGACAAGGTTATGGCATTATCGTCCCCATTACACATTGATCTAGTTTCTTCGCTCAGTGCTGCTAGATTTCATGAGTTTTGATCCACGCTTGACTTGAGAAAAGCCAGTTCAACACCTAAAGCCGTTGGAGTAGATAAAATTTTTTCAAGTCCACAAGGTCATTACCCTAAGGGTCCCACAGAGGCTACATTTAAGCCCACAAATGGAGTCGAAAATATCTTCTGGTTTGACAATGCATTGCAATTCTACGAAATATTGGAGCACTAGAATTTGCCGAAGCAGAAACTTTTCCGCTAAACGATGTACGAAATCCTCTAAACCACTGCAAAATAGAAAATTAGGAACAAATTTGTGGGTAAAAGACAGCCCTCTCAACACTCGTTCCATGAGCAGTTGGAGAATCTCCAGTCGAAAACCTGGCATTGATGAAAACCAGCCCCGAAATTAATGCAACCATCACTTACGTCACGTAATTTGTTTACTTGTTACAAATCGCTTTGATACAAAATTGACGAATTGAAAAGATCAGAAATAGAAAAATCAAAGTACACTTACAAAGTGGCAAGTCTTCTAACATTTTGCCATACTGACTTCGAAATTGGCCTACCAAAATATGAACTAGTTTAGAACAATAGAAGAAGTGGTGATACAGAGTTAATTTGGGTATTAGTGGTGATGAATGTCAAAAGATTAATCCGAGGAAGGTTGCGAGGATTAGATAGAGGCAAGAGAAAACTCAATCCCAAAGTTGGTGAAAGTTAAAGGCGAGGGGAAGACGAACTAGTTATGTCTTTCGAAAGGAACTGTCAGATGTGTCACCGCCGTGCACCGCAGCTTACTCCTCAATCGTGTTCCGGCTTCTGTGTCTGGCACGTAGCTGAATGGAAGCCTACCACTGTAGTCCCGAACCGTAGCTTTCGCATCTATAAATGCCAATAAAAACATAGAAATGGAAAAGGCAAAGTAGTTCTCGAACTTCTAGCTTCCAAAATGAGACGAAATTTTAAGCAGCTGGACCTCGGAGCTATTATACGTGGAAGAAAAGTAAAAACGAGCAGTTTCTTTCCAAATACAAAGTGGACGGACTACATTAATTGGCTAGAGAGGTGGAAAAAATAAAACATAGAAAACAAAAACTGGCTTTCACGAAAGCCTTTCGGTTTAAAAATGCAACAAACTTGGCTTTCAATGTAGGAAAGTACAACTGCTGCTGTTGCTGTCGCGCAATAAAAATGGGAGACCGGAATAAAGGAGAATGCGATTTTATTGTTGGTAAGCATTAGAAAAGAATTCATCTCAAAAGGCACCGAAACAACACTAAAATCCAAACGACATTTTTTCCAACCCAATTTCATACCTTGTCAAATCAAAACATTGCCTAAATAGAAATTTCACATGGAGGTTGTCAATTGGTAGACAAAGTCATTATGAAAACATTCATTATCTTAAGGTATGAGTCATTGAGGAAATAACTCTACTTTAAAATTAATGCTTGGTTAATTGAGAAGATGGAAGGGTAATAATTTACCACTTACCCAAAAGGCCGTGCTGGGAAATGACTACGCTGAATGAAAGATCAATGTTAACTCACTAAATTGAGACATAAGCGCAAATGCAACTTCCTCCGAGGCACCGATGGCAGCCATATGCAGAGGAGTAAGACCCTGAATTAACAATCACGTGGTGTTGCTAAGAGCCACTTACCCCCTAAAACGAAAAAAAAATTTCGAAATGAGAAAAGCAAAAGCATCCTGGCGAACATGATCACACTTTGATGAGTCTCTAATTAAAACAAAAAGTTTTTAAGCAAAATAACCACTTAGTTCAAACATTCAATAAGAATCAGAAACTTGAAGACTAGAAATTCATAGTCCTGTGTACGTGGCACATTTCGAAAGCCAGGAACACATCAATTAAAACTGACTACCTTTAGCCAGAGTAAAGTGAAACAGGCAGTAAAACAGCCAGGAAAACAGCCCAGTTGTCTACTTCCCAGAGCGATTTCGGATAGCAACAAAGACATACGTGGTTGCGAACATCAACATTCGCTTTAAAGGTCCCAGCGAGAAGACGAACCAGACTCATATCGTTAACTTGCGCAGCAAAATGTAGGGCAGTCTAAATAGCCAAAAATCACAATCAAATGGCCTCCCGTTACAAAATGCTGCGCATCATTAAGAAAAACTTACATTCTGTAGGATCGGTGTTGGTCCATTGCAAAGCAAGGATAAATAAGAAAAACAGGTAAAGCTTGTTGTTTGGCGAAAAAGTAAATTTGAATACACTCACGCCTGTAACGTAGTCCTATGATTGAAAAAGATAAAACCAAATCATACGATAAAAACCCATTAAACGGGGGCTACCATAAACAACATACCCGCCAGTTTACGAGATCAGGATTCTTCGAGAGCAGGCGAGACATTTCATCAAAATCGAGCTTTAAAACAGCATCTCGCCACTTTCGTTCTTCGGCAGAAATCTTTCCAGAACAGATTAGGTGGAATGACCATCGAGTTGTACGATTAGCACCAAATAATTATGAACTCACTTCACAAACACCACTGCCGAGCTAGCGACAAAGTGGAAAAGGTCATTATATACACAAAACCCTCCTTTAAAGCAGAAGACCGGTACATGAAATGAACATAACAGGTACAAAATGATATTCGCTAGCAGGTATAATAGCTAACTTAAGCTTACATGTGCTGAATGAGTCATCAGTAAGTTGTTCTTATAATGGGTCGAGGAAGTCCGCAAAGCCTCATCTTCTGGTGTTTCCAAAGGCGTTTGCATGCTGCTCAATTAACTTTAGTATAAAATCTACAATAAATAAATAAGCCAAATATATCAATTAATCAAAGGTGGCAAATAAAGACAAAAGAGTAAATCGAACGGCAATAGACATTCTAGGAGGAAAGGCGCAATTTTATACCAAACTACATAGCAAAAAAGTAAACGCACAAACAGTGAAAATTGGTGATAACACATGAGTAATGAAAGCCAAAGTTCGCTCAGAACGTAAGGCATAAGGGAAAAAAACGGGTTTAAGGATGTTAGATATTGTTGAGGAAAAAAACCACAACTTTCACACTCCCGCAAAGCTCAAAGAGTAAGGTGAAATGACATTCAAGCAAAATGTAAAGCCAGCATTAGCTGAGCCAAGCGTTCTTTAATAACAGCCACTTTTCGTTGGTACGAGTATTACAACATTTATCTGTAAAACGTTGGACCAAAGACTGTTACCATATGTCTAGGATGCAACAGACCAAGCCTTTTAAATTCGATTAAACTGCTTGAACGGTGTTATAGATAACGGTCCTATTAATTGGCAGAGAAATGCAAGCCGACAACAACAGCCCACCACCGCTTACTCGAGAGATCCGCTTCATAGATCACACACCCAAAACCTAGCGTTATCAATATAAACAAAAGTTAAGGACTCCCTAATTTTCGAGTCACTTGTGCAAAAGTACTATAAGAAGTGGATTAAAGATATAGCGTAGGATTCGCAACATAAAAATTAAGAGCAATATTCTAATTTAGTAATGATATTTTTAGATTTTGTTCCTGCAATATTTGATAAGAAAAGTAACAAACGATTTAAAAGCCGTCACCAACTTATGTGCTCTTATAACCTAACTGCAAGAACTGCCTGTCTACCCTCTGGTTCCTGATCCTCAGACTTCAAGAAGCAGTTAGTTGCCGACGCTTTATTAGGCATTGTTACTAGGAGGGATGGGAATGGAATACAGATGAGGTGAGTAGTAGACATCAATCGGGGAGAGACACCCCGCACGTGAATTGCGTTCCTAATTGGTTCCCGCCTCTCACCTATAAAAGTCACTTAAATAAACTGGTATATATTAAACTAAGGAGCATACAGCTGTTTAAAATTTCAGATGCCTACCTTCGAATTTATCTGAAGATTCTTGTTCTTTTCAGCAACTTGTAAAGGTATTAAATCCAAAACTTATGGTAATTATAATGAAAGGATTGGGCCATTGAGTAGGTGCAAGGTCCGCATTGAGTTTTAAATAAGCAAACAACTATTTTTAATTACAGCTACTGTCACCATATTTCATCTGCTTCCCAAATTGCTAATACAAAGATTTGCACAATGTACAAACGGGAATTTATTGGAATCAGTTGCGATAAATAGGCATGACTTGATTACAATTTTCAGGGCATTACAATCGTATGGACCAATCCCTTTTACCAGGAACCCATCAGAGATTCCACCACCCATGAGGTAAGGAACCCGACCGAATAATAAGAGTCCTGTCGTCGACGAACTATCTCATCTGGAATTCGGAAATTGGCACCCAGCCCTAAACATTGCATCATAACAAGATTAGGCAATATACAGATCCACAGTGATAGGTTATGAAGACGTAATCTATGCATTGTGCTAAGAAGAGAAGCCACCTGATGGAACTCTACTGGCCAGCACTGGGGAGCTGTGAAATACGTACTTGTGTGCTTAAGTTTGTATTTAGGCGAGAGTGGTGGAAGCCAATCCGAACACGAATCCGGTGGGTGAGTAGTGTAAGGATTACTTCCCTGTCTGACAACAGTTTTCCGCCACATCAATCTTCCTTCATTCCCTTTCTTTCTGTACAAGGTGCCGATCAATTTTCCTTAACCTTATCGTACGACAGAACTTAGGGCTTACTCACTTGGATTAGTTATTTGATTAGGCCCTCTGAGGCAAAAATATTGGAGTAATACACTTGCACCTTCAATTCTATTGCCTCCTACTAAAAAAAACTTGAACTTGCAAATGAAGCGCTATATCAGATGCTAAAAGCATCCTGCCTGCACTTTACTTTGAGGTTTTGTAACAGATGTCCTAATTCCTATCCTTGTGACCCAGGAATAATGCGCTAAAAGTAGCCTAACCTCATTAAGCAAAAGTATGCATTAATGTCATGGTTTTTTAGCGAAGGTTCCCTTTTCCATACTTATACCCATGGTTGAGAGGTGCATTGTAGTACTTTGTTTATGTGATTACGGAACGTTTGGCGGTCAATAGGGTTTGCCTGGCTCTAGTACGCGTGGGCTGGCTTTCGAGCCATGCTCAGGTCCATTTGCTCTGTTCTCATCGGAATACATGTATCCAGCCTCACTCACTACCTTCTTCCACCCTATAGAAAGTCTCAGGACGCTACATGCATGTTCAAGATAGGCGTAGTATGCTGTGGCAATGGAAGAATAGGAGTTTGTCTTTCCTGGCATTGGCAATGCAACTTGACCTATAGGATACATTCACTAGGAGGGGAATAACATTGAATGCATGTATATTTCATGGCAAATCATTCTTCAATTCACGCTGTAGCACCAAGCAGCAGGTAGTTCGGATTCATGAGTTGCAAAAGCCGTGTGAATCACGGCATCAACCAGGCAACGTTTCGATCTTGCATTGATGCAAATTAAGCTTGAAGGTAATGGAGTGTTCAAATTATAAATTCATCGTCCTTATTCTCTCAGCAAAATATACGAAGTCCTGACAATTAGATTAATTATAAACATTATTTCTTGGCAAGGGTCAGTTTGATTCATTTTTAGGCCCTCGGTTGCCTATTAAAATAATGATTTAACTCGATAAGCCTTGATAATTTACCCTAATTTATTTCACAATAATTGAGTCTGCAAACATGTAGCAAAAGTAAAATAATTTGTGAAGCAACTACATTTGAACGATATGGGAGTAATCAAAATTACTTGAGTGGATGCGTCGCAGTGATTCAGTCATTCCTGGGGTCGAAGGCAGACAATGTGCAGTGCTGAACTTAGGAAGGACTTGGAATCTCTTGATATGGCTACCCAGGGGAGGCACCATGCTGCATTCTCTTCGTGGCTTACAAATGGTTACAAATGGTTAATGCATCCTATCTTTGTGCCGCAAAACTCATTATGATCTGGGACCAAAAAATTTGTAGTACAATAAAACTTACCTAAGAATCGTTTGCAATTACTGCTGATTTTACTGCTTCACCCATTTCCTTACTGCGGTGTAATCCTGTTGCATTCCAGAAGGAAGACTCTGTTGCGCTATCGCAGTCACAACCAACCAGGCAAATGAGGACAGTTGAGTGCATGCACCTTCTGGGTCAGAGCAGGCAGAGACCTGAGTGTGTTTGATGCACCACAAAATTCTTGCATTCACTTCCACCTTTCCTGATGGACATTCTTACACTTACAGTTCCTCTTACATGTCTCTCCATTGGTCTTGGCATCACGGCTCTGGTCCTGCCAAAATGGAATTGCGGCGGCTTCTTCACCACTTGCGCCTTCACCCTCATTCACCTCATCATCATGGCGCTCATCGTTGGTGGTATGGCTCTCATCTCGATCATCTTTTTCGTCGATATTTGCAGTGCATGCAATCCCAAGTGGTTGCCTGGACCGGTCTGCGTTTCTTTCAAGATAATCCTTTTTGCTCTTGGAGCGGCAAGCCTAATGGCTGGAAATCTGCTTTACGCGTTATTGTTTGTCAAATCGTGGTCCTTCTTGCTCTCCTTCTCAAGCTCCATTATAGCTATACATGTGGTACTGTTCTCTATTTTTGGGTCAAAATGTTTTCGCCATAACTAATGTTACATTCACTTGTCCTTCATTTACCTTTATACTTGATGTGACACCCATCCTTTTAAAATTCAATAAGAAGAGCCTCTCTTTGAATACCGGACAACATTTTTCCAATTTGTTATAGCCATATCCCCAAAAGTGAACACTTCCAACAACAATTCAACTATTTTAGTCGAAAGTCTGAACTTTAATTTTCGCAAAATCAAGCCGTCAATTAATGCAATGTACCTAAATAACCTGCAGGTCAAGTGCACCTTTTGCATCCCGTCCGAAACCACTCCAAAGACCATTATAAATGATAACACTAAAATGGAACGCTCGTGCAGCTTTTCATATTTGATAAGAGAATCTTCTTGTTGTAAAGATGACAACTTCCCTGCTTGCATTTCTAATTTGTTTAATTTAAGTTCTCGCAGCTCCCCAACACAAATACTTAATCATACCAGATCGAAGACAAATGGGTAGTGAAATGTTTGTCTCCACACACCAGGTTTGTCGTGCATTTTTTGGATATCAGTGTTTTATGCAAAAACGAATCCAAGTCTGGCTGTCAGGACCTTAAAAATAACGAGACAAACAGATTTGTTAATGTATTTAGACGACATAAAGCACCTCCTCCTCTTTGCTGAAGTAATACGCGGCATGACGAATGCACAGACCATTTGGAAATTGATCTAATCAACTCTGTGAAGTTTTGATTGCTGTGAAAATTGCTTTGAATTTTTTTAGCAAAATCACTTTTCAAAATTTAAATGTGCGTGCGGACTAGTGTCGCGGGCACTGTGTTTCCCCACAGTCGCAGTACTTTACTGAAAGGGATAGCAAATACCTTCATTTCCGCATCCTCAAGGTACTCGTGTGTCAATGTCTTGTAGTACCTTCATCGTCTGTATGACCGTTCATTTTGACTTCGCTAGTCGTACCGTCTCCATTTGGAGGAGGAAGGGAGGAATTGAAGGGGGCAGAGCTTCCGAACCATTTGGGCGGACGTTTGGATTTTCTGTACATCGAGGAGTAACAAAAGTATTGCCTTTACGAGTAGCGCGGTCTGGGTTGAGGACGGCCGTAGCGTCTCTCCTCACATCGTGATCAGCCAAGGTGGCACGACGGGGCACACCACAAATACCAGCGTAGCCAGACAAAGGGCAGGCAGAATACCATGTTACCACACGTTAATGCGTAAAACCCTTGCAATTCCACCTAAACGCACATTTGATGAATTTCAGTGGGTTCAACGGCTTCATTTAGTCACATGCAAAACATGCCGCAAGGGTGAAGGAGGCTTTTTGTCTTGGGCACAACTTAGCCGCCATGCGCTTTCGTCTGCTTTCCAACTCGTAGGGCCACAGATTTTTAGCTGAGGATGCATTAAAGAAGTGATTTAACTCGGACCATTTTAATTTATTCAATTTAAACTTGACTGCCGCCAGGGGCATAAGTGATTTAAATTTAACCGATTTCATCCTGATTCACCAAATACTCTTGGCTTCGCACAAAGTTAATTGGTTGAGCCAAAGCCATTTGAAAGAGAAATGATGCCACAACTCAAAGGACATCTGCAATGAGAAATAAGGTTTCGTCTCCCTCTCCTCCTTTCACTGCTGATCCTACAATTCTTGTGTCGTTATCAGGTGTCATCAAGTGACTTCCGTCCCATCGCATGACACCTTTCGTGCCATTTCTAGTAAAAAAAATAATAAAATCTTTTGTTTCTCCCATTGAATCACCTACGAGCGTGCACACAAAGCACGTGATACCTTCCAAACATTCGCCACAGTTGTGTTCGATTGTACTGAAATTCACAAGCAGTCGCCTTTCCTGCATCATAGTAAGTAAATTTAATCCACTCAGTCTCACATTTGCCATAAACTCATGCAGCCTTTAGCATCCGTAGGGTAGCGCTTTCTAATTGATCCTAATAGTTAAAAGGTGTTGTCGGTGAGGAATTTCAGCATGCGTTTCTACCGTCGTTTACCTTTCAACTCTCAATATGCGACCATAGACGGCAGTTGTGTTGTCGGTTGGTGCTTTTAAGCGTAATGGACAACTTGCAAACTTATTTATTTCTGTTTCACCACGACTACACCTCCCCTAAAGTTTTGAAGTGTGGAATGCTTTTTTCTGGTTTTTAAAGTGAGCGTTGGAGATGGGGTGGTGCCCTCTCACTTCTACCAACTTCCTCCCTCATGCGTGTAATTTCCAAAGGTGAGTGGGTGAATCCCATCAAATCAGACGAAGAACATCAAATGCGCGCAGATTCGATCACAATGAGAAAAACCGCAATTATTAACGCCTCAGAACTCGCTTTCATTACTGACTAGTAAAGTAGTGGTTGTCATGGCACATCTAATGGTTGTGAAGTGCAAAACGTGATTACTGGCATCCGATAGACTCGGTTTGAAGCTGAGGCATTCTCACAGACTGCCACCTCTAAGTGAAAAGCTGCAGGGAGGAACACGATCTGCAATGACTAACCCCAAAATGCGGGTCACAAACGGTCTCCGAGCTCTAAAATTGCCAAATGGTGATTCTTGTGTGTGTGTGTGTGGGTGTAAGTGAAGGTGAAATCAAACTCATACAAATGACCGCCTACCTATCACCATTGCTACCTGAGATGGTGGCTGCCCAGTGGTGCGCAGAGTGTATTGCCGTGATCACTAGCGCCATGCTGGCATCGGGGACCGAGTAGAAAGCACAATTAAATTGGCGACATCGTAAGGTGATATGGACATGATTCACGCAGTGAAATATGACCCGACAAAATGTGTGAAGAGCAAGTGATTGGGTCAGGAGAGATAAACTATTCTGAGATTACTCACGGGCATGAGTGTAGCCAACAGTGCTCATATCTCCAACGTCCACTAGGGTGGAGAAGTCGACTTGTTCGTCATAACTAAGTAATACGACAAAATTATGCAAAAACCAATTGCTCCTGTACATCTACTAAAACTTTCCTCGCTTAGTAGCTGGAGTGAGGGATAATGGGAAATGTGATGCTAAGCGCTAGTACCCGAAGTTGGCATTGAGCATTGAAAGTTTCCCCTTGTCAGCACCAGATCTACTTGATCTAAGGTAGTTTTTTTTTACAACTTTAAAGGTTCGTTACACTTTGCATTGTAAGTAGAATAAATTTCAGACCATTAATTGAGGGAGCATTTCGTCGTCTGTTTTGGAGGATGGTGCTCACCGATTGGCACACACTCTGCTTACGTTAATCACACCTCTTCTCTTGATTCAGAAAGCTAAAGTGTCAAGATCGAAGTGAGATTGGTTGAGAGGCACCAGGATCAAGGTGAGACGCTCACTCACAAACACTGATGAGCTCTTACACACACACACACAGTAGCACGCCATTGTGTGCACCCAGCAGCCAATAGGAGGCACCAATCTGTTGACATGAGCCACCAAGTCAAGCAACAGATAGGCACTGCTGAAGACCACAGGTCTAAAGGATGCAAGATCTCAGTGTTCTCATTTTTCCATTAAGCTGTTTTGCGATCGGCCTATGTGTTGCGAGTCTGGTGGTGCCCTACTGGAATTGCGGGGGTTTCTTCACCACCTGCGTCTTTACAATCATCCACCTTGTGGTGATGGGTCTGCTTTTGGGTGGACTGGCGCTTTTCGCTTTAGTCTTTTTACTGGACCTTTTCAAGACCTGCCGAAATACCTGGGTTCCAGGTCCAGTGTGTAATACATGCAAAATCCTCCTATCCGCAGTGGGTGCCGGTTGCCTCCTTGCGGGAAACCTCCTCTATGCTGCTGTATACATCAAATCCACATCCTACGTAATGTCCTTCGCTGGATCCATCATCGCCGTTCACGTGGTTTTGCTATCCCTACTCTCCAGCCGATGTCTACAAGGTCACTAATATTCACAAGAGTGATTTCGGTTATCCTGTGCCATGTATAAATCTTCATGACTTCCTTCTTCCTTTTTGGTTTTGATGCATCTAAGTATTATTTGTGCTAGATACTTTCACTTTAATTTACCACTAATGAAGTTATAATGGCTAAAATTAATGTGTCTGTTTAAATATTATGGAAATTTTGCTTCTCCCAATGGGTGGGAGCGAGGTGTTTAATCTTGCAAAAGGCTTTTTATCTCGGAAACAAGATTCAGTCGCTTCGTTGAGCGATTTATCGATACCTTGAATGGAAGGTTGTAGATGAAACAGATAGGCGTGTTTTTAAAAGCTTTTAGTGACTCCTGCTACCAACTTTTAGGCGTATTTTAGGCACAACTGAGTCTGGTGTAAGAAAATAAGGTAAAAAGTTATTTTAAATGAATGCACCAATTTGTGTTGGTGTAGTAGGTGACGCTTACTTATGCACGTTCCGCGATTTGACAGCAAGGAGGCGTAGTAGACGACAAGCAGGAGCCAGTCCTGGTTCAAACATTCAGCAGTGGCGTGCTCAAACCAAATGCATGCGATTGGTGTCTGGGCCGTTTATGCCTCAATGCACCGCCAAAGCCAGTCGAGACAAAGGAGTGTCGTGAATGGAATATAAAGGGCAGAGATAATTAGAACTCAGTGGTGCCGCCTCAAGGGTTGGTACACGTCGAAGTTGGTGCCATATAAAAGGGTGAAACACACAAGAGTATCTCAGAGTTGTTTCCCATCCGCTGTATAAATCGGGTGCCGTAAACAGAAATACTACAGTCAAAGCGAGTTTTAGTGAAATTTTTATGGACAACATCAACAGTTAGATAAATCTTTTTCTTAAAAAGAGCGGAAGTTGTTGATCACAGTTGGCGGTCAACTGAGGGTGGCCTGAGTGTGTATGGAGTTGGATCTGTGTCATCAACCACATCCACCGCCGACGATGGGAGGCGCATCTCGCCAACAAAACATAATTTCTTTTCGTAAAACAAAAACCAACACTGTAAAAATGCTTTTAATTCGCTAAATTGGTCCTTTGCTTGATGATTTGACCTTCTAATCGATAGCGTTGCAACCTTCACTCGGCTTTACCTCCTCTTTCGCCCCCAGAAAAGAATCGGGACTGTTCGGATTTGCAGCCAGTGTTGTTTTTCCATTATGCACTAATTTAGTCAAAAGTTGAACATAACACTTTGTTGATTAGGTAAGTAATTGAATTGAATTATGTTAGCCGGCAGTCACCCTCTGTCACCACTTTGGCGTGTCCACTTTTTGCATTTAAAAGCACCTCTGTGCCATAAAAATGCTGCCCCAAGGGTGATGCAACGTAAAATTGATACACAAACCCGCATTGTGGCCAATTTCTACGCTAAAGTTGAGAATTAGTCCACTTTTGAGTCCATGGACAGGCAATTGTTCAATTTATATGTAACATTTTCTGGTTACCAGTGATTTACCAATTGCGAAGTTGCCCTTCCACTGCTCCAGTCCCCAAAACGTCAGTGAGCAGCTTTGCGTTAGCTTGGACATCACATTTCAGCTACTTGACACCAACCACTCCAATGGGAGGCGTAAGACAAAAAAATTATCATAGTGAAAGACCAGGTAAGCAGGAATTGTTTCGCCTTGTCCATATTTTAACGTTAGCATAATGCACGCAGATGACAGCTTGCCGCCGTAAAATGACCAAAAAAAGTAACTGCATTATAAGAGCGAAATTTTTGCCAATCAAAAATGCAGCCCTTTATCACAGTGAATTTGCTTAAAGAGAATTGAGAAGAAGTTAAAATCTTCCTAATCTCAACTTTAAAGTGTTACGACGAGACTCCTTCGAAGGTAAAGGAGATGCACCACTGGGGCAGAGCGGTGTCGAGACACAGAAGACCCAGGACGGCCCCACTGGCATGCCGTACAAGGAAAAGGTCAAATCGAGAGTCCACCTAAATAACAAAATGCAAATTGTTTTGTAATAAAGTTGCATTTTTCATGTAACCGCTTAAGATAAAGTGGAGCATCACAGGCCTCGTTCCAGCCAATTCCCTTTATAGTTGTGCAGTGAGACAGTCTGCAGCGTTTACAACTTCTTTCGCCCTACCGACCCACGCACGATGTCGACAGAGCAGAGGTGAGTCGGCCAAGAGGCCGAGGCGTCGAGATAAATGGCATGCACTTTTGAATGCTCCGGAAACGACAGACCAGCGGAGCAATAAAAACTCACGCATGCTTGCCTTATTTGGCGGCTGCTCATACTGGATAATAGCCTACAAGTTAAAGAATGAAAAACATGCCCACCTATTTGCGTGCCGCGTCTTTTTTCACCGTCATCTCACTTATTAGCCAACTTTAACCTGAAATGTTACTTAACTTTCACTAAACAGAAGCGCTAACTGGGAGGTTGGAGGTGAGGCTATTTGGGAAATTAATGCCCCCTCTCACTTAAGCCACAGGATCGGTCAAATTCACTTTAGCCACTCGGGGAAAGTACGAAAATAAATTATATATTTATGAGGATTTGATGTGTATGAAGGGGATTTGGAATAAACCTCCATCAGCATGGACCACCACCCTTGAGTCTCCACCGCTGAGACAATCGTAGACTTTTTTATGGCTTTCCTGCATGAAAGAATTGTGAGATGGCGATGCGGCATGCATGTAAAAGCAGTCCAAGTCTTGTTTGCTATCCTGTAATTGGGAAAAATGTGGTTTTTTTTGTACCAAGAGAGAGGTGTTCGAATAAACGCTCCTCCTTAATGGAAGCAGCACAATGTAAAGCTGACAAAAGGGAAAAGGAGGAAAGGAAACTACACCTATGGTTTAGTTAGCCAGGGATCTACAACTTTAAGTGATCTTTAATGACGGGAACATTTAAATCAGCTTGGCAACGGATGAGTGAACTCCAGTCGATCGTCTTGAGGCGGCGAGCACAAAATACTTGGCTCCCCCCATTCTGATTCGAAGTCGGGCTTTGCCAAGTTTTCCATAGAGATGCCAACTCCACCGACGGTAAAAGAATCCTAAACGAGAAAACGGAAATGCGACGTAAGATGAACAAGTAAAATGGGATGACCTATCAAAGTGGGACGCACAACTGAAAAAACTTTTCCTAAAAAGTTTTAAGATTTATTGGCTTTTGATCGTGATTTTCAATTAAGCAAGAGTAACTATGAAGGAAACTACCGATTGTGGAGGTGGTTGATTTTGCATGGTGAGAGCTCTGACCAAATTACTTTTCTGGTGGATCCACTTTCAGTAGTACAAGCCACAATTGCCAAATTTGTGATCATATTTTTAAGTCATGTCATGTGACTAAATTGTAGGCACTTTTAAGTTTAGAGGTGTTGCTTTTAATTCGATTCTTCAGCAGATTGTTAATTGCATTCTGTCAACATATTTTGTTTACAAACCATCGGAATACGAAGTCAACGCCATAATATGCATGAGAGAATGACTGAGACACTAGAACGACTCCGTTTTCTGTCCATTGGCTTTTCTCCTCCGCCTTCACGGGAAGGCTGCGTTGCATCGCGTCCATTGCTTGGGGAGGGCGGAGGTCAGAAGAAAAGCTCGCACTACAGCTCGCATACTCGCAGACCAGTGCAATGCATTTTGCCTAAAATGGCAACGAATGCGACTGACTGGCGAACCTTTGCCTATCGCAGGGGTTTACCGTCGTATGGCACCTTTCGATCGTCGGCGGATGTTATTCTTGCAAAGTGACACGAATCATATCTTCAATTCCCAATCAGTTCACGCTAGATTTTTTATCTAAGCAAAACAAATAAAAAGTGGCAGTAAAGGACTAAAGAGGTGAACTGACAAATAATGAAAAAGCACTAACTGATGACTGAAGTTGATTTTTGCACAAAACACAAAAGATAAGGCGCTCTCACTGTGCATCAGCCCACAAGCCCTTCCCTAGGTTGGCAGTGGGTTTTCAGTTTGGCTGTCATGCCTTCCCTTGTCCTCGGGGGAGGGTTGAGACAAAACCCTGACAAAAACGGAAAGCCATTTCAATTTCAGTTGCTAGATGGTAAAGCGTACTAGGACGGAAGCAATGCATATGCTGTGAGTGGGAAAACTGATGAAAATTTTCAACTGAGGGTCGGAAAATGACGTCTTCTTTTTGTAACCAGCCTATATGTGGAATTCGTTTCAAGCCTATCAACAGAGGGAGCAGTTTTAGCCGTAAACCGTCCGGAGCAGTTCGTAATGAAGTAACCTGCGGTAGCCGTGTGCAGATGCCAATTGCGTGAGACCTCATCCGCCTCTTCCCTTGGTGAGCAGCACCAAAGTGACAAGCAAGGAGAGACGCAAAACCGTACCCAATGGGCGCAAGATAAAATTATGGCATTTGTTACAAGAAATTGCTGTAGAGTCGGTGATCCTCCTACTGGCTCGGACACGCAGGGCGGTCATCACTTTCTCCACTTCCTCCATTCCACACACAATGGGAATCAGTAAAGTTACAATCAAATGCCTCCTCACCTCCATGAGAATTCCACTACTAGGACGGTTAATTTTTAGGTGTTTCCCCATAGAATAAAGTTAGTTTTTTAGTAGGCGACACGAGGTGTGATTAAAGGAAGCGCCGAAGATGAAGTTCAAAAGGGAAAAGGGGAGGAATAATGCGATGGTTATTTAATCCTCAATTTTATGCATTAAAGTCAGTCTGAAAGTCCACAAGCGCAACTTTGCCGGATGACAAGGGCCCTACTGTTCGTCAAATCAATGTGACCCGCAAAAGAGGCAAAGCTTTCCTTCACTCTCAAGGCAGTCCACCGAACACTTCCACTTGTTGCACTTTAGTCAAAATGCAAACCAACGTAAGGAATTGACACAGAGTTGGTAGAAGATGATCAATTTGAAGAAGCGTGATTGGGCGAGATTAAAAGGTGGTCAGCTCTGCATTTGCTATCGTACACAGCAAATTAGTTTACACGGATTGAAAATATGTTCATGCATAGATTACAGTTAAAAGCTTTTTTACG